GGTTCTCTGAGGGAGCTGGGGTTCGCTGAGGGAGCTGGGGTTCGGTGAGGGAGCTGGGGTTCGGTGAGGGAGCTGAGGGAGCTGGGGTTCGATGAGGGAGCTGGGGTTTGCTGAGGGAGCTGGGATTCGCTGAGGGAGCTGGGGTTCTCTGAGGGAGCTGGGGTTCTCTGAGGGAGCTGGGGTTCGGTGAGGGAGCTGGGGTTTGGTGAGGGAGCTGGGGTTTGGTGAGGGAGCTGGGGTTTGGTGAGGGAGCTGGGGTTCTCTGAGGGAGCTGGGGTTCGCTGAGGGAGCTGGGGTTTGGTGAGGGAGCTGGGGTTCTCTGAGGGAGCTGGGGTTCGCTGAGGGAGCTGGGGTTTGGTGAGGGAGCTGGGGTTTGGTGAGGGAGCTGGGGTTCTCTGAGGGAGCTGGGATTCGCTGAGGGAGCTGGGGTTCTCTGAGGGAGCTGGGGTTCGCTGAGGGAGCTGGGGTTCGCTGAGGGAGCTGGGGTTCTCTGAGGGAGCTGGGGTTCGCTGAGGGAGCTGGGGTTCGCTGAGGGAGCTGGGGTTCTCTGAGGGAGCTGGGGTTCTCTGAGGGAGCTGGGGTTCGCTGAGGGAGCTGGGGTTCGGTGAGGGAGCTTGGGTTCGGTGAGGGAGCTGAGGGAGCTGGGGTTCGATGAGGGAGCTGGGGTTTGCTGAGGGAGCTGGGATTCGCTGAGGGAGCTGGGGTTCTCTGAGGGAGCTGGGGTTCGCTGAGGGAGCTGGGGTTCGGTGAGGGAGCTGGGGTTCGGTGAGGGAGCTGAGGAAGCTGGGGTTCGATGAGGGAGCTGGGGTTCGGTGAGGGAGCTTGGGTTCGGTGAGGGAGCTGAGGAAGCTGGGGTTTGCTGAGGGAGCTGGGATTCGCTGAGGGAGCTGGGGTTCGCTGAGGGAGCTGGGGTTCTCTGAGGGAGCTGGGGTTCTCTGAGGGAGCTGGGGTTCGGTGAGGGAGCTGGGGTTCTCTGAGGGAGCTGGGGTTCGGTGAGGGAGCAGGGGTTCGATGAGGGAGCTGGGGTTCGGTGAGGGAGCTGGGGTTCGCTGAGGGAGCTGGGGTTCGGTGAGGGAGCAGGGGTTCTCTGAGGGAGCTGGAGTTCAGTGAGGGAGCTGGGGTTCTCTGAGGGAGCTGGGGTTCAGTGAGGGAGCTGGGGTTCTCTGAGGGAGCTGGGGTTCAGTGAGGGAGCTGGGGTTCTCTGAGGGAGCTGGGGTTTGCTGAGGGAGCTGGGGTTCTCTGAGGGAGCTGGGGTTCAGTGAGGGAGATGGGGTTCTCTGAGGGAGCTGGGGTTTGCTGAGGGAGCTGGGGTTCAGTGAGGGAGCTGGGGTTCTCTGGGGAAGCTGGAGTTTGCTGAGGGAGCTGGGGTTCACTGAGGGAGCTGGGGTTCGCTGAGGGAGCTGGGGTTCACTGAGGGAGCTGGGGTTCACATTGCTCTTGCTGAGTTGAGTGAGGAACCGTGACGCGGCTACAGAGGACCTTCCGTTTCTGCACTCAGTGGTAGGAATGCTCAGAGGGGAAGGCAATGGGATTTGAAGGCTGCTTCCTCTGTGAAATCTGACTAGGGGGTTGATCTCCTGCCTCAAGGCAATAGGGTGGTGGGACTTCAGACTGGGGCACTCTCCTATGTCACCCAGGTGCCCTGCACACCAAGAAAGGGCCTCACCTGTCCTGTCAGCTCTGCTTGATCAGGGGCCGTGGGCCCTCTTCCTCCTCACTTTGGCTCCTCTCTGTGTGAGCTCCATCACAGGCCTCCCAGCTGCCCCATCAGAGCCAAGCGGTTCCTGCCTCCCTGCAGACCCCAAGGTCCCTCATGACCACATGTTCGTCCTCTGTCTGTACCAGGCCGGAGGCTGCACTCACCCCAGGAGGGGCTGATGAAAGCTACCAAGTGCTGCTTCCTGCCTCAGCTTCTCAGCTCCCTCCACCAGAGGGGAAGAGGGCACCCCGACCCTGGTCCACTCTGCTCATGGCACTGCCTGGGCACACAGACTCCTGGAAGGAGCTACAGTTAGGCCGTTTACCCGGAGCTGGGCGGGGGCTGGGGAGGAGGCCTGGATCCCTGGCTACACGGTTGGCAGGACTGGGGTGACACCAGGGTGCTCTCTGAGACTGCAGGCACATGCTGAGTGTGCTTGCCTGGGTGTGTGTGCATGAGGTACGAGCATCTGTGAGTGGTGTGAGCAGGCATGGCAGAGCTGGATATGTGCACATGTATGTGTTCATGTGTGAGCTTGTGTGTGACTATTCACGTGTGGCACATGGTATACTGAGCATTCATATGCAAATGCATGTGTGCTATGTGCATGTGTAAATTTGTGTGAGTGTTCACGTGTGGCATGCATGGCATAGCTGGGCATGCATATGGATGTGTATGTGTGTGTTGTGTGAGCATATATGTATTCACATGTGACATGGATAGAATGGCTAGCATGCATATGGACATGCATGTGTGTGCATATGAGCATGTGTGTACGTGTGAGCTTGTGTGTGTGTATTCACATGTGACATGGATGGCATAGCTCAGCATGTGTATGCATGTGTACGTGTGTGTTCATGTGTGTGCATGTGTGTGAGAGCATGTGTGAGTATTCACATATGACATGGATGGCACAGCTAAGCATGCGTATGCACGTGTATGTGTTAATGTGTGAGCTTGTGTATGTGTATTCATGTGTGACATGGATGGCATAACTGAGCATGCATATGTGTGTTCGTGTGTGAGCGTGTGTGTGCATGTGTGAGCATGTGTGTACATGTGTGATCTTGTGTGTGCATGTGAGTATTCACATGTGACAGATGGCAGAGCTGGGCATGACGTGCATGTGTTCATGTTTGAGCAGGTGCATACATGCATGTGTGTGTGTAAGCAGGTATTTGTGTGTGAGCACATGTGCATGTGAGTGATGTGTGTGAGGAGGCTCACGTAGTAGCCACCCTTGCCAGGTGCTTCCTGGTGGGAACCGGATTCCAGGGGCTTAGCTGCACTGGCTGGGATTTCCAAGAGAAGGCTGAACGCGTGCTGCTGCTGAGGAGCTTGGAGGAGAGAACCCCGGATGGTGGACAGGAGTCTCTCAAAGCACCTGGAGGTGGAGGGCCCTGGACAGTGAGCTGGAAGGGTGGGGTCAGGAGTCGGGGGCAGGTGAAGGGTGGAGGGAGCTGGGCACCCCGCAGATGCCAGGGTGGCACTCGGTGCAGTGGGGCTGCCGCCATCCTCCAAGTGTGGCCCCAAGGGCTGGAGCTGCTGTCACTCCACTGCCAGCCATCTTCAGTCCCTTGCACCTGGCTCTGCCCAGGAGCTGTATGTTGGGGGCGTGAATGCAGGGCCAGCCCAGCTGGCCAGTGACCCTCTGAGCACAGAGCCTTCAGGAAGGGGGCTGGGGGCATCCCCCTCCCTGACAGTGAGGCTGGGCATCCCCCACAGGCAGAGCCCAGAGTTCCCTCCCTGAGATGTGACGGGGGACGAGGGGGGTGGTGTCTGGAATTTCTGTTCGGAGACTTTCCGGAGGTGTGTTTAGGCACAAAATCACATCAGCACAGTTGGTTTTCAAGCAAGGACAGTGTTCTCTGGGCATCTCTAAGACGAGTTTGAGCAGTGTGGGGATTCGTTTTGGGAGCAAGGCCTTGCTGAGACGCGACGTTTGCTGTGGAATGCCAGTGCCTGCCCTCAAGAAGACGCTGCACTCAGCTGCTTGAAATGAGTTGGGGTCCCACGCAGCCCAGCCCTGCCCTGGGGACAGCAATTGTCAGATGGCTGCTGGGCATCCTGCCCTGGGGACAGTGGGAACAACTCAGGACAGGTTGTGGGGCTGTGGCATCACAGCTGCTGTCACTCTCCTGACCCCAGCCCTAGGGGAGGGTGGCTGCAACCCCAGTCACCCAGCCTGGAAGTGGCAGGGTCAAGAGGGACTCTGGCTGGGAAAGTGGGCATGCAGAACACTGCAGGAGGTAGCTTGTGGGGTGAAAACTGCGGGCCAGTGCGTGTGAGGATGTGCATACATGTGAACATGTGCGTGAGTGAGCATGTGTGTGGTAACGTGTGCGTGTGAGTGCATGCATGTGAGTGATCACACCTGTGTAGGCTGCCTGGGTTCCCTCTGGCTCCACCTGTAATGGCCTCCATGATCGTGAGCTGGGTCCACGGGCTTGTGCCTCAGTTTCTTCACCTGGAAAATGGGCCGTACAGAGGTCCTCAGAGGGCATAGGGCACACAGCACCACTGCTGTGCAGCCACTCACGTCACAGCCCCGTGGGTCGCTCACTTGTGGACTGTTCTGTCTAATTTGATCCTTCTGTGGACGGGGAGACTGAGGAGGGGAAGGAAGATGCCACAGTCTCGGCCTGTGAGCTGAGCGTGGCCAGAAGGCAGCGTTCCTGCCCCGGCCCCAGGCTCCACCATTGCCGGTCTCCTGGGCAGAAGGTCAGGAAGGGCTGAGAGGGACATAGTCCCAGGCAGGTAAAGCCCAGGCTTCGAGGGGAGGCACAGCCGCTGAGAGGCTCCGAGCCCCTCCCCGGATGTCAGCACTCGGGCGGCCGTTGCAGCAGTGGAATTGGCATCGCAGCAGGCTGAGCATTTTCTCAGTTGCAGACTGCAGCACAGTATCCACGCCAGGCGTCTCTGGGCATTCCGGGTCAGGGGGAGCAGGGGCTGGGGCCACTGCCTCGGTGCTCCTGGGATGGGGTCCTGGCCTGGAACCCCCTCCAGAGACTCAGCAGCCCTGCCGGACAGTGCCTAGTGGAGCACGTTGGAACCCTGTGAGCACTGCACTCAGTGCCTCTCTGTCCTCCTGGGGCCCAGGACTGCTGCGGGGCCACGGGAAGGAAGTTACGAACCCTCGGGTGCTGGGCACCTTGATTCCAAGGCTGGTGCCTTTTTTCCTTCTGCAAGAGTGAAGGGTGGGAGACAGAGCCACCCAGAGGCTGGGAAGACTGCCCGGGGTGGGAGGGCAGGAGGGCGGGAGCCTGGCTGACCCCACCTCCAGGCACAGAGGCCTCGTGCTGCCCTCACTCCAGCTGCACAGTCCCAATGGCTCCCGACCCCAGCGGCCGCTGCGTCCTGCTGCTGCTCTTCTGCTGCCTGGTGGCTGCCCAGGCCGACCTGCTGGACCTGAGCTGGCTATGGCCCAGTAAGGACACCAGCCACACAGCTGCCACGGTCCCCAAGCCCACAGCAGGCCCCACCATGCTTGTGGCCCCGCAGAATGGTTCCACAGAGCTAGAGACAGCCCCTGGCAACCCTAAGCCACCCTCAGAGCTGCTGGAAGGCGGCCAGGACACCCCCACTTCTGCCGAGAGCCTGGATGCACCGGAGAAGAACATTGCCGGTGTGGGAGCCGAGATCCTGAACGTGGCCGAAGGCATCCGGAGCTTTGTCCAGCTGTGGAACGACACTACTCCCACTGAGAGTGAAACGCTGGCCCTCAAGACTCCCGTGGGCCCCCTCGTCCTCCCTGTGCCCTCCGATGCCCCCTGGGAGAATGGGACCGTGCTCTGGCCTGGTCATCGTGCTCCGAGCTCTCCAGGCCCCCACACGACCGAGGCTGGCATCCTGCCTGCACCCACGCTATCGCCTCCCTCCCTGGGCAGGCCCCTGGCACCACTCACGGGCCCCCCAGGGCCGCTGCCGTCGTCAGGTAGAGCTTCTCTCTCCTCCTTGCTGGGCAGGGCGCCTCCCTGGGGAAGTGTCTCGGACCTGGATGGCCAAGGACGCCTGCCCGCTGCCTCCACTCCCGGCACACAGCTCCGACGCCCCAACGTCCGCCCACACACGCCTCTTCTGCATCCCCTGGTGATGGGTTTCCTGGGCCACATGGCCCCCTCTGCCTTCTCCTCTGGCCTCCCGGGTGCCCTGTCTCAGGTTGCAGTCACCACTTTAATCTGGGACAGCGGTGCTTGGGTGTCCCACGCAGCTACTTCTGTGGGGCCTGGTCTCACTAATCACTCTGCCCTGCTTGGAGTGGACCCCGAGGCCCCCTCCGGCCACTGCCTGCCCCTGCCGCCCTCCCTGACAGTCTGCGGCCGCCTGGGCTTCTCGCGTTCCTGGCTGCCCAACCACCTCCACCATGAGAGCGGCGAGCAGGTGCGGGCTGCAGCGCGGGCATGGGGGGGCCTGCTGCGGACGCACTACCACCCCTTCCTCGCCTGGTTCTTCTGCCTGCTGCTGGCACCCCCTGCGGCAGGGTCCCGCTGCCCGCCCCACCGCCCTGCCGTCAGTTCTGCGAGGCCCTGCAGGACGTGTGCTGGAGCCGCCTGGCGGGGGGCCGGCTGCCTGTTGCCTGCACCTCGCTCCCGACCCAGGAGGACGGGTACTGTGTGTTCACTGGGCCGGCTGCAGGTAACTGGTCAGCCCCCGCCTCCCCACCCTTTCCCTTCTGTCTTGCCAGGTAAGCTCAGTCGGGGCCGACGTGAGCCTGGTACAGGCTCCCCCGACATCGAGTCTCTACGTTCAGGGCCTGTGGCCCTCGGGCGGTGGGAGAGCTGGGAGGGAGGCTCCCGTGTAGGGAGGAGGCCGGGGTCTGGACAGGAGGAGACCTGGATGAACCGCAGCTGACGTGTCAAACACTGCCTGGGCCAGCGGCTCCCTGGGCGTTGTAGTGCATGTAGTCCTCACCATGGTCCCAAGATACCCTGCACGTCATAGAGGGGCAACTGAGGCATGGGGCAGTGGCAGGACTTGCCCCAGGAAGCCGAGATTCCCGCCCAGGTGCGGCTGCGTCGGCGTTTCCCCCAAGCTGCATGGTCCGGCTGCGCCTCCTGGGAGCCCCGGCGTGCTCGGGCCGAGCGTGCTGCTGCGTGGCAGTGCGGAGATGCTCACAGTGAGGGGGAAGGGAAGTCCGAAGGGCATGTCCTGGGCGGGAGCCTTCCACGTCCCCCCCCCCAGCCTGGAGCGCACCGCCTCCTGCTGCAGTTGGGGCTGCTCCTGGGCCTGGGGGAAAGTGCCCCATCACCGCGTGGCCTGGCCCTGTTGCTGGCAGGGTGTTTGGGGAGGAGGATGAGGAGGGAAGGGGGACTGTCTTTAACCTCCCGGGGGCAGGGGCAGCCCAGGAAGGAGCCCAGCAGCTCCCTCTGCATCCAGGGTTAGACGGGGCCCCTGAGCTGTGCCTGTCCCGTTCAGACTCCGCCTGCTGTGTGCACCCAGCAGCCTTGGCCAGGAGAGTCCACCCAGAGGCCACGTCCCTGCAGGGTGAGGGGCTCGGTCTTCTCCTGCCGTCCACCCCGTGGTGCTGAGGGGAAGCGGCCTTGGTCCCTTTGAGCTTTGGGACCAGGTTGGTGGGGGCTGTTAGTGGCTGCGCCAGACTCCGAGGTGGGGGTGCCTGTGGTGGACATGGTGGACACCCACCTGCCGGGCTCCAGGAGGGATGATTCCCCTTGACTTTTGCTCTCAGCGGCCATTTCTGTCAGCAAAGCCCAGAGCTTCTGCAGACCCACTGCAGGGCCTGGGATGTGGCCGGGGGTCCACGGACGGTGGGGGACAAGTACTGACACAGGTGGTCCCAGGAGCGAAGCCCACGTGGGCTGGAATAGAGGGGCAGGCGGTGGGGAGGGCTGCACGGGGTCAGGGCTAAGCCCTGAGGGGGGTCACAGGCACTGCCCTGGGGGGACCTGGTGTATGCAGGTGTGGGGGCCCTGGTGAATGTGCCCCAAAAGCTTGGGGCTGGAGCTCTCCTGAGGCAGGGGGAGGCAGGGGCTGCACCCAAGGCTTAGATGTCACCCCTAGGGCAGCTGGCACTGCTGCAGGCAGGCAGATTCCTGTGTCCTGCTCATGCTCCGTCCCTTTGACACCCAAATTAAGCGAGCACCAGCCGCCTCTCAAGGTCCCCCCTGCCCCACAGCCGCAACCCACCCGGTGGCTAAGCCCTATTCCCTCCCGAGCATGTTAGGGGGGCAGCCCTGCCCCTGCAGGAGCCGTCCTACCTGGAGGGGAGGGCCAGTGTCACGGAGCCCCAGCAGGCTTGAGCGCAGCCCACTTCGTCCCCTCCACTGCAAGCCCACAGAGGCGGACAGGCCAGCGGCCGGCTGGGAGGGGAGACGCCATGCCTGCTTACCAACTCTGCCCTGGCATTGCTGCGGAGACTGTGGGACCAGTCGAGTGCTCTGAACAAGCGCCGGCCTCCGGAGGGTGGCCGTCTCCTGGCGTCAGGCTCAACTTCGTGGCTTGGGGACTGGGGTCTGAGTGGGCTGTGAGGACAAGGAATTTCTGTAACTGCAGCTGGCCTGGTCAGTGGCGTGGCCTGAGGGGGACTTTTCACTGAACATCTGGTCACTTGGCAGGGCCCCTGTGTGAGGGAGGCCACATCCCAGACAGAGCCCTTGTCCATCGCGTTCATGGCCCACGTGGTGAACCTTGGGCTTCCGCAGGGGGCCCCTTCCCAGGTGGCCTGGACGGGAGGGTCCTGCTCCGTCTTCTGGCCTCTCAGCTCATCCCCAGCCCAGGCTTCTCTCTGGGGTGATCCCCCCACTCCTGCTGGGCCCCGTGTTGGGCTGGACACTCCCAGCCCTGGGTGAGGGGCAGGAGGAGGAGGGGGAGCCCAGCTGCCACACTGGTGCCTGACCCCTCGGGGCTGGCTGTGAGACCCTGGAACTGGAGATGCTGGGCTGTGGACACGGAGGCCTCAGCTGCATCTCCAGACCCAGGGGTCAGGAAGGACGTGCCCCTGAGGGGAGGTAGTCGGAGGGTCCTGCTGCCTCCAGCCCTGCTCCATCTCTGGCTCCCCCTCCACCAGGACTGGGCACTGTGTGTCCACCCCCTGCCCTGCCTCCAGGAGAGCACGGGGGGCAGTACGGCTGTGCTGGAGTATCGGGGGTGCTCAAAGGGAGGGTGCACCCATGGTCAGCACACAGGCAGGGACCCTGAGGGAGGCTGGAGTATCGGGGGTGCTCAAAGGGAGGGTAGCTGCCAAGGGAGAGGAAGCGGGGTTTGGGCTTGGGCTGCCTGGAACACTGCCTCCAGGAAGACCCTGGGCTGTCCCCGTGGGGCTTTGTGAGTGACACAGAGCTCAGGTCACAAGGGCTGTGGGAGCGTCACCACACCACAGCAATGGTTGCCTAGCATTCTGGACTTTGCTCTCTATGCCCCTCCTGAGCTCTTTCAAACCCTTCCTGGCCCCTGGGACCGTAGCAGAGGTGAGTGGTATTTCTAAGGAATCCTACAGGCAGGCGGCCTCCGACCTGGGACGTGGGTATTGTTCCCGTTTATAGGTGAGAAGCTGAGGTCTAAGAAGGACAGATTCACCTGCGTGCCGCAAGCATGGCCAGTAGGAAGTGAGGCTCAAGGAGGGTCTGGCAGCCTGGCCCCGGAGCGCCCTTCAGCTGATGCAGGGCCGGGGGCACCCAGAGACCAGCAGGCGCCTACCCTCATGGTGCAGGCCGTCCAATGAAGGGCAGGGGCCAGTGCCGGGATGGATGGTGTCTGTGCACAGAGTGGGGTTCAATGGGGCACAGCTGCCACTAGGACGCTCGGGAGGCAGGTCTACACACGCCGGCCAAGCCGCTCCTCTCAAATGCACAAGCCTCATGATCTCGGCAAGTGGCGCACAGGCCCCGGGCTGGTGCATCTGTGCCCCCCATTTCCACCCCATCACTGGATGTTTGGAGGTCAGTGGGAGGCCACGTAGCCACAGGAGTGCACGTGGTCACATCACCACGATGGCCCTGAGGGGCTGTTTCTTCATAGCTGCTCCCTACCTCGTGGGCCAGCCACTGGCGCACAGGTGTCCGTGCATGGTGTTTACCTCTTGCTCCTTTAATGAAATGTAGAACTTGAGAAAACGTTCCTGTTCCTTAAAACGCTTTGATTTACTTGACATTTCCACATAACTTTGGTTGAAGAAGGAGAGAACCACTCCGTGGAAAACAACGCATGCTTATCTCTCACCGCTTAGCATCTTACAAGTTGTTTTTGATGACGTAGTCTAAGCTTCTCACGGATTTTCCCTGCCTTCAAGATGCACCAAGAGTGACTCAGCATTGAACTCCTGCCGGAGTGTCAAGGGCCCACCTGCACCTGTCAGGTACCATTGTCTGTGGGTTCAAGAGCTTTTATGATTCTGAACCAGACACAGACAGAATGAAAAGCGCAGCATTCCAAACGGGGCTCCCTGCTGGTCCTTACATATGTTTGAGTTTTGTATATGCTTTAAGTATACGATGTTATGATTGCCACAGTCAAGCTAGTTGACATCTGTCACTTCAGGTAGTTCCCGCTGTGTGTGAGCGTGGTGAGCACACTTACCAGCTGCTCGGGCTTCCAGTGCCGTGTGCAATACCGTGTTCTAGCTGCAGTCACCACGCTGTACATTAGCCCTCTAGAACTTACTCATCTTGCATAACTGAAACTTTGTACCCTTCAACCAACAGTCACATTTCCTCCTCTCTGTGGGCTGGCCTGCGCTGTGCCCTGGTGGCATTCCCAGGTAAACAAAAGCAAAGGGAGTAATGCCTCTAGACCTTCCCTGCAGGAAATGGTCCCGTAGTCCACCAGGTGAAACGAAAGGACACTAGTTAGTAACAGTACATCAAGGAGGCCACTGTTGCCTATGCATGGAGTGGGGTGCAGCTGTGCCCCATTGTACCCCACTCTGTGCATAGGTTCCGTCCATCCTGGCACTGGTCCCTGCCCTCATCAGATGGCCTGCACAATTAGGGTGGATGCCTGCTGGTCTCCTGATGTTCCCCTGCTGGGCACTTACTTGTCCTGCATCTGCTGCAATGCTGAAGAGCCAGGCTGCTGGGTCCCCTTGAGGCTCCCTTGCTAGCCACACCTGTGGCGTGCACACACATTTGTCCTTCCTACACCTCAGCCCCTGACAACCCCCTTCTACTCTGCTCCTGTGAATGTGACCTGTTCAGATCCCACATATAAGTGACATCATGCACTGTTTGTTTCTGTGCCTGCCTTATTTTCTTTAGTTTAACGTCCTCCAGGTTGGTTCATAAAAAGTGCAGTTACAAACTTGTTGCGATACTGGCTTTTGTAGTTACTCCTGTGTTTACGTTTTTTGAGATCTTTGTTTCTTCACGTGACTTCTGTTACTGACGAGGACCCTTTCATTTCACCTTCTGGACCGTTTCCTGCAGGGTAGGTCTAGTGGCGGTTAACTCCCTTAGCTTTTGTTTATCTGGGAATGCCAATTTCTTCCTCACTTTTGAAGGACAGTTTTGCTGGATATAGGACTCTTGGTGAACAGCTTTTTTTTTCTTTTAGTACATTGAATATATTGGTTCACTGCCAAGTTTCTGATGAGAAATCTGCTGATAATCTTATTGAGAAGTCCTTGTGTGTGATCACTTGCTCTTTTTTTGCTGTTTTCAAGATTCTCTCTTTGTTTTTTGAAAGTTTGATCATAATGTATCTTGGCGTGGGTCTCTTAGTTCATCTTACTTGGAGTTCCCTGAGCTTCCTGACTGTTTATACTAATGTCATTCATCAAATTTGAGAAGTTTTCAGCCATTATTTCCTCAGATGGTCTCTCTGCACCTTTCTCTTTCTCTTCACCTTCTGCAGCTCCCACAGCATGTGTGCTTTCTTGTCTCTTGATGGTGGCCCACATGTCCCTTGGGCTCTTTTCACCTTTCATCCATCTTTTGTTTTTGATAATTTCCGTTATCCTATCTTTAAGCTCATTGATTTATTCTTCCGTCTGCTCAAATCACCTTCAAACTACTCTAGTGGTGTTCTTAATTTCAGCTGTTGTACTTTTCAGTTCTATAATTTCTTTTTTGTTTCTTTTGAGGTTTTTACTCTATTGATATTCCATTTGGTCCCCACATTACTTTCTTGACTTTGACACTTGTTTTAAAGTCTTTGTCTAGTAGGTCTGCCCTCAGGTCTTCTGCAGGAACAGCTTCTGTTGAGTTATTTTTTTCTCCTTTGAATGTGCTATATATTTGATCACTTTGTGTGCCTTGGGATTTTGTGTTAAAAAGCGGACATTCGAATTCAGTAACGTAGCTTTGGAAGTCAGTGCTCGCCCTTCACCAGCATTCACTGTTTTTGTTACTTTAAGAAAAAGTTGCCTCTGTGCCAAAGATCTCCCTGAGGTGTGAACGTCGGGTCTTCTTGGGTCTTTCCCTGGGTCTCTTATGTGCTGCTGTTTTTCAATGCCCTGTTCTTTAGTGTTTGTGTCCCAAAGGAGGAATAAGAGAAACATGAGGGAGAAAAAACAGTGCCAGTCCTCCAAGTCCCCTTGAAGTCACTTCAGCTGGACGGGGGAGCTTGTAGCCACAGAGGGAGTGTAAAGTGATGGCCCAGCTTTCTGTCTGCACTCCCTGATCCCCAGCAACTGATGAGAGCACAGGTTCTCAACGTCTGCACGGCAGGGCCCTTTTTGCCATCCTGTTTCCCAGAAGCTGTGTGGGTGCTGCTCCTGAACACATGCATGGCACCTGCTGTGGGAATGGGGGTGGGGGTGAATGTGCAGCTGCTACTGTGCTGGGAGCTGGGTGTAACGAAATTAACCACCCATCATTGTCCAAGCCTTCCTTTGGATGTTGCAAACTTTCAGTAGACTCTTCTGAGAGTTTCCCGAGACAGATTCTGCCCCCGCACTTGTTAATTAGTTGGGGAGATGGATTCCTGGTGCTTTCCATCTGCCATTTCCCAGAATACTCCAGAGTCATTTTCAAACACGTTTCTTTCTGTCAAGAAATCAAGTCTTGGTCAGGCGCGGTGGCTGAAGCCTGTAATCCCAGCACTTTGGGAGGCCAAGGGCGGGGCAGATCACCTGAGGTCAGGAGGTCGAGACCAGCCTGACCAACATGGAGAAACCCCATCTCTACTAAAAATACAAAATTAGCCAGGCGTGATTGCACATGCCTGTAATCCCAGCTACCCAGGGGGCTGAGGCAGGAGAATCACTTGAACCTGGGAGGTGGAGGTTGTAGTGAGCTGAGATTGCATCATTTTACTCCAGTTTGGGCAACAAGAGTGATACTCTGTTTCAAAAAGGAAAAAGAAAAAGAAATCAAGTCTCCAGCAGCATTGTCGTTATATCATGTGCAGGGTCCAGCCTGGATGGCACCCAGCTAGGTCAAGTGCAGGAGAAACTCCTCATGGGCACTTTGGCTGCATCCAGAGCTCAGAGGCTGGAGCTCTGAGAGAACTGCAGGAGCCCAACCCCATGGAGCCTCTAGCTCCCAGGAAGAGACACACCTCTGGGGGCGGAGTGACCACGTTTCCACGTCACTCAGCCCTGGGGATTGAGGTAGTAGCCTGGCACTGGGGCAGAGGCGGATCCCACAGTCCCTCAGTGGAAGCCTCAAGCCCCCCGTTTTCCTCTTTCCCTCTTCCCGAGATGGTATTTGGGAGATGAGATCTTCCTGGTGGCTGGAATCTGTCCCAGAAGTCAGCAGCTCGCTGCAGGGCCCCAAGATTCCCTAAGATAAGGCAGGCCCTTGGCAAGACCCCAGCCGCACGTGAGAGGGCAGAACGCAGCTCCTGAGCCCCTCTCTCCACGGCACCTGCAGTGGTCAGGTGGGGGCACGTGTATGTCCCCCCCGTGGGATCGCACCAATTTGCATATGGGTGTGTAGCTTCCTCTTGTGGCTGTAAGAAGTTACTGCAGATTCACTGGCTGGAACCACTGCAGATGTCTTACCTTTCAGTTCTGCAGGCCAGAAGTCTCGCTGGGCTGAACCAGCGTTGTCAGGGCTGGGTCCCTTGGGGGCTCTGAGGAGAAAACGTTTCTTGACTTTTCTAGCTTCCAGGGGCTGTGGGGGAGGGCAGGGGGCCAGGTAGCCTTGGATCTCATCCTCAGGAGCCTTTCAAAGGGGCAGCAGGGACTCCATGCCCCGTGCCCTGGGGGTCAGGCTGGGCTGGTTCTGGGGAGTGGCTGGAGCACATGGTGCTGAGTACAGGTGGGCATCTGCGGGGTTCGTATGTCGGTGGGTCTCTGAGGGTCTGCCCTGTGCTTTCAGGCCACGGTGGCCATCAGGGATGTGGTACATTGTGTGTGGTCCTTGAGGACTGGCCTGGCTGGAGCCCACTGCCCCGTGGGTGAGCACTGCTCTGGGTGGAGTGTCCAGTTTGGGGAGAGGGAGGGTCTTGTTCCTGGAGCTTTTCAGACAGAGCCAGGGACGGGATTCACAGGAGGCCCCCCAGCCAGGCCGTGCTGGGTGAGGCTGGGAGTGAGGGTCCTGGGAAGTCTGGCTTCTGGAAGAGGCGCTTTGTCTCGGGAGCTGCTGCGGAAGGAATGGACCTCCTGGCCTGCTAAGATAAGGGACCCAAGGGAGGGGCGGGGCCGGTGGGCACTGGTGTGAGAACAACGGAGAGTCCCACCAGAGGCCCCGCCCCTCACCTGTCGGGAGGATGCCGGCTGTGCTGATGGTCCTGGGTGTATTTAAAGGGGCCTCTGTTAACACACACAGGTCTCCAGAATCATCCACACTTCTGGCTGGCCTGATTCCTACGTGGGAAACGGTCTTGAACAAGGCAAGTGCCTTGATCCCAGCAGGAGGGGCCGCCCCACCACACCCCGGCAAAGCCGGGCTCCGGCACTCGCTGTTTGGATTCCGGAGTGTCTGAGACAGCTGGGCCCGTGCCTCGAGGAGTGGAGGCTGCGCCATTCTCCGCCCGTCCAGCATCTTAGGGCTGGGCATTGGGAAGCTGAACTCCAAAGGGAGCCTCCAGGAGCTTCGTGGAGAGGAGACAGGACAACTTGGGAAGGGCTCGCCTGTTCTGGGGTCCCTGGGGCCGCTGGCACAGCATGCTGGTGGCTTCCAGCCCAGGAAGGTGGCTGCATCGTGCTGTCCCAACCGATGCCAGAATGTTCTAGGAAGGGTGGCAGGGAAGTTTCTCGAAGGTGAACTCGGGGGCATCTGGGTGACTGAGAGAGGCTTGTTTCCTGGTGTTAGCACCACCCTGGCATGGACTTGTAGGACCTGGGCACTTCTTATAAGAAAGGATTGTTGGCCGGGCGCGGTGGCTCAAGCCTGTAATCCCAGCACTTTGGGAGGCCGAGGCGGGTGGATCACGAGGTCAACAGATCGAGACCATCTTGGTCAACATGGTGAAACCCCGTCTCTACTAAAATTACAAAAAAAATTAGCTGGGCACGGTGGTGCGTGCCTGTAATCCCAGCTACTCAGGAGGCTGAGGCAGGAGAATTGCCTGAACCCAGGAGGCGGAGGTTGCGGTGAGCCGAGATCGCGCCATTGCACTCCAGCCTGGGTAACAAGAGCGAAACTCCGTCTCAAAAAAAAAAAAAAAAAAAAAAAAGAAAGGATTGTTGTAACAGCTGCCATCTGGGCGGACGGCAGCCTCTGTCTGAGGGGGACATGACCGCTGGCCCCCAGAGTCCAGACTCCCCGTCGGGACCCCTCTGCCCCTAGCCTCGGGGCACAAGCCAGGCTGCTGTCGACAGAAGCCATTGTCCACTCTGCACCCAGCCCTGCTTCCAGTTGGCTCGAGAGTGGGGCCCACAGGGAGTCCAGGCCGCCACACTGCCTCGTGCTGGAGTCAGGCCACATGGGGCAGCAATGGCTGCTGGAGGTGCCCACAGGCGGGGGGTCTGCACTCATTTCCTTCGTGTTCTGTGTACTGTGAGCTCTTCAGAGGCACTGCTTCCCTCGTGAAGTTCAGGCTCAGCACTTCTCCCGTGTGTGGTCCCAGGTCAGCCTGGCCGCGGCAGGTACAGGCGCTCACCCCCGCCTTCCTCAGGACGCCCAGGCATCAGCAGCCCCTTCCCACAGGAGCGCTCAGAAGGAGCCAGCCTGCTGCACAAGCGTCCTAGGATGACCATCACACTGTTGAAAGCAGACTGTTTCCAGGCTCTCTGGCATCTCGGGAGGAGGCATTGGGGCAGGGCCCTGGCCCAGACTGTGGCTGCGAAGCCCGGGCTCTACCTGGCACAGCAGGTGTGCTAAGAAGGGACTGCCGAGCAGAGCCTGTCCTTGAGTGGGTGCCAACCCCCTCCATGGGCAGGAAACGAGGAGTGCTTGGGCTCCCTGGAGAGGGATGGACAGGGCTGGTTCTGACTCTGGGCTGCTGAGTTGAAGTGAGGTTGCACTCAGCCCGGCCAGGAAATAGTGGAGTGAGTTGCTGCGCTGCGGTGCATGGGCACGGAGCAGCGAGGCTGGTGGGGAGACTGGTGCTGGCAGATTCGTCAGGCGGGCTGCCACTCCCAGGGGTGATGGTAACCTCGAGGGCAAGCAGCACGGGGTGGGAGCCATGGCTTGTCCGTGCCAGGAGATGCCTGGCCCAGCGGGTCAGTCCCCAACAGCGCTGGGTGAATCCCGCCTGGTGTCTCGGAAGCCACACAGACCCGCAGCCAAGGCGGCCGCTCCGGGCCAAGCCCCACCTGCAGGCTCTGCGCTCCCACAGCTGTTTGTGCTCCAGGCTCCCGCTGCAGCCGAGCCTTGGAAGAGCATCGGGATGTGGAGCCGGACTCCTTCCTTCCCTGCGGTGGAGCTGCGGCTCTGTGGTGGCAGCCAGGCTGGGGTGCCGGCCTGGGCTGCTCTGGCAGTCTCAGAATGGGTGGGTGGGGCACAGGGCCGGGAAGGGGGCTGCCAGAGGGCCACCTGACCACTGTTGGCATCGCCCAAAGATGTAGGCCAGCCCCTTGCAGCTCCTTGGTCCAGCAGGGGTGCCAGCCAGTCCCTGGCACCTTCTCCTGCATGGCTGTGTCCATCCCTGGGGTTCCCTGCTTTGGGTCATGAGCTCAAAGCAGGGGAGGGGCCCTATGGACACCATGGCCCCTGCAGATAGGTTTCGGCATGGAGCATGCCTGTCGTTTGGAAATGAGTGAAGCAGGGTGGCCGTTGAGTAGCCGGTGGGTGGCTGAGCCCAGGGGATCAGGGCAGGCTGCCAGGCATGTGCAGAGCCCTCTCAGACTCAGTTTCCCCTTAGTGCCCCTGCCTGGCCACCTCTCCAGGCCGCCTGGGTGGCCCCCAGTTCAGTCCCTCATGGCCACCTCACCGGAGGTCCTTCTTTTGCAGAGAGCATCGGCGAGGAGGTGGGGCTGCTGCAGCTCCTCGGGGACCCCCTGCCCCAGCAAGTCACCCAGACAGAAGACCCCGATGTCGGGCTGGCTTACGTCTTTGGACCAGATGCCAACAGCGGCCAGGTGGCCCGGTACCACTTCCCCAGCCTCTTCTTCCATGACTTCTCACTGCTGTTCCACATCCGGCCAGCCACGGAGGGCCCAGGGGTGCTGTTCGCCATCACAGACTCGGCGCAGGCAGTGGTCTTGCTGGGCGTGAAGCTCTCTGGGGTGCAAGACGGCCATCAGGACATCTCTCTGCTCTACACGGAGCCAGGCGCAAGCCAGACCCACACAGCCGCCAGCTTCCGCCTCCCCACCTTCGTCGGCCAGTGGACGCAGTTAGCGCTGAGCGTGGCCGGTGGCTCCGTGACCCTCTACGTGGACTGTGAGGAGTTTCAGAGAATGCCACTCGCTCGGTCCTCACGGGGCCTTGAGCTGGAGCGTGGCGCTGGGCTTTTCGTGGCTCAGGCAGGAGGAGCGGACCCTGACAAGTTCCAGGTAATTCTCACTGTGCCGTTGCTGGGGGGCTAGAGCAGCCAGATGGGGTGAGGTGGGGTGGCCACTGGGACAGGGACGGAGCTGCAGCCGTAAGAGGAGAGCCCCCACCCAGCTGCGGTCAGTCCTGGCCTCCAGTGCGGGCCTCTGGGTTCTTGGCCGGCCTGGCTGGGGTGGTATTCATGTTCTTGGCTCTTTGGCTCCTAGGCCCCCCGGAAGGGTCACCCTGGGCTTCTGTGGTTTTTCTGAGACCCCAAAGCCCAGCCCAGGAGGGACCCTTTGGATGACCTTGTAACTAGACATCCACCTCAGCTGTGACCTGGAGATTCCCCCATGCCTGTGCCAAGCCCTGTGGTGAACTGGGGCTCCTGGTCTCTGACTGGCCGGTCAGGGAGTGGGGACCGGGCCCAGCCCCACACCTCATGGCCCCGAGCAGAATGAAAGCCGAGGTTCTTGTTAGAAACGATGAATGATCTGGAGCTGATGGCAGAGGGTGTTGACCTCAGCAGGGGCCCTGTGGTGGACGCATCACCCGCTGGGAGCAGGTGCACAGTGTGGCCCTGCAGGTTGGGGCCTTCACAGGGTGCACAGCCCCGGGCCTCTGAGGCTCCACCTGGGAGCACGTGGGTGGGATGTCCTCAGTGGTGATGGCACGTGGCCGTCTCCACCCGAGTCTCCCTGGGAAGTCCCTCCAATGGGCCTTCATTTCTTGGGGCCGAGGGAGTAGACAGAGCCCTAAACCAAGGTGGGGTCTGTGTCCAAAGCCCCCACATTTCTGGAAACCTTTGGCTGGGAACAGCCGTGTGGGTGACCTCAGCTGAGGCCATCTCACAGTCCCCGAATCCTAACATTCAAGCTGGCCCGCAGCTGACGCCCCTGCCCTCGTGGTCAGCAGGGACAGAAGTTAATTATTGCCCAGACAAGGGCTGTTTGTTTGAAGTTGTTCTAAGTCCTGGCCTGGGGGTTCTGAAAGCTGACCCTGCACCTTTGGCAGGAACTTTTAACCCCGATTGCTCCGGAGCCGCTAGGTCGTTGACACCAACTGGGCTTCTTTGTTTTCCCCTCGGTCACAAACGCGATTCCTGGGAAAGAGGCCAGAGTCCCCTCCTTGTGAGAGGCCGTGTGTTGTGTGAATCCCCTGGTGTTTCTTCGTGGAATAAAGTCACCCATGTGCTGCTGGCCCTGGTGGGTGCTGAGGGCCGCATGCCACTGGGCCAGGTGGGGTGCTGAGGGCCGCGTACCACTGGGCCAGGTGGGGTGCTGAGGGCCGCGTGCTGCTGGCCTGGGTGGGGTGCTGAGGGCCATGTGCTGCTGGCCTGGGTGAGGTGCTGCTGGCCTGGGTGGGGTGCTGAGGGCCGCGTGCCACTGGGCCGGGTGGGGTGCTGAGGGCCGCGTGCTGTTGGCCTAGGTGGGGTGCTGAGGGCCGCGTGCTGTTGGCCCGGGTGGGGTGCTGGAGGCAGTGTGGGTTGATCAATGTATCAGGTCCCTGCAGGCCTCAGGTGTCAGGAGCTCTCTCTGGGTCTTAGGTGAGATTCTAGCCGGGGAGGGAGGAGCATGCGTGTGTGGAGAATTGTTTAGCACAAGACTTTCTCAGACTTCTCAATTGAGGTTCTTGGGAAAGAAACATTCAAGTTGTGTGACTCCCAAGGTTTGGCAGAAGGAAGCACAGAACTTTGGGTACGGGAAGAAACTGAGCTTCCTCCTGGTCAGCCTCTCTGCGAGCCGCACCAGCCCCAACGCTGCCACGGAGGGTGCCTCGGACGCCCGACCTCGGCTGCGTCCCACAAGCCCTCTGTGGCTTGTGTCGTGTCTCGTGGGCGTCCTCGGCCGTCATTGGCCTTTTCGGGGGCTGTGTCCGACAAGCCCTCTGTGGCTCGTGTCGTGTCTCGTGGGCGTCCTCGGCCGTCATTGGCCTTTTCGGGGGCTGTGTCCGACAAGCCCTCTGTGGCTCGTGTCGTGTCTCGTGGGCGTCCTCGGCCGTCATTGGCCTTTTCGGGGGCTGTGTCCGACAAGCCCTCTGTGGCTCGTGTCGTGTCTCGTGGGCGTCCTCGGCCGTCATTGGCCTTTTTGGGTTTGCTTCTTGAGTCCAGTCTGTCAGCAGCTTCTCCGGCGACCTCACGCCCCTCCAGCTGCGCTGCTTCCTGATTTCCAGGCCTCTGAGGCTGCAGTGTGATGGGAAGCATTTTCCTGCTCTTTCCTGACACGATGCCCGTGACCCCTCCGTGTGTGATCTCCGGATTTCATAACTTTCAGTCCTAAGTCCCTCAAATATTTGCGACGGGCCTGTGGCTTTTGCACTAGTGCCATCTGCCCCAGCCCTGGAGCCCCTGGCCACACACAGGCTCAACACTCCTCTGCCCTCTGCAGCTGCCGCCCACCCGGGCACCCTGCAGCCCCATGCAGAAGGCGCCGGCGACCTCGGGGACTCCCTCAGGACTAGAGTGCTCTGGCGAAAGAGCGTGGTGGCCGCCAGTAGGGCGCTCAGGGTCTCGCGGGCCCCTCTGGATAGCGCGGGTCTGTGCGGGGATCGATGTCAGGAATGCCCAGGCCCTGCCCGGCACCAAGACCACCCAGGATGCACCCCAGCTCGGGCTGCCCAATGGAGAAACACAATGTTCTAGAATATTCAGCGCCTCTCCCTGCAGTGTGAAGCTGAGAATCACTGCTGGTTTCTAAGGGAAACCTGTGCTTACCCAGGAGTCCGGGGGTTCCGCCCCCCACGCATGAGCGCACACGCACGTGCATACATGATTTCATGCTTGCATGTGTTCATGCACATGCGTGTACTCATGCATGCGTGCCCACACACCCAGGCCCAACGTCCAACCCACGCCCAAGCCACCTCAATGACCAGACCCCATAGGCCCATGTGGGGCTGCTGCGCCTCTGCCCTGAGGTTGTCTCTTCACAGCTCTGTCCCTCCCTGGGTTCCCCCACAGCCTCTGCCTGGGAAGCTGGGCTGAGAGCGGCAGGGCCTCGCTCTGACCGGGGCTGTTCCAAGGCCGCCTGATCACCCACTTGCTGAGGACTACGCAGGGCAGTGAAGACAGAGGCAGAAGCCCGCACGGGCCGGGATGACGGCAGGAAGGCCTGAAGAGGTGGCTGAGGCCACCACAGGGTCCTGTGCAGACACCTCCCGGATGCTGTCTGCGCTGGTCTGGTTGAAATGGGGGCTGATGGCAGGCCTTGGTGGGCACCCTCGGCGTATCCAGCGCTGAGGACGCCCTGAGGAGACACGGTGGCTTCCTGGCCACCCCCCCATTCTCTGGTCATGGCCTCCTTCCTGTGGTACAGCTGCTCACAGCCTGGGCTCATTCCACATCAGCGCTGGCTGCACTCTCCCCAGACACCCCGTGGGCTGGCCACCGCCTGAAGCTTCCTCGGGCACTTCCAGGCTTGTGCTGGTCCCACCCAGCTGCACCAAAACTGTCTGGAGCTTCTGATCGTCCTGGGCAGACTGGGAGCGAGTGTGGACAGGGAGGTGCTCCACAGCCACAGTGGACACAGGATGCCCTGGGGGGACTGTGGAGAGGGGCCCCGGAGCTCAGCCCACAGAACTGGGGCTGGATCTTCCTGCCACTGAACCTCCTGCCTTCCACCTTCTGCATCACAGTGGCCGCTGCTTCCGCCACCTTCAGACACCAACCCAGTGATGGGGAGCAGGGCGTCCCTCAGTGTCGGCCCGTGATGGCTGCAGCGTGCCCCATGCTGTGAGCTCAGCCCCCCGTTGGGGAGCAGGGCGTCCCTCAGTGTCACTGTGCCTGTGACGGCCCCAGCACCCCCCATGCCGTGAGCTCTCCATGTTTGTCGGCAAGAGGAGGAGACCCTGGCAAGTTGGGAATTGGCCTGAAATTGTTGGGAAAATGACAGAGCTGTGGCATGTGTGGCCCTGTCTCCCCCACACCGGGTCCCCAGTCGCCTGCCGGGAGCATGCCTAGGTATACGCTCCAGCGCACAGACACTCGTACAGGCACATGCACACATGCTCACACGGGCATGCAAACACACCCACAGGCATGCCCACAGGCATGCCCACACACGCACAGGCATGCACACACATGCTTACAGGCATGCACACACACAGGCACACACATGCACAGGCACACACATGCACAGGCACACACATGCACAGGCACGCATACGCACAGGCACACACACGCTCACAGGCATGCACACGCACAGGCACACACATGCACAGGCACACACACTTGCACAGGCACACACACTTGCACAGGCACGCACACACACAGGCATGCACACACACAGGCATGTACACACACAGGCATGTACACACACGCTAGCACAGGCACGCACACATGTACACAGACCTCGCCGTCAGCATAGGGGAGGCAGGTGTGGAGGCAGGACCTGGAGCTGGGGTGGAACGGATCCCAGGAGGCTCTAGCTCTCCCAAGGAGGGGCCTGAGTGGTGCCCTGAGCGAGGAGCCGGGGCACACAGGGCGTCTGGTGTTGCAAGCTCCCAGGGAGGACATGGCTCCAGTGGCCCGGGGAGCAAAGGCAGCGTCGCAGCACGGCCTCGGAGCCCACTGTCCCACAGCTGGAATGGCGTCTACGCTTCTGGAAGGTTGGAAAGCATGAAAAGAGACTTCGTGATACGTGTCAATCATATAAAATTCCAGTTTCGGGGTCCAAGAATACACTTTCGTTGGAGCGGCCACACCTGTTCGTTTCCTTGTTGTCCGTGGCTGACTTCCCAGGGCAGTGGCCACAGATTTCAGGAGATGGGAGGCCTTCAAAGTGGAAACCCCGTCCCGGCCTTTCCAGAGAAGCTGTGCTGACCCCTGACCCAGAGCCTCCTGCTACGAGAGCTATGAGATGTGCATCCTAGCTTGGATGAAATACAGTCTCGAAAAAGTACACAAAAATGATTAAAACATTAAATAAAAAATGAAGCAAATGCTAGAAACCCATGTGGACAAGCCTGTCATTTCTCCGTGAGGAAGGCCTTTTACAAAGTGTCAGACGGACCACGGCACACAGCAGAGAGTGGGTGCCAGAGGCAGCAGCCCTGCCCAGGTGTTGGGCCCCAGTGGGGCTTGCAGGCTGGGCTCTGAAATCTGGGCCGGATTCAGAACCTGCAGTACAGGCGGAGGCCCTGGTCACGTGCGTGACCCCCACGTGGCAGCCCCTCTTCCCGCAGAAGCTCCTCCCTGCATCCTCTCCCTCGGGCAAATGGCTCACATGAGATCGAGGACGTTGTGTGCTCCTGTGCCCCTGCCCAGTGTCCCCATCCTGTGTCTCACGGGGTCCTGGGAAGTGCCGTGCCAGGACCACAGAGGGCAGGGGCGGGCACCCTGGCACTCAGCCCAGGACTGGGAATGCCGGAGGGAGCCGTGTACGGGTGGGAGGGTGAGACTGGCTCTGGGTGAACGGGCGCAGAGACCCAGGAAACTGCCCCCGACGTTGGCAGCACTTTTGTTGTAGGCGGAATTCCAGGTGTGGTTTTCTATGAAGTTCAAAGAAAGCAAAGCCGCAGCCCTGCCTTGGTTGGCCGAGTCGGGGACGAGGCCGCCTGGTGCGTGTGTAAAGCTCCCGGGACTTGACCTGCCGCCCCTGGAACCTGCCCCTCTCCCAGGCCGTGGGCTGAGCCACGCCTGCTGTGGTTCTAAGCCCGTGGCACTCGGGTGGCCCACTGGCCACTGCCCAGCCGGGTGCCTTCCACATGAAAGCACCCAGGACGTCTTCCTGATGTGAGGGGCACCGCACCCCCAGGGAAGCTGCCCTAGACCCCTTCCCTCTCCGAGACTCCCCTGCCCTCTGTGTGCCCACTGAAATCTGGAGCTCAGGCAGTGCCGGGTTTGCTGTGGCTGCCTCAGGACCGCTGCTGAACCCTTTTCTCTCTCTGCCTTTAGGGGATGATTGCCGAGCTGAAGGTGCGTGGGGACCCCCAGGTACACTGCCTGGATGAGGACGATGACTCGGATGGGGTGAGTGACGGCCAGGGCCCGGGCAGGGGGCTCCCTCCACCCCTGGGATGCGGGGTTCAGGGCCAAGGGCTGTGTGTGTGAGTGTGAGTGTGTGAGTATGTGTGTGTGTGTGAGTGGTGTCCGTCTTGTGTGTTGTGTCCACATGTCTGCATGGTGTGTCTCTGTATTTGCGTGTGGTGTGTGTGTGTGTGTGTGTGAGTGAGTGGTGTCCGTCTGTGTGTTGTGTCTGCATGTCTGCATGGTGTGTGTGTCTCTGTATTTGTGTGTGGGGTGTGTGTGTGTGTGTGTGAGTGGTGTCCGTCTTGTGTGTTGTGTCTGCATGTCTGCATGGTGTGTCTCTGTATTTGCGTGTGGTGTGTGTGTGTGTGTGTGTGTGGTGTCCGTCTTGTGTGTTGTGTCCGCGTGTCTGCATGGTGTGTGTGTCTCTGTATTTGTGTGTGGGGTGTGTGTGTGTGTGTGTGTGTGAGTGGTGTCCGTCTTGTGTGTTGTGTCCGCATGTCTGCATGGTGTGTGTCTCTGTGTGTGTGGGGTGTGTGTGTGTGTGTGAGTGGTGTCCGTCTTGTGTGTTGTGTCTGCATGTCTGCATGGTGTGTCTCTGTATTTGCGTGTGGTGTGTGTGTGGTGTCCGTCTTGTGTGTTGTGTCCGCGTGTCTGCATGGTGTGTGTGTCTCTGTATTTGTGTGTGGGGTGTGTGTGTGTGTATGTGTGTGAGTGGTGTCCGTCCTGTGTGTTGTGTCTGCATGTCTGCATGGTGTGTGTGTCTCTGTATTTGTGTGTGGGGTGTGTGTGTGTGTGTGTGTGTGTGAGTGGTGTCCATCCTGTGTGTTGTGTCTGCATGTCTGCATGGTGTGTGTGTCTCTGTATTTGCATGTGGTGTGTGTGTGTGAGTGGTGTCCGTCCTGTGTGTTGTGTCTGCATGTCTGCATGGTGTGTGTGTCTCTGTATTTGCATGTGGTGTGTGTGTGTGAGTGGTGTCCGTCTTGTGTGTTGTGTTCGCATGTCTGCATGGTGTGTGTGTCTCTGTATTTGTGTGTGGGGGGTGTGTGTGTGTGTGAGTGGTGTCCGTCCTGTGTGTTGTGTCTGCATGTCTGCATGGTGTGTGTGTCTCTGTATTTGCGTGTGGTGTTTGTGTGTATGTGTGTGTGAGTGGTGTCCATCTTGTGTGTCATGTCCGCATGTCTGCATGGTGTGTGTATCTCTGTATTTGTGTGTGGTTGTGTGTTGGTGGACTATGCAGCATCACGTGGTACCTAAGGGGAGACTCTGCCAGTCCCAGAAGGTGTGAGGAACTGCAGGGAATTGTCATTCGGGGCCCAGGTCACGACGTGCCCATGTGGATGTGGACCCACGGCCTCCCTCCTGGGTGGCGTGGGCAGGACACAGTGTGGCTGGGCTGTGGGTAGCGTTCATATATCCGTGTTAGTTTCATGTTTTTTTCTATATTTTGCCCAGTAATTCTGTTGTTTTTACCTGGAACATGCCAGAAGATGCCGGCTTGTTTACATGGCGGCTGTGACAGGGCTGCTCCCTGGTGCAGCTTGCTGGGTGCTGGGGATGGCTGAGGCGTTGCTGTGTCACCCCTCCCGTGGCTTACCTTGCCCTCACGGGTCATTAGCCGACCCTGAGGATGTTTCTTTCTCCTCCGGGTTTTCATGAGGTTTGAAGCATCTGGCCGGCTTGGGGTGCGTTTGGCCCAGGCCTGGCCCAGTGGGGCCTCTGCCAGGGAACCCGGTGGGGACGCGTCTATGGCATGGCCTCTTCCAGGGCAGGGCTCAGGTCAGAGGAGAGGAGCGTGTTCCCCGCCTCTGTGTGTCTGACCGGCAGCCAAGGCACCTTTGGAAGTGTCACTGTCCTCGACCTGATTGGACGTCACTCACTGAAGCCCAGATGGTGCCCGGGCAGGGAGGGCCAGTGTGCCCACCCAAGCGGCCCCTCCAGGAGCACCAGAAGGGCTGGACAGGGCAGGGGCGAGGCGGGAAGGGGCCCAGGCATGCTGGGGTCGGGGCCTGGCTGCCATGTCTCCCTTCCTTTTCAAACCCCTCAGGCATCCGGAGACTTCGGCAGTGGGCTCGGGGACGCCCGGGAGCCTCTCGGGGTGGAGACGGTGAGTAGCCAGCGAGGCCAGCCCACCCTGCAGGGTCCCGGAGGCCCCTCCCAGTGGCGGGGTGCGCATGTGTGCACAGGTTTGAGGCCCCAGGAGCTCACTTGATGCCAGGAAGCGGATTCCCAGCTGGAAACAGACACTGGCTGGGCACACACTCCGAGCCTGGGGCAGGCCTCGGTCCCGCCCTCCTGGCTGCTGCGTGTCTCTGACGAGAGGACATTCCTTTAGAACAATGTCCTGACCCTGCACATTGCTTGTCCTTGAGGCAACCTTGGCCTTTTGCTCCCCCACCCACAGAAATCCTGCAAGAGAAGCACAGCGAACACCCAGCACCTGTACCCAGAACCAACATTGGGGCCTCAGCATCTCCCCATCTGCCTCACACACACTCTCACACTACACAAAATACACACACACAACACATACACACTGCACACATCACACCACACACTCTCACACTACACAAAATACACACACACAACACATACACACTGCACATATCACACCACACACTCTCACACTACACATACACATCACACACTACACAAAATAGACACATACACACACTGCACACATCACACCACACACACACTACACATACACATCACACACTACACAAAATACACACACCACACATACTGCACACATCACACCACACACACTACACATACACATCACACACTACACAAAATACAACACATACACACTGCACACATCACACCACACACTCACACTACACATACACACACATCACACACTACACAAAATAGACACACACACACTGCACACATCACACCACACACTCACACTACACAAAATACACCACACACTGCACACATCGCACCACACACTCACACTACACATACACACACATCACACACACACTACACAAAATATATACACACACACCACACACACTGCACACATCACACCACACACTCACACTACACAAAATACACACAACACATACACACTGCACACATCGCACCACACACTCTCACACTACACATACACACACATCACACACACACTACACAAAATATATACACACACACACCACACACTGCACACATCACACCACACACACTACACATACACATCACACACTACACAAAATACACACACACCACACACACTGCACACATCGCACCACACACACACTACACATACACACACATCACACACACACTACACAAAATATATACACACACACCACACACACTGCACACATCACACCACACACACACTACACAAAATATACACAACACATACACACTGCACACATCGCACCACACACTCTCACACTACACATACACACACATCACACACACACTACACAAAATATACACACACACACACCACACACATACACATTACACAAGCTCCATGAGCTTGTGGTGGCCGCCGTGGGGTGCACGGGTGTGAGTGTGGCTAGCAGGAGAAGGCAGTCTTCCAGGCGGCCACCTTCACAGCTTTCCCCAGCCCAGGCACCTGAGAAAACATGCAGGAGGGGCGGGTGGCAGGGCAGGGAGGCCCAGCACCATGACCGCGCCCTGCACGGCACTTTCCGCTGGAGAAGGGCGTGGGAATGCGTCCCTGTGGGGACCCTCAGCAGGGACACATCAGCTTCGCGGCGTGGCCCGTCTCGCGCCGGGGGCCTTCTGCGGCGATGGCAGACTCAGCCCTCCCGCCACGACAGGCGCGTTCTGGGACCCTGGGAAACGGGCGGCCACAGCCCACCACAGGAAGCCCCTCGCCCGCAGCCTGGAGCTTCCCAAACCATCCTGTTTCAGAGGATTTTCCTCTTTCCTGCAATCCTAAGTGTTTCGTTGCACATACCAAGCAAGTCTCCACTGGGCATCTGCCGCCGAATAACAAGCCGCCTCCCCTCATCTGCCAGGGCGCAGCGCTAAAACCCAGGCTCCCCACGCCACCCCCGGTCACCGCCCCACCCTTGGCTGGAGGCAGCAGCATGGAAGAGTCCAGAACTGAAGAAAACGAGGAGCAGACCACGGCGCCTACATTAGGAGGTAAGCTCTTTTCTGGATGTGGTGTGAATGTGTGTGGTGTGGGGGGTGCGCTGCGTGTGTGAGTGTGGTAACGTGTTTGTGTGACTGTGAGGTGTGTGTGTGATATATGGTGTGTGTAGTGTGTTGCGTATGGTTCATGTGTGTGTAGTGTGTGGCACGTGTATGTGTGGTGTGTGGTGTGTCTGTGTGGCGTGGCGTGTTTGTGTAGTGTGAGGTGTGCCTGTCTGTGGTGTGAGGGCTGACTGGGCGCCAGCCAGGCCCACGGGCAGTGGTTTGCTGAAGGAGGAAAAGCAAAATGCATTGTGATCCTGGGTGCTCCCACACCCCTGTCCCCAGAGGAGAAGCCACCTAGGACTTCCTGGGCCAGTGGCGGGGGGCGGGCTCTGAACATGGGCTGAGTGTTAGAGCCTCACGTGGGACCAGCTGTCACTTTCCCCAACGTGGCCCTGGGTTTGTAGGAGGCTGTTGTCACTCTTAGGAGATATCGCAGGATTCAGGGGAAGAAGGATCGTGATAAACGCCACGAACTCTGAAATGTGTCTGACTGCTAAAGAAGAAATGATGAAGGGTGTGTGTGTGTGTAGTGGGTGTGTGTGGTGTATGTAGAGTGTATGGTGTGTGTAGTGTACGTGTGTGGCATGCAGTGCATGTTGTGTTGCATGTGTGGTATGTATTGTGTATGTAGTGTGTGTGTGCATGTGTGATGTGCATGTGCAATGTGTGTACAGTGTGATGCGTGGTAGTATGTGTAGTGTGTGTGTGATGTGATGTGTGTAATGTGTATGTGTGTGATATGTGTGTATATTATGTGTAGTGTGTATGTTGTGATGTGTGTAATGTGTGTGTGTGATATGTGTGTATATTATGTGTAGTGTGTGTGTGGTGTGATGTGTGTAATGTGTGTGTGATATGTGGGTATATTATGTGTAGTGTGTGTGGTGTGATGTGTGTAATGTTTATGTGTGTGATATGTGTATATTATGTGTAGTGTGTGTGCTGTGATGTGTGTAATGTGTGTGTGATATGTGGGTATATTATGTGTAGTGTGTATGTGGTGTGATGTGTGTAATGTGTATGTGAGTGATATGTGTGTATATTATGTGTAGTGTGTATGTGGTGTGATGTGTAATGTTTATGTGTGTGATATGTGTGTATATTATGTGTAGTGTGTGGTGTGATGTGTGTAATGTGTGTGTGATATGTGTGTATATTATGTGTAGTGTGTATGTGGTGTGATGTGTGTAATGTGTGTGTATTATGTGTAGTGTGTGTTTGGTGATTTATGTAATGTGTATGTGGGGGTGTGTGTATATATGTGCAGTGTGAGTGTGTGGTGTGTGTGTAATATGTATGTGTGTGGTGTGTGTATATTATGCATAGTGTGTGGTGTGGTGTGTGTATATTTTGTGTGTATATTGTGTGGTGTGTGTGTATATTTTGTGTAGTGTATGTGTGATATGTGTATATTGTATGTGGTGTGTGTATATTTTATGTAGTGTGTATGTGTGATGTGTGTATATTATGTGTAGTGTGTGTGGTGTGATGTGTGTAATGTGTATGTATGTGGTGTGTGTGCATATTTTGTGTAGTGTGTGTGGTGTGGTGTGATGTGTGTAATGTGTATGTGTGTGTATATTATGCGTAGTGTGTGTGTGGTGTGTGTATATTTTGTGTAGTGTGTGTATGTGTGATGTGTGTATGTTATGTGTAGTGTGAGAGTGTGGTGTGCTGTGTATAATGTGTATGTGTATGATGTGTGTGTTATGTGTGTATATTGTGTGGTGTGTGTGTATATTTTGTGTAGTGTGTATGTGTGATGTGTGTATATTGTATGTGGTGTGTGTATATTTTATGTAGTGTGTGTGTGATGTGTGTATATTATGTGTAGTGTGTGTGGTGTGATGTGTGTAATGTGTATGTGTGATGTGTGTATGTTATGTGTAGTGTGAGTGGTGTGCTGTGTGTAATGTGTATGTGTATGATGTGTGTGTTATGTGTGTATATTGTGTGGTGTGTGTGTATATTTTGTGTAGTGTGTGTATGTGTGATGTGTGTATATTGTATGTGGTGTGTGTATATTTTATGTAGTGTGTGTGTGATGTGTGTATATTATGTGTAGTGTGTGTGGTATGATGTGTGTAATGTGTATGTGTGATGTGTGTATGTTATGTGTAGTGTGAGTGGTGTGCTGTGTGTAATGTGTATGATGTGTGTGTTATGTGTGTATATTGTGTGGTGTGTGTGTATATTTTGTGTAGTGTGTGTATGTGTGATGTGTGTATATTGTATGTGGTGTGTGTATATTTTATGTAGTGTGTGTGTGATGTGTGTATATTATGTGTAGTGTGTGTGGTGTGATGTGTGTAATGTGTATGTGTGTGTGTATATTATGCGTAGTGTGTGTGTGTGGTGTGTATTTTGTGTAGTGTGTGTGCACGCACGCGTGCACATGTGTGTGTGAGGCAGGTGGGGAGATGCTGAGGCCCCGATGTTGGTTCTGGGTACAGGTGCTGGGTGTTCGCTGTGCTTCTCGTGTAGGATTTCTGTCTTTGGGTTTTCAATTTTATTTTAATTACGAGTTAAGAGAGGAAAAGGAGAAGGGAAATGCATGCTGTGGGCAAGGAGTTTGCGGGGCTGGGTCTCCTGTAACACATTCAGGAAGCATCTACCACGCTTCAGCTGTCGTCGGCTTAGGTGGCCACACGGGCTCGCTGCTGATTTTAAATTCTCTCTCCCTGTTGCTGGTGCCTGGGACCCAGAGCTTTGGGAAATGCGGCTTCAGGCTGGGGATCAAACTGGAGGCACCCGGGGGGGCCGAGAGCAGAGCTGGGGGCGCCCGAGGGGCCTGACCCTGGCCAACTCTGCTTCTCTTTCCAGCTCAGACGCTTCCTGGCTCAGATTCTGTCTCCACGTGGGACGGGAGTGTCCGGACCCCAGGTGGCCGCATGAAAGAGGTAAGGCCACTCTCCGCGCCCTTGAGCCATCGTGAACCAGATTTCCTGCGGCACTTGGGGCCACTCGCTGGCGAGCCTGATGGAGCCCCTCTGCACCTGCACCTCCTCTGTGCCCAGCACACGGTGCCAGCATGCGTCCACCCTGCATGTCCACCAGGGGAAGCAGAACCCAGCCCGGGACTCTGGAGGGCACAGCGGGGCATGCCAGCAGGTGTGAGCCCCACCCCAGCCCCGGCCCTTGTATTCTTTTTATTCCCAGGGCGGCCTGAAGGGGCAGAAGGGGGAGCCAGGTGTTCCGGGCCTGCCTGGCCGGGCAGGCCCCCCAGGCTCCCCATGCATCCCCGGTCCCCCGGGTCCCCCGTGCCCAGTCAGTCCCCAGGGTCCTGCAGGCCCAGCATTGCAACCTGTCCCCGGACCACAAGGACCTCCGGGGCTGCCGGGCAAGGATGGCAGCCCGGGAAGGGACGGCAAGCCGGTGAGTCCTTGCACCCCCAGTCTGGCCCATTTGGAGGTGGGGCTTGGGCAGGAGCGGGAGAGGCTGTGGCTGGCATGGGAGTGGGATGGGGGCAGGTCAGCAGCATCGTTGGGACGCTGGAGACCCTGGGACCCTGCTTGGGGTTGGTGCTGGGAGGTGGTCGGGTGCGGGAGGCGGAGCTACTCAGACACAGCCCTTGTGGATGTGAGAGGCTCCTGGCCCAGGGGCCGGGGCATCGGGGGAAGGTGTCTTTGCCACCTCATGGGGACTTCGAGCGTGGGGTGCATTTCCACGTGCAGATTCTGGGTGGGCAAGAGGTGTCATTTACCGTCGCTAATGGCTTCTCTTGCACACTCAGGGTGACCCTGGCGAGGATGGGAAGCCGGTGAGTCTGCTTGTCCTGAACCCGTGTGCTAGACCTCGGGCTTTGCCACCGATGACACTGTTTAAACGTGACCCAGTGAGGAGACTGCACAGCAAAACTGTTTTGAAAATGAAACTTTAAAAAAAAGATGAGTTGACGGGAAACAGGCAGTTATGCATTTGTGTTGAGATGTTTAGGCCACAACTACCAGGAGGGAGAGGAGTAAGAAAAGGCAGAGCTTCCAAACCCTCAGAGGGGAAACGCACAGCAAAGAAGCCGGAAGTGGGGAGCGGGGGCGAGACGGGGGCGAGACGGGGGCGAGACGGGGCAGACCTCCGAGTGGCTGGGGGCACAGTCAGAGCTTCCATCTCAAAACACTCGGTTCGGATTTTAAAAATCAGCAGCACTGTTTCCAAGAAGACAGTCAAATCACAAGCAAATAGAGACCCGGGAGCAGCCTGGCCAGCAAATGGTAACACGCGGCAGGAGGTTTCACGTGAAAAACAGTCTCGAGGGTCTGAAGGGGCAGGGGGCATCGCCTCTGCCACCCAGTGGTCATTCCCGACCCCACAGCCAGGCTGCCTGTGACGAGGGCCATGGCAGATAAGCAGGGCAGTCGGCTGGGGGCGGCACAGGCCCAGCCTCTGCGGCGGTGTGCGTGCGTGTGAGTGTGTGTGGGGCAGGAGCCACGTGGCTCAGCAGCAGGCTCGCTCTCAGACCTCCCCATCCACACAGTGAGCCCGGCCCGCCTTTGTCACGCCCACTGGACGGTTCAAAACACTGACCTTCACTTACGTACAAGGCCCTCACCTGCTGACCCATGTAGCTGACACGCAGGTGCTCTGTCCACAACTCCCCCACAACACCGCATGCTACACACATGCACACACACACCACACATACACCACACACTACACACATGCACACTCTGAATTACACACATCACACCCCTCACACACCATGTATGCACTCACACCACACGTACACATACCACACATGCACCAGACTACACAATGCACACACACCATATACCACACACTAAACACATGCACACACACATCTCCACACACACAGCACACCCCTCACACACACGGCATGCATACCCACACACGTATGTAACAGTCTAAGCACCGGCCACTGTGGAGGCCATCGGGGAGGGGTGTTCCCTTGGCTCCCCAAGGTGTCCGGCGAGATGGACTCAGGTGGGGGCTGCTCTATGGGCCTGGCACCCTCCTACCTTCCAGACCCTGGGGACTCCCCTGAAGAGCTCAGCTCCCGTTGGTCCCCTGCTTGGGGGACGAGCACAGAGGGTGCTAGGCCACGGCCTATGGTGGTGCCTCCGCTGACAGGGACCCTGGCTACTGTCTTCCAGGGCGACACAGGGCCACAGGGCTTCCCTGGGACCCCAGGGGACATGGGCCCCAAGGGTGACAAGGTGAGTCTTTGAAGCTGGGTGGGGCCCCCTTCTGTGTTTGCCCTTGGCCTGAGGTGGGGGGCTGCCTGTGCTCAGGGTGTGATGGGCTTGTCTTGTGTTCCCAGGGCGACCCCGGGGTTGGAGTGAGAGGGCCCCCAGGACCCCAAGGGCCTCCGGGGCCTCCAGGACCCTCCTTCAGACATGACAAGCTGGTGAGTCCCACCCCTGGCTTCCTGCGACCCGGGGTCTGCCCTTCTCAAAAGTGGGCACTGCCTCTGGCAGGCATCTGGTCCAGGTGCATCAGCTCCACCCTCAGGGGCTTATGTGGGGTCTCAGCTGAGCTGAGGGTCACAGGTGTGGTGAGAGACCTCGCCTACCTGCCTTCAGCTTCTCTGGGGCAGCGGAGGGGCCGTGGTTTCTCAGCTCCTCGTAGAAATAGCTTGATAGGCAGTTTGTGGGGCCGGGAGTAGGCCAGGCAGGGAGTCCGGGGAGGGGGCAGAATTAGTCCAGGTTGGGCACTGGGAGTAGGCCTAGTTGGGGGCGAGGGGGGAGGGCAGAAGCAGTCCTGGGGGGCGGGGCGGGAGCAGGAGTCACCCTGGCCGGCAGGGAGGCAGGAGCCATATGGGGGGCCAGACTCTGGGCACCACGTCTCCCCATTCTCTCCTGCAGACATTCATTGACATGGAGGGGTCTGGTTTTGGTGGTGACCTGGAGGCCCTGCGGGTGAGTGGCCCTTGGCCAGTGTCTGTGCCCGAAAGGCTGCAGAACCCCAAGATGCAGCTGGAGTCCTATGGGGGGTTGGGACCAGGCCCGGTTTGGGGTTGGTGGTCATCCTGGTGGGTGCCACATGGGCCGTGACCATCTGTGTTTGCCACGTCCAGGGTCCTCGAGGCTTCCCCGGCCCCCCTGGCCCCCCTGGTGTCCCAGGCCTGCCTGGTGAGCCCGGCCGCTTTGGCATGAACAGCTCCGACGTCCCAGGACCCGCAGGTCTTCCTGGTGTGCCTGGGCGGGAGGGTCCCCCCGGGATTCCTGGTCTACCGGTAAGTCCTGCCCCCCATCAGTGTTGGGGGCCCTGTCTGCTGGGAGTGGGGGTCCCTGCCCTACCACCGGGAACCCCAGTCCTCACCCCCTCTCACCTTGTCTCCTCTGGGAGCTGGTGGGTGGCTGCTTACAGGGCTGCCCTGGGGCATGCAGGGGCCCTGTGTGACCACCCTGTGGTTCTGGGGGTGCTGACCAAGGGTGACCACAAGCAAGGCTTCCCACCCCTCTGGCCCTTTGGGTCCACGGACCACACAGACAGTGTCTCCATGAGTGATTCCCACAGGTGGGGGTGGGAGAGGCGCGGTCAGCACCTCTGGAGGCCCAGGGACGGGAGGAGCCTGCTTGGCCAGCGCGGCTCATGGGGTCTCAGGGCCCTGTGGCAGGGTCCCCAGCAGCTCTGGGGCACGTGACAAGCAGCAGGTGCCCACAGAGGTGGCTGTGTGATTGGGTCACGCTGCACTGGTGTCCCGTGGCCTGGGACCTGGGGTCACTCAGCAGCATGTCATGACGCATAGGACAGGGACTGTGGAGTGAGGCCACACGTGGTGTGGCCCTGCTCTGGGATGGTCCCCACCTGAGCCAGCCCACCCTGCTGATGGGCGTCGCCGTCCCCATCGGCTCTGAGGCATCCTGCACCATCTGGTGCCACGTGGCGGGCGCTCCCCAGGGTAATTGTCAGGGGCAGTTTGGGCTTCAGGAACGTGCCTAATTCACATTCATACCTGCGGTCAGACGGCCTCCTGGAGGGGGTAGCGATTACCCAGCCCGGTGTGTGATAGTGTCTCCCAGTGTGGGGCTGTCAGCCCTGCTGTCTCATCCTGCCAGCGTGGCTACGGCACTGTGGGCTGCACACGCACTGGCATCTCCCGTGAGCCCTGGGACCCTGGCCCTGCGTCTGGGGAACGATTTATGTCCTGAAGCTCAGATAATCTGTTAACTCAGAAATCTTTTTGGTGGCTGAATGCCAGCAAGACACACTCTGCTTTGCTCTCCCCCAGGGACCCCCAGGCCCTCCAGGAAGAGAGGGGCCCCCAGGAAGGACTGGGCAGAAAGGCAGTCTCGTAAGTCTCCCTCGAGTCTGGAGTGAATGGGGCCCAGTGCCACACCGTGTGGCCGGGGTGGCCGAGCCCTGGGGGTCTGTGGGTGGACCTGGTGGGAAGCGCCTGCATTCAGCCCCCTGGGGAGTGGCCTCCAGAGTGACCTTGGGAGAGAGCTGCGCTGCTTTGGGCTGAGCTGGGGACACTCGCTGTAAATGCCCCTCGAGGCTCAGAGCCTGTGGCTGAGCCGAAGGGCTCTCCAAGCCGGGAAGTGTGCAGGTCCCCTGTGGAGCCGGGTCCAGCACTGGGATCGGGCTTGGCTTCCCTTCAGGACCCCAGTCACAGCAGAAAGAGGGATGATGGCAGCAACAGCCTCGGAAACTATGAAGCAAAGCAGGGAGCAGGGTCAGGACACAGTTACCGGCAGGGCGACGCGCCCTCCTCTGCCCGCTGTGCTGCAGGTCTGATTTTGTCGTAATCCTCCTCTTTTCCACACAGGGTGAAGCAGGCGCCCCGGGACTTAAGGTACAAGCAGAACACCCGGCACACCGGTCCCCGAGCCCCGCAAGCCCTGGGCCTGCCCGCTCAGTCGGCATGCCCCAAAGAGGGTGGGGCCTCGCGGTAGAGGGAGGAGGCTCCCGGGGTGGGCCTTGACCCCCACTCCTGCCATCCATCCTGCTGGAGGCACTGGCAGCAGCCTCTGTCACTCTTGGGAGGTGGCTTTCATCGAGCCGTGGTCGGCTGGTGAAGTGAGGGCAGACGTGGGAACGACCTCCCAGTGACCCATGCCCGATAAAGCAGCTCCCAGGAGCTTCAGGAGGAGCAGCTGGGCCACTGCAGGTGGAGAGGCTGTCTGCGGCCTCAGAGGGGCCCTAAGCTGGGGACCCAACGTCCTCCCACAGGGAACCCCCTCCCTGCCTGTCCTGCACTCTCATGAGCGTCTGGGGATACTTGGAGGGAGCGCTGAGGGCGGCTGGGGTGTCTTCAGGGGCCCTGGCCTGGCCCAGAGTCTGCTCAGACCCTCTGGACTCAGGGCTGCTCTTACATGGACCCAGCCTTCCTTCGGGCAGCCTGAGGTCTGGGCCGTGGCCTGGTTGGACCAGACAGCTTATCTGACACCCCCACAACAACCCACTTCCTCCTGCTGTTCTGCGGGAGAGGAGCTGGAGGGAGGAGCTGGAACCTGCAGAGGAGGGGCTGGGAGCCGGGCTGGGACCTCATGTCAGGGTCTGTGCCAACCCCACCAGCACCCACGCCCCTGGAGGTCACCTCAAGGATCCAGGCCTCTGGGGGCCGCCCACTCAAATCATGTTCACGTCAGGAGCTCCCCTCCTTGGGCTGGATGGGGTGGGCACTAACAGGGAACTTCCCCCAGAGCGAGGCCAAGCTCTAGGCTGGGAGTGAGGAGGGAAGGAAGGCCAGTGGGAAGAGGATGGCTGGGAGTTGGGTGAGAGCCCAGAGGGCTGAGAGGAACATGGGCTGGAAGTGAACACACCAGCACAGACAGACACACACACACACACACGTAGCCTGTGTGCATGCACGCATCTCCCAGATATGAGCACACGCACACGTGTATGTACCATGTATGCACAGCATGTACATATGTGTGTTTAGGCTATCTGCACACGTGTCTAGCATATGTGCACATCTGCATACGTGTATCTCTAGGTGTGTGCCCACATACCTTTCTAACACACATACATATACATACCTCTAGCATATGTGCGTGCACACACGTATCTGTAGTCTGCACATGCATGTATTTAGTATGTGCACATTCACGTACGCATGAAGGCTTTGAGTTAAGCAGGGGAGAAGTATTTTGATCAGATTTAAAATCACCGAAATTAGATACGCACGTATGAAAATAGTGTACGCTTTAAAAAATCTAAAATCTCAAGTAACATGAATGAGAATTCTAGAACCATCTAGAACCCTGCAACCTAATTGTAAACAATTTAAAACAGAAAAGGGGAATGAAGTTAAAGGTTTTCAACAAACCTTTTTTTGGAGATGAAATCTCACTCTGTCACCCAGACTGGAGTGAAATGGCGCCATCTCAGCTCTCTGCAACCTCTGCCCCTGGGGTTCAAGTGATTCTCCTGCCTCAGCCTCCCAAGTAGCTGGGATTACAGGCATCTGCCACCACACCTGGCTAATTATTGTTCTTTTTTTTTTTTTTTAGTAGAGACGGGGTTTCTTCAAGATGGCCAGGCTGGTCTCAAACTCCTGACCTCAGATGATCTGCCTGCCTTGGCCTCCCAATGTGCTGGGATTACAGGTGTGAGCCATGGCACCCAACCTAAGCAAACTTTTTTATAGGCACTTTTTAAAGATCAAAACTTAGATGAGGCTGGGCACAGTGGCTCACACCTGTAATCCCAGCTCTTTGGGAGGCTGAGGCAGGAGGATCGTTTGAGTCCGGGAGTTCAAGGCTGTAGTGAGCTACAATCACGCCACTGTTCTGTAGCCTGGGCAACAGAGCGAGACCCTGCATCTAAAAAGAAAAAATAAAGGAGACGAGATTTTTAAAGACAATAAAAGGATGCCAGCACTAAAATAGATTAAAACCCAGGAGTAAACTATAAGATTCTGGTAACGTGAGCCCTCTGGGTGAGTGGGTACGAGATGTTACCATCTGTAAGACCTAGAGCAGTGAGTGCCCCCCCCACCCCGACGTGAGACCAGCCCTAGAAGAGAGGAGGTGGGTTACTCGGGATCGAATTGGCGGGTGCGGGAGGTGAGGCCCTGGCTTGGAGGCCTGGCTGCTGTGGGGATGTGGGAAGCAGGAATCCCCACTGAGGGGGGCTTCCTACCTCTGCCTGGGCTGTGACCTTATCAAGGGAGCGGTCGAATTCCTGCCCCAGTTGCAGGCAGTGCTGGGCTCCTGCTGTCTCATTCGACTCTGTCCCAAGCCCGAGAAGGAACCCTGGGCCTCTCTGTCTACAGCTGAGGAAACTGAGGCTCAGGGAGTGTGTGGCTGTGATTGGGGGGTGGTGCCACTGAGGCCTCCTGCCCTGAGGTCTCCCTGCCTCAAGTTCCCGGCCCCACTTCCCTGCACCTGGCTCTCACCACTCACCTGGGTCTCTGAAACTCCAGGTGGCCCAGGGCCTTGGGTCACAGATGTGGGGGTCGCAGATGGATACACACCTCATGGTCTCCTGCTTCTCATAGCCTTAAGACTAAGAATCACCGCAACGCCTGCGTCCACTCGTGCCCCTGGTGGGCCCAGATCCTGAGCCTCCTCTCCTCCCCTTGCGTCCCCCACTGTGCATGTGCACCCGACCCAGCCAAGCTTGGGCTCTGTGGCTCTGTCCTCAGCTGTGTCTCTAAGTGGCTGGAATTGCGCTGTGAACTCGGGAAGGCCACTGTCCTCAGCTGTGTCTCTAAGTGGCTGAAACTGTGCCATGAACTCGGGAGGAAGGCCACTGTCCTCAGCTGTGTCTCTAAGTGGCTGAAATTGTGCCATGAACTCGGGAGGAAGGCCACTGTCCTCAGCTGTGTCTCTAGGTGGCTGGAATTGCGCTGTGAACTCGGGAAGGCCACTGTCCTCAGCTGTGTCTCTAAGTGGCTGAAATCACACTGTGAACTCGGGGGAAGGCCACTGTCCTCAGCTGTGTCTCTAAGTGGCTGGAATTGCACCGTGAACTCGGGGGAAGGCCACTGTCCTCAGCTGTGTCTCTAGGTGGCTGGAATTACGCCGTGAACTCGGGGGAAGGCCACTGTCCTCAGCTGTGTCTCTAAGTGGCTGAAATCACACTGTGAACTCGGGGGAAGGCCACTGTCCTCAGCTGTGTCTCTAAGTGGCTGAAATCACACTGTGAACTCGGGGGAAGGCCACTGTCCTCAGCTGTGTCTCTAAGTGGCTGAAATCACGCCATGAACTCGGGGGAAGGCCACTGTCCTCAGCTGTGTCTCTAAGTGGCTGAAATCACACTGTGAACTCGGGGGAAGGCCACTGTCCTCAGCTGTGTCTCTAAGTGGCTGAAATCACACTGTGAACTCGGGGGAAGGCCACTGTCCTCAGCTGTGTCTCTAAGTGGCTGGAATTGCACCGTGAACTCGGGGGAAGGCCACTGTCCTCAGCTGTGTCTCTAGGTGGCTGGAATTACGCCGTGAACTCGGGGGAAGGCCACTGTCCTCAGCTGTGTCTCTAAGTGGCTGAAATCACACTGTGAACTCGGGGGAAGGCCACTGTCCTCAGCTGTGTCTCTAAGTGGCTGAAATCACGCCATGAACTCGGGGGAAGGCCACTGTCCTCAGCTGTGTCTCTAAGTGGCTGAAATCACGCCGTGAACTCGGGGGAAGGCCACTGTCCTCAGCTGTGTCTCTAAGTGGCTGAAATCACGCCATGAACTCGGGGGAAGGCCACTGTCCTCAGCTGTGTCTCTAAGTGGCTGAAATCACGCCATGAACTCGGGGGAAGGCCACTGTCCTCAGCTGTGTCTCTAGGTGGCTGGAATTGCGCCGTGAACTTGGGGGAAGGCCACTGTCCTCAGCTGTGTCTCTAAGTGGCTGAAATCACGCCGTGAACTCGGGGGAAGGCTCCTGCTGCCGTGGCCTTCGTTGCTTGGCAGGGCGTTACTTACCTTCTGATTTGCAGGTGTTGAGAAAGCATCTTAAGAAAAAGTGTCTGCTCTGGGGTTGCAGGGCCAGTGGGGGCTGGGCTGGGCCCTAACATGCTCTCCTCACCCCACGCAGGGGAGCAAGGGAGACCCCGGTCCCGCTGGTGCTCGAGGGGAGAGCGGCCTCACAGGAGCCCCCGGACCTGCTGGACCACCAGGCCCCCCCGGACCCCCCGGGCCGCCAGGACCAGGACTCCCCGCTGGATTTGTGAGTACCACCTGCATCTGACCCCCAGAGAGCCAGGGGTTGCCCGTGCCCCACACCTGCTGCCCCTGGCATCGCACTCACAGAGCAGCATGTCCCTGGCGGCGGCCTCACTGGCGTTGCCCCAGCCTGCCATTTCGTCTTCCCCTTGGGGGCTCCATCTCCCACCCATGCCCTGCCGAGCTGAGGGGCTGCCCCTGGGGAACTTGGCCCAGCCACGCCCGGCACCGTTGCGCAGGAGAGAGAGCACATAAGCTGATCGCAGACAGGCGGCCTCGGGGGTCCCCACCCAGGCCCTGCCACCAGGTGAACAGTCTCCGTCCCAGAATGGCAGCTCCCCAGGCCACCATGGCCCCGAAGAATGGCCTGTCCTGCTCAGGCAGTGCTGGTCCCAGGGAGGCGTCCTTCCACAAGAAGGGACATAGGCCCACACGTGTCTTGTACTCCTCCAGGATGACATGGAAGGCTCCGGAGGGCCCTTCTGGTTGACAGCCCGAGGCGCTGATGGGCTGCAGGTACTGCCATGAGCTGGGCGTGGCCGGCTCTGAGGGGCGAGGGGGTGTTGCCTGGGGCAGAAGAGTGTCCCTTGAGCAGCTGGCCTTGCCTGGGGCGGAGCAGGCCGCATGTCGGGGGACTGTGCTGGCCACTCTTACTCTGGAGATGCCCCTTTGTTGAACCAAATCACAGGGGGAGGGCCCGGTCTGCAAAGTGGGAGACACAGTGGGTGGTCAGGACGGAGGAGCGGGGCCACTGCACCCTAAGGGACAGGCCTTTCTGGGGAAATCCAAGTCATATTCTTTTTGTGGCTCAATTTTGGGAAGTGACAAACGTTTGCCCTGAGAATCTGGGGTTCCCGTGACATCTCCGCCATATTGCACCGTCAGCGTGTATACTGGTCAGGGTTAGGGCCAGCCAGGAGTGAGCGAAGTCCCCAGGTAACCGCTCAGACAACTCATGTGTCAGGGCACACCCAGGGGCCGGCCACTCCTTCCTCCCCCACCCCCGCTGTCCCCTCCATGACACCGGCTCCCCCGTGGTGCCGGCACAGAGGAGCCCGTAGGCACCACAGCCCCTGCCTGAGACGTGGGCGGCTGAAGCCACAGCATCCAGCTTCACTCTCAGAGACTCAGCCTGTTGAGAGCAGGGGTGGTCGGGACACATTTCTCACTCGGAGAAAAATGAATGAGGAATTTCAGTTAGGCAGAAACAAGCTGGGTCCACGGGAAGTTAGCAGAGCTTCACCACTTTCACTAGCACCCCTCCTTCCACACACGGGTTTTGAAGTCTTGACTGTTACCCGCCGGCTTTCCTTGTGGGGTGAGCATCTCACCGCAGGGCCTGCAGCTGCACTAACATCTCCTCTGCCCTCACAGGGACCCCCAGGCCTGCCAGGACTCAAGGTCAGTGATTGCCTGGTCGCTGGCTTGGCCCTGGCCTTGGCACCCTGGGGTTGGGGAGACAGGGCCTCGCCTCAAGTTGTTGGATGGCAGGCGTAGGATGAATTTGGCACGGGAAATTTGCAAAATGCAGCAAAAAGCTAAACTGGGAAATAATCACACACAGCTCCTATCGGGACCTCCAGTGTGAAGGATTATTGTCCCGTTCTCTCTCCGAAGCCCATGAATCAGGATTCCGGGGTTCACGTTCCTGCAGCACACTCTCTGACTTGGGCTGAAAGAGGGGCTCGGGAAGAACCCGGGGTCCCCATCTCAGCCTTAGTGACAGGTGTGGTGACCCTGGAGGACCTGGGAATTTGTCCTCTGCTCCCCTGTTCCTGGAGGACACCAGCCCCCAGCCTGCCCCAAAGACCCCACCCTCACCTGGGCCCTGGGCAGCAGCCGCCTTTCACCCAGCTGTGCACATCAAAGCATCGTCTGCTTGGTGGCAAGGGGCCCTGGGCGCACGGGGCCCACCCTGCGGCTGGATTCTCACTTGTCACCAGCCTTGTCCTGGCGCCCGCTCCTTTGAGAATGCTCTGCTTTCATTTGCAAGACATTGGACATTTCAAGAGGCTGACTTTGGAAGGGCTGTGTGTTCACTTTCTTAAATTGGGAAAGTGAGGTCATCTCAGCAGGGTTCTGCTTGGAGTCCCAGTGATAGAATATGCCCCCAGGCTCCACTGCAGACCAGACCGGGTGCCTTTGGCCACCGTGGGTCATGGGGTCCCTGCACAAGTCTGGGCTGGGGGAGGGGCATGAGTTGCATCCTGGGTCACTCACTCTTCCCTTCCCCTGGGGTGGACGCTGCCTGGGGAGCTGGGTGGGCCCCAGTAGGTGCTCATGAGACCCTTTATCCATTTAGGGGGATCCTGGCATGCCTGGGCCACCGGGGGCCAAGGTAAGCATGATGCTGGGGCTCAGAGACGTGGCCAGGCAGGGGCAGGGAGGGCCCAGGCAGACGCCTGCCAGAGGTTGGCTCGGGGCGGCCTCCCCTGCTCTTCCTCCCACCATCCTTTCTTTATAATTGAAAATGTGCCAGTTTCAAAGGCAAAACTGCCAGGACACCCACATGCCGGGCACCCAACCCTAGGGCACCTACAGGTTTGACTGCACTGGGAGCACAGCCTTCCTCCCTCCCAGCTGCCTGACTGTGCAGGCCTCTCCGACCCTGCCACCAGCCTCCTGCCTCTCCCTCCTTTTCCCCCACTTCCCGTTCCCCAACATCCCCCTCCTCTACTTCCTCCTCCTCCCACTTCCTCCCTACTTCTCCCCCTCGCCCCCACTTCCTCCTTCCCATTCCCCTCCCCCACTTCCTCCTCCCCCAACTTTCCCCTCCCTCAACTCCCCCTCCTCCTGACACCCCCTTCCCAGGTTCTCCGTCCCTCCACAGCCCCCGCTTAGGCCCACAGGGGTGAGAGAAGACCAGGCTGTCACCATGTCCAGGGGTTCTCCAGACTCCTCATGAGGGTCCCTGCAGCCCTGGGCATGTGGCCGACGCCCTGCATCCTCCATGTGTCCCTTTCAGGGAGAAGTTGGAGCAGATGGAGCCCCTGGGTTCCCCGGCCTCCCCGGCAGAGAGGGCACTGCTGGGCCCCAGGTGAGCGGCCTTGGTGGTCCTGGGGTACGAAGGCGTGGAGCCCCAAAGGCACCATGCCAAGTTGAAAGCTGGCAGGAGGTGTGTCCCCCGGGCCCTGGGCCTCCGTGTTCCCTCCGGGTCTCTGAGCGCCAGGAGCCAGAGTGCATGTCTCCATCAGGGCTTTTGCTGGCTGTCTCTCTCCCAGGCCCCTCCCGGTCTGGAAATAAAAAACTGCAGGTCTTCATTCACAGTCGTCCCTCGTGGGAGCCTGGGGGCTCCTGGACGGGGCTCCTGTTTCTATTTATGATGAACCATCTCTTTCCTGTCTTCAGGGGCCAAAGGGAGACAGAGGCAGCCGGGGAGAAAAGGTGAGTGTCCCTGGGCAGGTGGATGGGGTAGGGGGTGCTGGGACATCCGGAAGGCTTGGCCTCAGCTGCCCCCGGGTCCATGCCGCTGCTGTCCACGTGGCTTCAGAGACTCAGGACAAAGACCCTGAAGTCGGCAGGCCGGCTTTTAGGCAGGGGCAGCCTGTGCAGCTCAGCCATCTCCCTGCCCTGCCTGGGAGGGGACTCCAAGGCTGCAGTCCACAGCCCTGTGCCCTCCTCACCCCCCATAGGCTCTGGGCACCCCCTCCAGGGCTGGGTGGCTCTGGGGTCATGGCCAGAGTGGCTGAGATGAAATGCTGGACACGTGGCATCTTCTTCCAGGGAGATCCAGGGAAGGACGGAGTCGGGCAGCCAGGCCTCCCTGGCCCCCCTGGACCCCCGGGGCCTGTGGTCTACGTGTCGGAGCAGGACGTAAGGATGCTGCATGGGTGGCCACCCAATGTCCAGACCTCCCACTGGGTGCAGAGAGCCCTCCCCGAACCCCCCACAGCCCACAGGGCAGGCCAGGCCTTGACCTCAAGGCCACACTCTGACTCCACGGTGGGGGCTGCTGAGGCCCCAGGTCAGGGATGCCTCAGGCATGGGGGCTGCTGAGGCCTGGGGTCAGTCCCTGTGTCCTTGACGCTGTGGCCGTGAGGCTGCATGTAGTCCTCCAGCTGCCCCGTCAGAAGAAGCAGACATGCCCCTGGCCCTCTGCTGAAGGCTGTGTCAGTTCTGGAACCTTCCTCTCCACTGAGGCCTGTCCATCAGGCCTTTCAGCTGTACCCTCTATGCCAGCCAGCAGCGTGTCCCACTGGTTCCTACGCCACCCTGGCCTCACAGGCAGACGCCACCCTGCCCAGCCCGGCCACATGGAATGCAGCGGCAGCCCCAAGCCCCGTGTCTAGGCAGGAGTGTGAGCCTCTGGCAGGCCCCACACTGGGTGGGCACCCTCGAGGCCGAGGCAGCTTCTTTCGCCTGCAGAGGCCTGCAGGGTCCAGAGTGAGGCGGGGCCGAGAGCGTCCTGGTGGGGATTGATGCAGGGCCCAGGGGGCAGAGCTGGGTGTGGGCAGGGCTTCAGATCCCTGCTTCTCTGTGGCTGCCAGTGGGAGGGGCTGCCTGGGCAGAGCTAAGAGCAGGCACCGTCAGCCCTCACCCTGGACTAGTTACCTACCCCTGTGCTCCGGGCCCTCACTTAGGAGGTGGGACCGCAGCAGTCTGGAGAGGAAGGTGGGGTTGGGTACAGGCGGGAGAGCCACCTCCGCGTGGCTTTGCTAGGAGCAGCCGGATGGGCATCGTGAGGCAGGGGCAGCCCAGAGGCCACAGGGACTTGGGTGTGACAATCAAGTCATCGTAACATCAGAAAAGCCCCTGGTCGGCTGAGCTGCTTCCGCTGGCAGCATCTAGAAGGGAGCATCTAGCAGAGGGAGGAGCATCTTAAACCAAAATGGAAGTGAAAACCGTGGCCCTCAGGGTGTCTGGAGTCTGGTCCCGCCGCTCTGAGCGAGAGGAGCTGCTCAGGAGGGACGCTCCCGGCCCAGGAACACGGAAAGCAGCGTTTTCCTGAATTTCCTGTTTCGTTTTGTTCTGTTGATCTTGTAAGTCTCACAGTGAGGGTCCGGCTTGATTTTAAATGCAATTCTTTGCTTCTGATTCCTTTCTCCCGGCTGGTGGACAGGGAGCCGTCCGGAGCGTGCCGGGATCCGAGGTAGGTGCCTGCGGGGACCTGGGTTCAAGGCTGGGTGGGGCCCAGGCTGCGGCACAGGTGTGTGGTGACCCCAGCTGACGCCGTCCCTCTTTCCCCAGGGCCGGCCCGGCTTCGCAGGCTTTCCTGTGAGTAACCTCGCCCCGAACTGAGCACTGCCCCCCACCGCCCTCCCTGCAGAGGAGGGAGGGTCTCCACCTGGTGGCACAGAGCAGCCTGTAGAGCTGGGGTGGACCTTGTCAAGCCTGGGGGACGAGGAAGCGATGGTAGCGGGATGTGGGCAAGAGCCCCTGGCAGGCCCCACACTGGGTGGGCACCCTCGAGGCCGAGGCAGCTTCTTCTGCCTGCAGAGGCCTGCAGGGTCCAGAGTGAGGCGGGGCCGAGAGCGTCCTGGTGGGGATTGACAAGGCAGGCACGTCACGGGGACAGCGGTGGGAGGAGGTGGAGCAGCCATTGGGGATGGGGGAGACGCAGCTGCTCGGGCCTCACCCCTGCCTGGCCCCCATTTCAGGGACCTGCGGGGCCCAAGGGCGACCTGGGCTCTAAGGGCGAACGAGGCTCCCCGGGACCCAAGGTAAGGGCTCAGGCGCCGTCCCTCAACCCCTCTATGACCCAGGGGTGGCCCCGGCCTGTCCAGGTGACCGCTGTCTGGGGATCCGGGAGTCCCTAGCCTCTGCGGTGAGGGGTACACCCCACTCGGGCTGTCCCTGTGGTCACCTCCACCTGAAAGAGGACCCAGGCTGCTCCCTGGCTGAGGACTCCAGCCTTCAGGGCACTGGGTGAGGCTTTGTGGGAAGGAGCTGGCCTGACCCTGCCGGACCTCCTGCCGTTCCAGGGTGAGAAGGGAGAGCCTGGCAGCATCTTCAGCCCTGATGGCAGTGCCCTGGGCCCTGCCCAGAAAGGAGCCAAGGTGAGGCAACCTCCTTCCAATGTGGGGGCGTGGGAGCTTCTGGGGGCTGTGGAGACAGCCTGGGAAGGGTCTTGCCGAGGGTCTCCCTGCTGACCCACGAGCCCCGCCCAAGCAGGGCTCCAGCATCCAGGCATGGCCCCTCCCCTCTTTCACCCAGGTGGGCTGGCCCACTGGCCCCTCATCCTCTCCCTGCCCCTGAGCCCACCTTGCCGAGGGGAGATTCTCAACGGCTGCAGCTCTGAGCTGGCGCCTCCCTGGGGCCTGGTCTGTGGGGTGCAGGAACCCAGGCTGTAGCATCTCAGCCTCAGCAGGTTTCTGGCTGCCCCTCCAGCCTCTTCCTGGAGGCCCTGATGCCATGGGCAGCAGCTGTTCCTTCCTCTCTGCAACCCCAGGGCAGGGCCCAGAGTCAGTTCCTCAAGGGGCCTGTGCTTGGGTCCCCGCCCCCAGCAGGCAGCCACCCGGACAAGCGGGAGGAGGGTCCTGGGAGGATCCTGGATCTTTGGGGTGTGGGGCACGGGCTCCCCCACTTTCCAAGGGAGCACTGAGCCCTCGGGGGTGTTTGGGTGTGCCTCAGACACAGGATACCCAGGCCCAGCAAGAACACCCGTCCCACCCAGCTGTGCATCTGAGCTGGGGCCTTCGGCAACTAGGACTATGTGGGCACCGCATTCTTGCACCAACGTGGACACAAACCCCAATCCTGAACCTCCCCCACTGGCGGCTCCCACCCTCCACAGAGCTGCTTGCGCCTTGGGGTCTGCCCGATGCACCCAGAGGGCCATAGGGGTCCTCAGGGAGGCTGCCAGGTGGGCCACAAGCCACCACCTAACTGCCTTTTTGTTTTTTGCTCAGGGAGAGCCGGGCTTCCGAGGACCCCCGGTAAGTGGACCCCTGGCTTTCTTTGCACTGAGCTCGGGTATGATGGCCCCCAAGGACAGGCTCGCTAAGCTGTGCGGCCCAGGGCTCCTCTCCCAAGTGCAGCTTTAAAGTGTCTGGGGCAGGTGTTGGTGTGAGGTCGCAGCGGGCTCCTCGGAGCCAATGGGTGGCCCAGGGCGCTGAGCTCTGCATGGCCCCTCTGCTTCACCGGCTCCTGAACAGGGCCTCCCTGGCTCGTGGACGAAGGCTGGGGTCTGCTCCACTAAGCCTGGCTCCCTTCCTCCCGCAGGGTCCATATGGACGGCCTGGGTACAAGGGAGAGATTGGCTTTCCTGGACGGCCGGTGAGGACCTGGGATCTCCTGTGGGGGCAGCAGATGGGACCTGGCAGTGGGGAGCAGCCCAGGCCCACAGGGGTGACATGCCCAGAGGGGAGGACATTACTGTCCTCTCCCCAGAACCGGCCCTGCCTGAGCACAGCTCTTGTCCTGGATGTGCGTAGCCAGGACCCAGGAGGAGGCCCTTGGGGGATACAGGGAAGCGGCCCTGGGTGTGCTGGGATCAGTCACCTCCTCCTGAAAGAGACCTTGAGCAGGAAGAAGGAGTGAGAAGGGCTGGGGCAGCCTGAGGGCTAGAAGTGTGCTAGGCTGAGCCTGGGCCGGGCGGGGCCTGGCGTGGTGCTACAGCAGCTACCCTGCAGAAACCTGGCTGGTGATGCCCACTGCCCAGCAGTTCACACCCCTGTGCCCCACCCCAGGGTCGCCCTGGGATGAATGGATTGAAGGGAGAGAAAGGGGAGCCGGGAGACGCCAGCCTTGGAATTGGCATGAGGGTGAGTATCCCTCAAGGGGCGGCCCGGGTGGCAGGGAGACCAAGGCCTGGGGGTGGCCTGGCCATAGCCTGGGGTCCTGCAGCTCCTACCGTGTGGCTACACTGCACTGCTCCTGCCATACCCATGCACAGTCATGCACACGCGTGGCCACTCTACATGTGTGCACATGTGCAACATACATGCCCATGCACCTGCACGTGTCCATATACACATGCCTTCATGCATGTACGAATCAAAATACCTGCACACGCATACATACACATAAGCATCTGCACATGTACGTGTGTGTCCAGATACATGTGTGAGCCCTCCCTAGCCCATTCCATGATGGACAAACACACTGCACATGTACATGCACACATGTACACAGATGTACGCACATGCACACACATACACATGCATATGCACACATGCACCCAAACACATGCACATTCACATTCACGTGTGCGTCTACACAGGCACAGCCATGTGTACATATGTGCACACCCACACCTACACGGACATATGCACACATGTGCACCCATCCATACACACACACACACACACACACACAGGCCAGCGTGGTTTCTCATGCGCATGTGCACCCATCCATACACACACACACACAGTAGGCCAGCGTGGTTTCTCATGCGCATGTGCACCCATTCATACACACACACACACACACACACCAGCGTGGTTTCTCATACGCATGTGCACCCATCCATACACACACACACACACAGGCCAGCATGGTTTCTCATACGCATGTGCACCCATCCATACACACACACACACACAACAGGCCAGCGTGGTTTCTCATACGCATGTGCACCCATCCATACACACACACACAACAGGCCAGCGTGGTTTCTCATGCGCATGTGCACCCATTCATACACACACATACACACACACACGCCAGCGTGGTTTCTCATACGCATGTGCACCCATCCATACACACACACACACCAGGCTTTGTGTTTTCCACTCTGCTGTCTCCTAGTGTCAGCAGGGTGGAGCATTTTTAGTCACCTTTTACCTGAGACACAGTGGCCTCTTCACTCCTCCGAGGGACGTTTGTGCACGACTCTGGTATGGGGTGAGGTGGGCCCAGGGCCAGGGCCAGCTCCTGTCCTCAGAGAGTCATGGCCCAAGTGACCCACTGCATTCTCGGTTCTGCCTGTAGAGGCGGCCAGCTTTCTGATTTTTCTGATTTTCTGAACCGCTCCTGCTCTCACCTGCTTTCTGACTGGCAGCCTATAACCCTAACTAACAGCTCTCTGCCCTCCCCACAGGGAATGCCCGGGCCCCCGGGGCCTCCAGGACCCCCAGGCCCTCCAGGGACTCCTCTTTACGACAGCAATGTAAGTCCCCAGTGTGCCCACTGTCCTGTGGCTGCCCATGGCTCTCATGCAGAGCCCCGCAGATGGGCTGGGCCTTCTTCTCCCTGGGCCTCTCTGCATCTGCAGGTCCTTCTGGGATGGGCCAGTCTGGTGGGTGGTGGATTAGGAGGTGAGTTCCCGAGGAAAGTGAAGGCCTCGGGAAGGGAGGACTCTCTGGGCATGCAGCCACTTCCAGCTGGAATTCTGCCGAGGGCCAGAGCCCAGGGGTGCTGGGGGCACCCCTGCTTTCCCAGGCTCAGCAAGTGGCCTCACACCAGGGCTCCTGGTTCTCCAAATTCCTGTTTCCTCCCGTTGCTGAGTGAGGGAACCCGTGTGACCCTGCACCTGTTACCTCCCATCTCTGAGCTGGGGAGGCTGCTGCGTGGCCTCACACCTGTTACCTCACGTGTCTGAGCTGGGGAGGCTGCTGCGTGGCCTCACACCTGTTACCTCACGTGTCTGAGCTGGGGAGGCTGCTGCGTGGCCTCACACCTGTTATCTCACGGGTCTGAGCTGGGGAGGCTGCTGCGTGGCCTCACACCTGTTTCCTCCATCTCTGAGCTGGGAAGGCTGCTGCATGGCCTCCCACCTGTTTCCTCCCGTGTCTGAGCTGGTGAGGCTGCCTCATGGCCTCGCACCTGTTTCCTCCCGTGTCTGAGCTGGGGAGGCTGCATGGCCTCACACCTGTTTCCTCCCGTGTCTGAGCTGGGGAGGCTGCCTCGTGGCCTCGCACCTGTTTCCTCCCGTGTCTGAGCTGGGGAGGCTGCCTCGCGGCCTCGCACCTGTTTCCTCCCGTGTCTGAGCTGGGGAGGCTGCCTCGTGGCCTCGCACCTGTTTCCTCCCGTGTCTGAGCTGGGGAGGCTGCCTCGTGGCCTCGCACCTGTTTCGTCCCGTGTCTGAGCTGGGGAGGCTGCCTCGTGGCCTCCCTCCTGTTTCCTCCCGTGTCTGAGCTGGGGAGGCTGCCTCGTGGCCTCGCACCTGTTTCTTCCCGTGTCTGAGCTGGGGAGACTGCTGCGTGGCCTGACACCTGTTACCTCACGTGTCGGAGCTGGGGAGGCTGCCTCGTGGCCTCGCACCTGTTTCCTCCCGTGTCTGAGCTGGGGAGGCTGCCTCGTGGCCTCGCACCTGTTTCCTCCCGTGTCTGAGCTGGGGAGGCTGCCTCGTGGCCTCGCACCTGTTTCCTCCCGTGTCTGAGCTGGGGAGGCTGCCTCGTGGCCTCGCACCTGTTTCCTCCCGTGTCTGAGCTGGGGAGGCTGCCTCGTGGCCTCGCACCTGTTTCCTCCCGTGTCTGAGCTGGGGAGGCTGCCTCGTGGCCTCGCTCCTGTTTCCTCCCGTGTCTGAGCTGGGGAGGCTGCCTCGTGGCCTCGCACCTGTTTCCTCCCGTGTCTGAGCTGGGGAGGCTGCCTCGTGGCCTCGCACCTGTTTCCTCCATCTCTGAGCTGGGAAGGCTGCTGCATGGCCTCCCACCTGTTTCCTCCCGTGTCTGAGCTGGTGAGGCTGCCTCATGGCCTCGCACCTGTTTCCTCCCGTGTCTGAGCTGGGGAGGCTGCATGGCCTCACACCTGTTTCCTCCCGTGTCTGAGCTGGGGAGGCTGCCTCATGGCCTCGCACCTGTTTCCTCCCGTGTCTGAGCTGGGGAGGCTGCCTCGTGGCCTCGCACCTGTTTCTTCCCGTGTCTGAGCTGGGGAGGCTGCCTCGTGGCCTCCCTCTTGTTTCCTCCCATGTCTGAGCTGGGGAGGCTGCGTGGCCTCGCACCTGTTTCTTCCCGTGTCTGAGCTGGGGAGGCTGCCTCGTGGCCTCGCACCTGTTTCCTCCCGTGTCTGAGCTGGGGAGGCTGCCTCGTGGCCTCGCACCTGTTTCCTCCCGTGTCTGAGTTGGGGAGGCTGCCTCGTGGCCTCCTTCTTGTTTCCTCCCGTGTCTGAGCTGGGGAGGCTGCGTGGCCTCGCACCTGTTTCCTCCCGTGTCTGAGCTGGGGAGGCTGCGTGGCCTCCCTCCTGTTTCCTCCCGTGTCTGGGTGCGGGAGGCTGCCTCATGGCCTCCCTCCTGTTTCCTCCTGTGTCTGAGCTGGGGAGGCTGCCTCGTGGCCTCACACCTGTTTCCTCCCGTGTCTGAGCTGGGGAGGCTGCCTCGTGGCCTCGCACCTGTTTCCTCCCGTGTCTGAGCTGGGGAGGCTGCCTCGTGGCCTCCCACCGTGGCGGTGCTTCTGGGCTTGGGGACCCAGTGGCGGTGGCCTCAGTTTCAGAACATCACCCTCAGCTGCCGCCTCTCCCCGCTCCTTGCAGGCGTTTGTTGAGTTGAACCGCCCCGGGCGTCCAGGATTGCCAGGTGAGGGCCCGGGCTCCCAGCTGGGGATACAGGCTGTGGAAGGGACCCTCTAGGGCCTCATGTTCCTTCCCGAGTCAGTGCACTCAGCCCACACTCAGTCCTGATGATCTTGGCCCTTCCTGAGACCCCTCCTGGCACAGCTGTCCAGGACCTGACCTCGGGGTGGCCCCCATTTGCTATTCGCCATTTAGATTTTGCTTCTGTTCGAAGCAGGATGGAAGCAGCCTGCTGTTGGTCAGCACGTGCCCTGCGGGCATGGCCTGTCCTCCACGTGGCCTGCTGAGGGGGACCTGGGGCTCCCCTGCTCTCCGGGAGCTCTTGCCCTGCCCATCCCCCACATCCACCTGATGCCCCCACCCAGGGCCCCAGGCACGGGGCATTTCGGGCTGGGTTCCTCCCTGGAGCACTCCATGACCTGCACTTGGTCTCTTTTCAGGAAATCGGGGCCCTGCGGGACCCAAGGGCGCCAAAGGAGAAGTGGGCCCCCCCGGACCGCCAGGTGAGCAGCTGTGGGCATGCCAGGTGGAGGAGCCCCGGTGTGGCCAGCACTGAAGCAGGGTCACACCCAGAACCCCCGGCGGGTCCTGGCCCTTCACTGTGTGGTGACCACCTTGCCCTCTGGGAAGAAGGAAGCCCCTTCTGGGTTGATGGAGCTCTCAGAGGACCTGGTTTTGGGATGGGGGTGGGTTGCAGGGCACAGGCCCAGCAAGATCCCCCTGTCACCCTACCCACTCAGGAACCGGCGGCTGCCCCTCCATGCTAGGCCTGAGTGGGCACTATGCAGAGGCACAGTGTCCTTGATGTGCTGGCAGTCCTGAGACCCCTCTCCCCTCCATGGGACTGGGGAACCTCTGCCTCCCAGGGTCTCCCAGGGCCTCGTGTGGGGAGGAGGCATTGCACAGCAGGCTGAGCCCAGCAACCCCCTCCTGCGGAAGGACGACCATGCCTCAGTGAGTCCCGCTTCCACTGAGGGTGGCAGGGCTGCTTGGATGATAAGACCACTGAGAACAGCTGGACAAAATGTGAGAAGCCACTGTTTGAGGATGTGTGGGAGCTGGCAGAGCAGAAGCCCAGAGAGCCAGGCCAGCTGTGGGCACCTCTCACCACCAGGGTCCTTTCCAAGGAGACCACCACATGGCCGCTATAGCTGGGGTTGCACCGCGGGGTGTGAAGGGACCAGGCAGGCGGAGGCCAAGTCAGGGCTGGGTCATCCTTAAGGCCTGCAGAGGCAAAGGTGGGCGGAAAGCGAGCGGGAAGGGGACGTGCTCGTCCCAGGCTTGGCCTTTGCAGTGTCTCACGCCCAGGAGGGGAGTGAGCAGCACACAGATGACTTGCCCCACCGGAAACCAGGAGTGGCCGGCGCCACGGCAGACCTGAGGCCCAGCTGATGGGGTCAGACCCACCTTGAACTCCGACAGTCACACCCATAAGCTTCGGGAAACCTGGAGATGGCAGCGGAGAGCTGGGAAGCACAGAGGGGTCGGGATGAACCCAGGGCTGACGGCGGAACTTGGGACCCATCTCTGGGTTTACGTGGATGAGACGACCGAGGAAGCAGAATGTCCAGGTGGACGTGGGGCTGCCTGTCCCTGGGAGCCAGAACGAGGGTCCCCGGGGCACCAGAGGGAGTGGTGTTTGCACCAGAATGGCCAAGGCTCTTCCAAAGCCCAGGAGGGTGCAGAACTCCCCACATTTGAAGGATCAACAAGAGTGACGAGATTTCTCAACAAAATGGGAGAAGCCAGAAGGCCATAAATGGTTTCAAAACATCCAAGAAAGGGACTGCCAGCATGGGCTCCTACAGCCGGAGTACTCCCACAGCCTTCAGAACCAGATGGCGCCCAGCAGGCAGCCACTCCAGACCTGACTTGTGTCGGCAGAGGCTCTTCAGAGAGAAGATGAGGCCAAGGGAGTGCAGGGATGGGGAGAGACAGTGCCAGCGGGCACCAGTGCAGGCTGCAGGACAGGACGTCCCAGCGACAGTGGGGTCAGAGGCCCCCTCAGTCTCAGCGCCCTGGGGAGTGGCAATAGTTCTCACTCTGTTGGACTGTGAGGTTGGAGACGAAGGCAGAGCTGACAGTAGGGGAGAGGCAGGATGGCACACACAGGACGTTTAAAACACAGACTGCATCCAAAGAAGCCAACACAGGAGAGGAAAAGGAGCTTAGAACAGGCGGGACGAACAGAAACCAGGGAATGAAACAGGAGCTCGAAGCACAGATCCATCTGCAGGTGCCGTGAGTGTGACTCGGGGAGACATGGCCACTGAAGGATGGATGGGATACACTGTCGATGGGATACACCAAAACCGACATGTGCTGCTCTAAGAGACGCTGCCCACTGCTAGGACCAGAGAGGGCAGGGCGCCCGGAGGCGGGTGTGGGGTGTATGTGGTGTGCTGGGTGTATAGTGTGGGGGTGTCGGGTGTGCTGGGTGTGGAGCGGGGTGTGGGTGTGTAGGAGTGTCTGTGGAGTGCTGCGTGTATGGGTGTGTAGTGTGTAGGAGTGTGCATATGTGGGTGTGTAGTATGGGATGTGGCTCGGTGTGTGCAAAGTATATCCTGGAGTAGGAAACATGGTCAAAAATAATAAATGCTCGGTTGGGTGCCGTGGCTCACACCTGTAGTCCCAGCACTCTGGGAGGCTGAGGCAGGCAGACCACGAGATCAAGAGATCGAGACCATCCCGGCCATCATGTGAAGCCCCTTCTCTACTAAAAACACACAAAAACTAGCTGGGCGTGGTGGTGCGCACCTGTAGTCTCAGCTACTTGGGAGGCCGAGGCAGGAGACTCCCTTGAACCCGGGAGGCAGAGGCTGCAGTGAGCCAAGATCATGCCACTGCACTGCAGTCTGGCGACAGTGAGACTCCACCCTGAAAAAAATAAATAAATGTTCATTGAGACAATGGAGCGTCTCCACCAGAGACCTTCAGTAGTCCTACAATTCTGTGCATCTAATGAGACAGCCTCAAGATACAAGTAAAAAGTTGGTAAAGTTAAAACAAAAAATCAATCATTATAGGGAGACTTTCAGCCCAGGGAGACCTGAACAGCAGGTCTGACAGGCGTCACCTGCTAAGGTCTCCAGGCCGCGTTCCCAGCATCGGGACCAGAGGCTAGGTGGACAGCAGGCCTGGCCTGCAGGAACCGAGATCTCACGACGTACAGCGAAAGCACATGGGAAATGCCACAGGGCAGTGCCCTTCCAGGCGGCTCGTGAGTCAGATGCCACAGGGCAGTGCCCTTCAGGCGGCTCGTGAGTCAAGCAGAAGCAGGTGGACGTGAGAAACAGCCCCGGAGCTTAGGTGTGCCCAGGGCAGCCGCAGCCCTCACACTGCAGCCTCGGGGGCCTTGCCCCGGCACGACCCCCAGGCTCCCAGGCACTGGGGCCTCCACAGCCAGTCACTTACAAAAGGACCCGGAGCGAGGCCCAGCCTGGGAGGAGCACGGGTCCCAACAGCAGCTGGGACTTCCAACCACAGGGACTGCGCCTGTGGGATGGGGGGCTCTGGGCATGTGGAGCCACCTGCTCAGAAGCTTCTGGGTTTCCAGGGCTGAGGTTGTCTCCACCCCTGTCAGGGTTCCAGGGGAATAGTCAGCGAGAAGGTTCGCCCAAGGCCGCCTTCCCACCTGGAAGGAGAAGGGGTTTTGTTATCTCCGTTCACAAAATTAGAGCCTTAGGTGGCACGTTTCCACGCAACCTTCCTTAGATGTTAAGAACAAACTGCACATTTTTTTGGTGAAAATAGATGGGAAGAAATAGTAAAGATCAGTTACGAATGAGGACAAGTTACATGTGCTTTATGTATTTATAAAATAGCCAGGACCAAGGAGGTAAAACAGTCCAGTCAGTTCTTTGAGAAGACTCATCATACACACCTCCGCCCAGACTGACACAAAGGAGGAAGCAGCAGGAAGCAATTTCACCAAAGGCCTCGTCCGTGGCCTGGAAGGAGCCACCGTGGTTTCCACAGCGTCACCCTCAGAGCGGGTGCGGGACCCTCATCAGGACCGAGACATGGGGGGGTGTGGGACCCTCATCAGGACCGAGACATGGAGGGGGTGCGGGACCCTCTCGCCAGGACCGAGACACGGAGGGGTGTGGGACCCTCATCAGGACCAAGACACGCTGCCTGCCCCACGCTGGTAGGAGGCGGAGGATTGATGGGAAGGGGGAAGGACCTGTGTTGCGGTTTCTCAGCATGTCTCCCACCTAAGCCACCCAAGTGATCTACAGGTGAACCATTGGGATTTGTAAGAAAATGTTCCAAGGTCACAAGATGGGGGACAGTTTAGAAAAACCACCAACTAGCCCTCAGCAATGAATGAAGTTTTAAAAAGGCACCATTAACAAAACGTCAAAATATCCCTTAACTAAGAAGAACCCTAATGAAATACGCAGTTTCTACCGAGAAATGCAGCAATGGCTGGAAGCAACGCCATAAACCTGCTGGTGCCAGTGCCTGGGGGCTGCAGGGGAAGCCTGGGCACCGTCGGACCCCACTCAGCGGCACCCCCGTCTCTCTCAGTGCTGGGGGCTGTGGGGGAAGCCCAGGCACCGTCGGACCCCACTCAGTGGCACCCATTTCTCAGTGCTGGGGGCTGCAGGGGAAGCCCGGGCACCGTCAGATCCCACTCAGCGTCACCCCCGTCTCTCAGTGCTGGGGGCTGTGGGGGAAGCCCAGGCACCGTCGGACCCCACTCAGCGGCACCCCTGTCTCTGTCCATGCTGGGGTCTGCAGGGGAAGCCCAGGCACCGTCGGACCCCCCTCAGCGGCACCCCTGTCTCTCTTGTAGGGCAGTTTCCGTTTGACTTCCTTCAGTTGGAAGCTGAAATGAAGGTGGGTGATCCCCTAGTGGGGCTGGGGGCCCCCAGGGTCCTATACATCCCCTGGGTGGCAGATGCATCCAGCCCAAGCCCCTTTTCCTCGTTCAGGCCTGTGAGAGGCGCTGGCCTCAGAGAGCATGGCGCAGGACGTGCCTGTCCCCGCTTAGTTTTTGGGAGACTTGGCTGATGCAGTGGGAGCTGGGGAGTCAAGCCCTGCTTCATGCAGCAGCAGCTCAGAGGCCTGGGCTCTGGAAGCTTCCAGCCACCTTGCCCTGGCTTGGGAGGCACAGGAGGGACCTATGCCTTGTAGGGGTTTGGGGCTCCCGTGTCTGACAAGTGCTTCCATCCACAGGGGGAGAAGGGAGACCGAGGTGACGTGGGACAGAAAGGCGAAAGGGGTGAGCTTGGGGGCAGTGGCCCCCCGGGCCCCCCAGGCCCCCCTGGCTACCCTGGGATTCCAGTAAGTCCCGGCCTGTGCAGACAGAGCTCATGTTGCAGGGGTCTGGGTCCAGGAGCTGAGGGTGGGTCCAGCCCGGCCGCTGATGTCCGCCAAGGCTGGAGAGGCCCCTGCAAGTCCAGCAGCCCTGACACATCCTGTCCCTGCAGGGTGCACGGGTGTGGGAGTGCTGGCCCCAGACGTCCCTCGCCCCCGCAGTGCTCGTGTCGTGCTTTCCTGTGGGGGCCTGGCCCATCCGCCTCTGCTCCCCGGCTTGGTGGGACAGGACTTTAGGCCTGTCAGTCCTGAAGACCCCAGAGAGCTCTGGGTCCCAGCTTCTGCCTGGGGGCCCACACGTTGTTGGGGACTGCACTGGTCCCTGTCCCAGGATCGTGCCCCAGGGAACGGTGACGGTGTGGGGTCTCTCAGGCTATGGTGTGGGCAGGGAAGGGACCAGTGACTCAGGCTGCACTCACTAAGGGGGTCGAAGCCCCACAAGCTTGCCCGACCCCTGCCCAGGCCATGAGGTAACCAGGAAGCGTCTCTTGTCCCCGTCCCTAGGGTCCCAAGGGAGAGAGCATCCGGGGCCAGCCCGGCCCACCTGGACCTCAGGGACCCCCTGGCATCGGCTACGAGGGGCTCCAGGGCCCTCCCGGCCCTCCAGGTCCCCCCGGCCCCCCAGGAGCCCCGTCATTTCCTGGCCCTCACAGGCAGAGTAAGTCAGTGGGGAGTGGGCCCTGGGCAGAGGCCGCCTCCTGTGGCTTCGTGGTCCCACCTGGTTTCTCTCCCACAGCCATCAGCATTCCCGGCCCTCCGGGCCCTCCTGGGCCCCCTGGGCCCCCTGGAACCATGGGTGCCTCCTCAGGGGTAAGTATCGAGGTGGCCGGCCAGGCACCTGTGTCCCGTGCCCTGGCTGGCTCTGCAGACCCTGCCCCTCAGAGGCACCGTCCCACGGACCCCGCAGGGAGAAGCATAGGAAGCCGAGATGCGGTTTCCAGGGTGGAAGTAGGGCGGGGCCACGGGGGGATTCAGTGGGTCCAGGAGGAGGACCCCAGCTGGGAAGTACTCGGGGTTCATGCCCTATGCACAGAGGCTGAGGGGCTGGAGATGGGCAGGGGTCCCCACGGTGCTCATGGGGGCAGCCGCCTCAGTCCATGCCTGCCCAAAGCCGTGCAGCCCCCACCCAGCACCCTAAAACGGACATCCCTTCCTTCTGCCTCCGCCCCATGCCTCCTTCCTTGAGCCCCACGCTCCTGTGTTTGGGTCCCACCAGGTGAGGCTCTGGGCCACGCGCCAGGCCATGCTGGGCCAGGTGCACGAGGTGCCCGAGGGCTGGCTCATCTTCGTGGCCGAGGAGGAGGAGCTCTTCGTCCGTGTGCGGAATGGCTTCAGGAAGGTCCAGGTGAGTGCTCTGTGCAGCACACTCCCGACCCGTGGAAGGGCCAGTGCCTCCTCCTGGGGCTGGCGGAAGGCAGGAGGCCCAGACCCCCGACAGGGATGGAGGGTGGCAGCCAGCGCTTCTTAAACTTTTAAACTTCTAGTAAAGTTAGTAAAATACTTTTCTGAGCAGTTTCGGGTTTAGAGAAAAGTGAGCTCAAGCGTCTTAAAGTGGATGAACGCATGGTTGTGAGGGGCACCCTCCCGGGGCTCCCCAGAGGTTCCCGTCATGGTGAACATTCACAAAGACGAACATCACCTCGCACACCCATTAACAAGACAAGGTGTCTGACGGGACAAGGTGGCGGGTGGGCTCAGTCCTTCAGGGGCCACGTGATGGCCACAGCCTGGTGGCTCTGCACCCCGAGTTACAAACACCCAGGTGGGAGGAGGTGTGTCCGCACTGCTTAGCACTGGCCTTGCTCACGGACCTGGCTTCTCAGACACACCCGGGGTGGTGCCATCCAGGCAAGGCCAACCCCTTTCCTGCTTTACCAAAATGGCCTGGGAGGCAGGAGCGGCCAGTCTGACCCAGGGGGGCAAAGCCGTGCTTACTGGGGGAGATTTGCCTTCATGTGGCGAAGGTGAGGATTGGTCGAAGCCCCGTGCTGCTGGAACGGCCGTGACGTCCGTGGGAGCCTCCACTGCTGAGCACCATGCATTGACGCAGCCCTGCCTTCCAGAGCCCTTCCACCCTCAAGCCACCAGCCCCCACCGGGCCTGGCTGACCCCTGCAGCACCCTGGACAGTGAACCCCACTCCAGTCCCTTCATCTGTCCAGTGAGAGGCTGCAGGTCTCACAGCAGACACTGCGCTGGTGCCCACTGTGTGCCAGGGGTCCTCGTAGGCACTGGGACACAGCCCCGTCCTAATGTTGAGGGGCTTTGGTCCTGGCAGGAGGAGGCAGGGGATGGCATCCTAGCAAACACATGTTGGGAGGGCTGGGTGCTGGGGAGGGAGGGCGCCCTGCTGTGGGCAGGGAGGGTCGGGTGCTGGGGAGGGAAGGTACTAGGCAGGGAGGGCGCCCTGGTGCAGGCCCGGCTGCAGGTCCTGGATGACCCTGCTGCTTTTTTCCAGCTGGAAGCCCAGACGCTACTCACACGAGGATTGGTAAGAAGTTTTTTTTTTCTTCTTAGAAGAAAGGGGAGGTGGATGGATGGGTGGGTAGATGGGGAGGTAGATGGATGGGTGGAAGGCAGGTGGGCGAGTGGATGGATGGGTGATGGATGGGGAGGTGGATGGATGGGTGGATGGACAGGTGGATGGACAGGTGGGTGAGTGGATGGGTGGGTAGATAGATGGGGAAGTGGATGGATGGGTGGATAGACAGGTGGGTGAGTGGATGGGTGGGTAGATAGATGGGGAGGTGGATGAATAGGTGGATGGATAGGTGGGTGAGTGGATGGGTGGGTAGATAGATGGGGAGGTGGATGGACAGGTGGGTGAGTGGATGGGTGGGTGGATGGACAGGTGGGTGAGTGGATGGTTGGGTAGATAGATGGGGAGGTGGATGGATGGGTGGATGGGTAGGTGATGGATGGGTAGGTGGATGGATGGGTGGATGGACAGGTGGGTGAGTGAATGGGTAGAAGGGGGGGTGGATGGATGGGTGGATGGGCATATGAGTGAGTGGATGGGTGGGTAGATGGGGAGGTGGATGGATGGATGGAAGGCAGGTGGGCGAGTGGATGGGTGGGTAGGTGGATGGATGGGTGGATGGACAGGTGGGTGAGTGGATGGGTAGATAGATGGGAAGGTGGATCGTTGGGTGGAAGGCAGGTGGGTGAGTGGATGGGGAGCTGCGTGGATGAATGGTGGGTGGGTTGGTGGGTAGATGGATGGTGTGAAGGTGGGTAAGTGGATGGGTGGGTAGGAATATTTTCATTTTCCTGAGTGTTTCGTCCCACTGCTGTCAGCCCTCCTTGAGTAGAGGTCATGCCTCCTTAATTGGCTCAGGAGTGAGGCCTGATGTTGAGCCACGTCAGGGACTCCTCACAGGGCTGATCCTCATCTGTGGATTCAGTCAGTCAGCCAGTCAATAGTCATGGCCCGTCCTGCATGCCGGGTAGCCGTTGATGTCCTGGGTAACCGACAGCCCGGCGCTGTGAGCACACACTGGGGATAGCAGTGCAGGCAGAGTGTGGTGGATGGCAGCCGGCTCAGGAGAGCTCAGGCTGTAGGGGAAGGCACAGAATCAATCAGGAGAATTAGGCCTGAAGGCTGGGATTTCTAAAGTGTAGGTCACCTCTGTGAACTGAGGCAGACAGAGCAAGGGCTCAGGGGATGAGAAGGTCGAAGGTCACAGGTCGCAGGTCGCCACGCCGAGGTCAGGGCCCCTGAATTGGAGCCGAGTCATCAAGAAGAGGGCAGGTCAGGGCATGTGGGCAGTGAGGGCTGCAGCTTCTGAGCGCAGCTGGGCCTGCGGGGCCTGAGCAGAGGTGACCTGCAGTGCGGCACCACGACACACAGGGCTCCCCTCCCTGGCTCCTGTGCATGCTCCCAGAGCAGCCCTGGGGTCGGGGTGCAGCTCCCTGCTCGCCAGCTCGGAGTCCAGCCCAGAGGGAGGGGGGACCTGGAGAGCCCCACCCACTGGCACCTCATTTCTGGCCTGCAGGACAACGAAGTGGCCGCCTTACAGCCCCCCGTGGTACAATTGCATGACAGCAACCCCCATCCCTGGAGGGGTCACCCCCGTCCCACTGCGCGGCCCTGGCGGGCAGATGACATCCTGGCCAGCCCCCCTCGCCTGCCTGAACCCCAGCCATACCCCGGAGCCCCACACCACGGCTCCTACGTGCACCTGCGGCCGGCACGCCCCACGAGCCCACCTGCCCATACCCACCTCAACTTCCAGCCTGTGGTGAGTGCCCCCCAAAGTGAGCTCAGCTCCACTTGGCCCCTCAGCTCTCAGGACAGTGGAAGAGGACCCAGCCCCTGCAGAGCTGCTGGGGTCCCGGGCTTCAGCCACGGGTGTGCATCTGCTGGCTCAGGGCTACTCAGGGCAGGTCGGCAGGGCCTGGGACTTGCCCTCTGGTGGCCAAGCGATCATGGAAGTCCAGCGCCCGGGAGGCGGTCCTGGTCACATCCTCGAGGGGGCAAGCCTCCGCCTACAGAGGCAGCGGGGTAGCGGGGGCTGCCATCTGGGCCCTCAGTGTCCCATGGGCATTTTCCACTCAGCCCCCCAGGCCATGCCTGTCCACACGGGTGTGGGCCTGGGTGGTGTACCCACCCACGGCCTCTGGGACGCCGCCTGGGGGCAGAGGGCAGCAGCACCTGATGCAGCCCATGAGGTTCATCTCTCCCTGGCCTCCCCCACCCCTCCTCTCTCCCTCCCTGCAGCTCCACCTGGTCGCACTCAACAGCCCACTGACGGGTAGCATGCGGGGCATCCGCGGGGCTGACTTCCAGTGCTTCCAGCAGGCACGGGCTGTGGGGCTGGTGGGCACGTTCCGCGCCTTCCTGTCCTCGCGGCTGCAAGACCTGTACAGCATCGTGCGCCGTGCTGACCGGGCAGCTGTGCCCATCGTCAACCTCAAGGTGGGTCGGTCAGTCCTACGGGCACGGATCCTTGGCCACACGTGGCCTGTGGGGTGAGCTCCTGGCAGGGGGCTTCCCTCAAGGGCCTCTGCAGGCTGCCGTGGTATAGGCGCTGCCACCCAGCCTGGTGACTTCAGGGCAGGCCCCGGGTGGGTCATACCCTGCAAGGCTCAGGCAGGGCCTCTGCATCCCTGGGCACTGCCCCATCCCCCAGGACATCCCAGGAGGCTCCTAATGTGGCCCCCGCTCCCCCACCAGTGCCACTCAGAGGCTCCCATGCTGCTGGCCTGAGTGTCCACACAGGCGACAGGCCTCTCATACAAGCCTGGAATGGTGAACTGTCCCTTGGGGCTCCAGTGCCACCCAGCCTGGTGGCCCCTCTGCCATAGCACCTCCCACGTGGCTTTGTTCTGTGGCTCCTTTTTGTGCACTGGGCTGTTGGTTTCTGGGTGCCCAGGGAGCACCCACATTCCCCAGAACCAACAGCATCACAGACCCAGGGTCCAGGGCTGGGGGCAGGCGGCTGTGGCCCAGCACCCCCCACCCTCTGATGGCCTGGCGTTAGGGGACTGGGTTCCCTGCCTTTCCGAGGCCTGTTGGGGGCCAGGGCCAGCTCCCAGTGGGACATGCCCTGGATCTGCAGAGTCCCCATACACAGGGTTTCTCCCCAGGACGAGGTGCTGTTCCCCAGCTGGGAGGCTCTGTTCTCAGGCTCAGAGGGCCTGCTGAAGACCGGGGCACGCATCTTTTCCTTTGATGGCAAGGACGTCCTGAGGCACCCCACCTGGTAGGTCCCCCGTGCCGCGCCAGCAGCTTGAGAGCCCCTGTGAGGGCGGCCGCCCATGCTCCCAATGCAGTTCAGCCTGAGTGTGGGCAGATCTGAGCCACGCTCAGGGCTGAAAAATTAAAACATCCAAGAGTGTCTAGAAAAACGAAAACTGCTCTTTGAGGTCATCAGCCATTCTAAAAATGCCCTTAAGTGCCCCGTCCCTCTGCCCGTGGCTGACAGACTCCACATCTCCCGGGCTGGCACTAAGCCTGTGGTCAGCCTCGTAAGCTTTGCAGTGCTGAAGGGCAACAGAGTCCAAGCATGTGTGCCCTTAAAATGTTGACCGAATTTCCGGCGTCCTGAAGAAGGCTTCACCCCAAATGTCCCTGTGCCCTCCCTGTGTGAGGGCTCCGATTCCTACAACACTCCTGCTTTTCGGGGCGTCTTGGGGCACCGCACAGCATGTTCCCTGGGGTGCCTGGCCATCTGCTGTGGCAGAGATGCAGCTGCCAAAGGTCTCTGACGGGAGCACTGTGGGCTGGGCTGGGCCACGGGGCTGCCTGGAAGTCAGGAGCTGGCGGGCAGAGCTGGTTCCTAGCGAGGCAGCCCCAGGAGGCCATTGCCCAGCAGGCATGAGGGCCAGGTCCACCAGCCCCCCGAGCCCTGGCCCCTCTGCCCTCTGCCATGGGTGTATCTGGGAGAAGCAGCGTGGGTGCAGTCTGGGAGATGCAACCCCCTCCACAGGCAGCTGTTGGGATGCCACGTGGCCTCCAGACTGTGGGAGCCTCTGCGGTCCCCTAGCATCCCTGGTGCCGGCCTCCTGCCTCCACCTTTCCCGCCCCAGGAGGGTGGCCTCTGCCCTGAGTGCAGCAGGTCTGGCTGTGGCTGATGGCCTGGCTTGTTTTATAGGCCCCAGAAGAGCGTGTGGCATGGCTCTGACCCCAGCGGGCGCAGGCTGACAGAGAGCTACTGTGAGACGTGGCGGACCGATGCCCCTTCGGTCACAGGCCAGGCCTCCTCGCTGCTGGGCGGCAGCCTCCTGGGGCAGAATGCCGCCAGCTGCCACCACGCCTACATTGTGCTCTGCATCGAGAACAGCTTCATGACTGCCTCCAAGTAGCCGCCGCCTGGATGCGGAGGCTGGGGAGGACGGGCTCGGAGGGAGCCCCCGCTGCGGGCAGGGAGCGGCCGGCTAGCCCCCGCTGCAGGACCTGGCTGGCATTCTTTCCTGTATAGTTCACGTGTCATATAATCCTCCAGAAATAAAAGGAAGCCAAAGAGTGTATTTTTTAAAAAGTTTAAAACAGAAGCCTGATGCTAAGATGCTCTCCTACCCCAGCCCTGCCCTGAGCTATGAGCCCAGTGGGCATGAGTTGATCATGCGGCCTGGGTCAGGCAGGGTGTGGCATCATGCCCTGTGTAGCCTCCCAGCCCGAACCAGACCACAGCTTGATTTCGACAGGAGGTCCACCCCGACTAGACCACAGCTTGATTTCGACAGGAGGTCCACCCCGACTTCCTGCTCTGGGAAGCTGTGCTCGCCCTGGCGGGCACCTAGAACTTCCTTCTATGCACAAAACCCAAACCTGTCAGCAGACGGCCCCATGAGGCAATGGGGGCTTCACTATACTCTGCACAGGGCCACCTGGTCCCCCTCAAAGTGTGCACTTGCCCCGAGGTGGACAGGAGGGTCACTCAGGTCCCTGGAGATGGGGGCAGCCCCTTCTCCTCAGCTCTGGGCCGTTCTCTACAGCAACCCCAGGCTGGAGCAGATTTTCAAGCTCAGAGGCCCACTGTGACCCCCGACTCTGGCCTATCCACCAAGCACAGGAGCCTGGAACTGGCCCTGACATGGAGGCCTGTCTTCAGGCCTGTCCATCCTATGCTGATCTCCCAGATGAGCCATGAGATACATCCAGAGCAGAGAGCTGCACCCTTGCCAAGTCCAACTAGGAGCTTTGAGGAACCCATGAGTTGGGGTGAGGCAGCCTCCCATCCAGGGCCCCCATCCCATGCCCAGCACCCCTCTTCCAAGGTGTGGGTGCCCAGAGCTGCCTCTGGCCCAAGCTGAGCCCACCCTGTTTCCTGCAGCAGAACTGCTGGGGTTTGAATCTACCTGGACAGGGCTCAGAAAACCACAGGGAGCAAAGGGGCCTCCAGGAGTTCCCAGCCAGGACATGGCTCAGCCACACTGTCCAGCCAAGAGCCAGGACAGAACAAGGCCACGTCAAAGAGGCTGAGGCTGGCATAGGACATGTTGAGGCCAGTGCGCAGGGCTGTTGGGGAGAGCTGTCATCTGGGTGCCACCATGGACAGGCTGGCCTCAGGTGCGGGGCAGTTGTCGCTGTCTGCTAGGAAACCTGCACCCTTGCCTTCCTTGGGACTGAAAGGGGCCCCTGGGGTGCACACGGGCCGCTGTGTGGACGAGCAGAGCAGCCATGAGGTGCGATGACATCCTCTGTCGCTGTCACCTGAGATCCAGCAGCATCGATGCAAGAGTCACTTGTTCTGTGGAGGAGTAAGTGGGCTCGGGGCAGTGCCAGGCTAACAGAGCACGGCCAGCACCCACCTGCCTCGAGACGGACAAAACCTGCGGAGCGGGTTCTGTAACTGTGATGTGAAGCCAGTTCAGACAGGCAAATAAAAGTGACCTTTTACACTGACACTTGGTTTGCAAGCGGCCTTCACTGTCACAAGAGCAAAGATCTCCAAAACAAGTCCTAGGAGCCTTTTAGCCCTGGAGTGCCCCACTGGTAGATCCTGAGGGAGGATGAGTGTGCACAGGCACAAGCAGGTATGCACAGGCATGCAGGGTGACACGGTGTGTGGACGTGGACACAGGCATGCATGGTGACACGGCGTGTGGGCATGGGCATACAGGCGTGCAGGGTAACACGGTGTGTGGACGTGGACACAGGCATGCATGGTGACACGGTGTGTGGACGTGGACACAGGCATGCATGGTGACACGGCGTGTGAGCATGGGCACAGGCATGCATGGTGACACGGTGTGTGGGCATGGGCACAGGCATGCAGGGTGACACGGCGTGTGGGCATGGGCATACAGGCGTGCAGGGTAACACGGTGTGTGGACGTGGACACAGGCATGCATGGTGACACGGCGTGTGAGCATGGGCACAGGCATGCATGGTGACACGGTGTGTGGGCATGGGCACAGGCATGCATGGTGACACGGTGTGTGGGCATGGGCACAGGCATGCATGGTGACACGGCGTGTGAGCATGGGCATACAGGTGTGCAGGGTAACAGGTTGTGGGAGCACAGACACACAGAGGCATGCAGGGTTACATGGGGTATGCAGGCAGAGACACAGGCCTTGCAGTTACACACAGGTGAGCTTGGACATACACAGGTGTGCAGTTAAACACAGGTGTGCCTGGGCATACACAGGTGAGCTTGGACATACACAGGTGTGCAGTTAAACACAGGTGTGCCTGGGCATACACAGGTGAGCTTGGACATACACAGGTATGCCTGGGCATACACAGGTGAGCTTGGACATACACAGGTGTGTGGTTATACACAGGTGTGCCTGGGCATACACAGGTGAGCTTGGACATACACAGGTATGCCTGGGCATACACAGGTGAGCTTGGACATACACAGGTGTGTGGTTATACACAGGTGTGCCTGGGCATACACAGGTGAGCTTGGACATACACAGGTGTGCAGTTATACACAGGTGTGCTTGGGCATACACAGGTGAGCTTGGACATAGGTGTACAGTTATACACAGGTGTGCCAGAGCAAACATACTGTGCACAGGTACACAGGTATGCATGTGTGGATACCTGTGACTGATACACTCAGGTCTCCCTGGCTGCCAGCTCTCACTTCAGGACCATGGGGGTGGGTCTGCACCTGGGTCCCCAGACTCCAAACCTGTGTTCTCTGCACGGCTCCTGTACCCTGTGGGCTCGGGCAGGACTCGCCATGCACACCCACAGCAGGATCTGGCTTGCTCCCAGGGAACAATTCCTCCTAAGCCATCCCTGTGCAGGGCTCAGAGCCAGGCAGGCGGTGGGTGCGGAGGGAGCAGGCCCTCGGGTCCAAGAGGCACTAGTGGGAGGGTGCTGATGGGGGTTTGGGCCTCCCAGTGATGCTCTGGCCCACGGCACAGGCCCGGCCCACCTCTGCCCATCACATCCTGCTAGAGCCACAGCCAGGAAATGGCTGGTGCAGACCCTTCCAGCAGGGTCCCCAGGGTGGCTGTGACCACGGCCCCATCTGACCAGCACCATCCGCTGACTCGGGCCTCTGCCTCAACCCTCATCCCAGGGTACCCCAAGATGGGCTGCTCCCCTGAGATACCTCAGGGGACCCTTGGGCCCAGCGGCCCCTCCCCAGCCAGAGATTTTGTTCCAGCTCTCCATGCTGAGCTGGTGAGCAGCCAGCCTCTCACCTGGGCGCTGCTGAGATGTGGCAGAGACCCCACAGGATAGGGTCACGGACTGGGGTGGGGCAGGAGGCTCAGCTCACGAGCACCAAGACCCCAAGTGGGCTGGTTGGGGGAGAAGGCTGGGACCCCTCTCCTGCCCTCCTCCTGACTGCTGACCCTCAAGCCCCAGGCCAGGTCAGCCTAGAATCAGAAGCCCTGCTCACACGCAGGTGACAAGTGTGTTTAATGTACCTGGAAAGAGTATTCACATCGAATCAGACGGTTCCACACCTGTGGGCAAGGCACTAACGCTCCTCAGACCTGGAGGCTGCTGAGACGCCCTTCCCCAGCGCCCAGGACGATGGCACTTGGGCGACCCTGCAAACCCAGTGTGCTGACGCCGGAGGACGGACAGCGGCTGGGGATGGGTCTCAGCTGCAGCATCAGGGCCTGCCATCTAAGGCCCCCAGCCAGGCAAGCCCCACACACACCAAGGCCAGCACGTCCGCGGTGACCAGGACCCGTCCTCTCTGGGCTGGCATGAGCATGGGAGCAGCTGAGGACCACAGGTCAGGATTACCCGCACTTCGGAAGGGCAGACGGGACCATGGAGGGCTCTGGGCCAAAGCCCTTGGAGCTGGGGAGAGGAACTAGCTCCAAGGACCAGAACCACTGCTGCCCTCTGATGGGGACTTTGCTGCCACCAACCTGAGATGGCTTTCCAACTGAGACAGAGAAGCCCCATGCAGTTCTTCGTTCTGTGTCAGTTAAAAAAAAAAAAAGCAGAGCATCTTTCAAAAAGCAAAAGCACCAAGGAAGACCAGCATGTCACAGCTCAGCTGTGCCCGGGGGTCCAGCCTCCCACCCTGCCCTAGAGGGCTCACAACTCCTGTGGGGCCAGCGTCCCCTGAGTTGCTGTCTAAGGCCACTTCGACAGTCCTGGGGGACAGAGAGAATTTGTCTCGCGCTTCCCAAGGGCATGAGCCAATAAGGCCTGGTGGATGCAGGAGCCCACCACCCTCCTCTTCCAGCAACCAAAGCCAGTGGGGCACAGCGCGGGGACAGCATGGCCACCCCCTAGGCTGCAGCCACCACTAGGGTGCAACTCAGGGCAGGGGGCTCCTGGGGGCTGCCAGCAGGACAGGTGGAGGCCCCTGTGGCTAAGGCAGGCGGCCCTCAAGGTGGGGGGCGTGGGGGTGCACCGAGGACCACCTGCAAAGTTACCACAGGGCTCCCCCAGAATCACTGGCTCACATTCTGAACGCTGACACTTAAATGACGCTGCAGACCCAGCGTCCCGACGCCAGGAGGATGGACAGCCGGCTGGGGACAGGTCTCAGCTGCAGAGTCAGGGCCTGAGGCTTGGGCAGAGCCCGGAGTGTGGGCGGAAGGGGCTGGCACTGGGCTCAGGAATCCAGCCGCCTGTGGGGCCGGGGCTAGGTCGCTCTGTCTCTGCTCCCCAGAGCCCGGCCCCGCAGCCCCCAAGCCATCTTCCGGGGAGAGCCTCAGGCTCTGGGCTGGCGGCAGGTTTCTGAGGTCCTTGTCCTGCACGCTCAGTGCCAGTGCAGCCTTCTCCTCTGCGGGACTCCTCAGGTCCTCGGCCAGCGGCAGTGGCTGGTGGCGTCCCTGTTGGCAATGCCGCAGGCCATCCAGCGCGGCCCCCAGGAAGTAGATGATGGACAGGAGCAGGAAGTACACAGAGTATAACTGGAACTGGAAAGAGGCAGGGGAGGTGGGTGGGGAGGGCCTGGCTGGATGCTGGCCCCCCATGCCGATACCTGCTCCTGGGCTCTCCTTCCAGTTCAGAGGCTGACCCCGAACAATGCACAGCAGCCAGAGGCCAGACCCAGGAGCAGGTGCCACAGTGCCTGCCACCAGGCCCCCTTCCCACCACAGCCTGGTACAGGCTTGAAGTGGGGCTCCCACTGCTTCCCAAGAACCCCTCGGAGCCTGGCAGGTGGGCTGCTTCTGCGTGGCCTGCACCATCTGCTCCCGAGGGCCCTGCTCTGTGGGGCCTGCTGCCCACCCATGGTGCCAAGACAGTGGTGGGGGAGACACACATGAGGGCCAGAACATCCCGCCTTGCAGAGCTGGGTGAGGGGAGCCACAGCAGGTGGCCAGGAGCTGTTCCCCAGGGCTTCCTGCACAGAGCGACCCCTCAGCAGCCTGCACACAGAGCCCGCCTCCACCTCGGCAGCAGAGGCTGCGCTGCAATGACCAGAAGGAGCGGCGCCAGCAGTGGCCACGTCTCTCTGGGTTCTCACGGCTGCCACAGGCAGGAGCGACTGGAAATGTTCCTGGGATACCAGGGAGAGACCTGATCACTCCTGGGGGCGCAGGGGGTCCAGGAGGCTGCAGTGCTCTCAGGACTCTGCCAGCCAGAGCCCAGTGAGACCCACCCAAGACCCCTGAGGCCAGAATCCCACAGCCCAGTGGCACCGGCTCCCTTCCAGGAAAGCTGTTTTCAAAGCAAACTCAGGAAGAGGGGCTGACATGCTTCTCCTTGTTCTCCTACCCAAGACACTGAGAAACACACACAGGAAGGCTCTGAAAGTGGGAGCAGGCGGGCAGACCACCAGGGCCTCAGGAGCTGCACCACACAGAGCTCCCTGGTGCCTTTCTTTTCGCCTCAGATGTTTTGCAACTGAAGGCAGCAAGCTGGACATGCCAACAGATGCAGGAAAAAGAGCCCATGAAAGCGGCTCTCTCCGGCCTAAGGACCAGGAAAGGTGGGGCCCAGCATGAGGAAAGACCCCGAGACAGGAATCACCTGCTCCTACCAGACACCAGATCTCGGCTGCACCCACCACACCAGCAAGGAGACCCCACGCCCCGGCCTGTAACAAGGACCCCCAAGTGCCCTGTGGGGTGGTGTCAGACAACACCAGTGGGTACTACAGCTTTCACTCCCACCAGCTGGTGAAGACCCCCACTCTCACCCCCATGGAGTCAGCAGAGACCACAGGGATGCCTAGACTTTTGTCCCCAAAGCCTCACGAAGTCAGTGGAGACCATGCGGGGAGCCAGGATTCTTACCCCAGGGGCAGCCAGGAGGCCACAGGGGGAACTAGACCCCATCCTTGCCTGGCAACAGGAAGGAGCACAGAGTGGGAAATGTATAGTGTTAGATGCATTAGAGAGTGCCCGCCCCTCTCCATGCTGGGGATGTCAGAGGAGGTCCAGCAGAGTCCAGACTTCCACCCTCTCAGCAATGATGAGCATGTCCCAACCCCAGGGGCATCCAGGAGGCCACAGGAGGAACTGGACTCCTATCCTTGCCTGGCAACAAGGAGGAGCCCCCACCCAGCCACCCATCGTCGCTCAGGTGTCACAAAGGCTGAGTGGGAACCTGAACTTCCACCCCACCTGGCTGTAGCAAGGTGCACTCCCCACATGACCTGCTGGAGCTGCACCAGCCAAAATGGGATGCTGAAGTAAGGTCCGGTCTCATTACATCATACCCAAAATGCTTGCATATCACTAAAAAGTCCCTCAGCATCCTAAACCACAAAGATCTCCACTGAAAGACAATTAACAGACACCAACACTAAGACAACAGGGATGGTAGAATTATTCAAGAACGATCTTAAACCAGTGAACAGTAACAAACGTGCTAGAAACAAATGAAAAAAACACACAGTCTCAGCAAAGAAACCGGAGAAATAAAAAAGATTAGAACTGAAAAATACGATAACCAAAATTTTAAAACTTAATGAAGCATCTCAACAACAAAATGGAAGAGGCAGAGAAAAGAATCAGTGAACTGGAGTTAGAACAATAGAAATTATCCAATCTGAACAAAAGAAAAAGAGTGAAAAAAATGAACAATGCCTCATTCCTTGTGGAACTACGTAACAAAAATCTGACATTTGTGACATGAGGGTTCTTAAAAAAAAGCGGGGGAGAAAAGGAGTTGGGTTAAAAAAGCACTTCAGGAAATAATGGCTGAAAACTTCCTAAATTTGGTGAGACATACACTGCAGATACACGAGGCTTAGTGAACCCTAAAGAGAAAACCCAAACAAAACCACAGCAACACACAGCATATTTAAACTTCTGTAAGCTAAAGATAAAAATAAAAGAAGAAATGTTGGAAGTGGCCAGAGAAAAATGACCCCTTATGGGCAAACAATTTGAATGACAGTAATGTGTCATCATAAACCCTGAAAGCTATGAGGAAAGGCACCACATTTCTCACATGCTAAATATAACAACAACAACAACAAAAATACTGTCTACCCAACATCCTATATCCAGTGAAAACATCTTTGAGAATAAAAGAGAAATCAAGACACTCTCAGATGAAGGAAAACAAAGAGAAGCATTTGTAACCAGCAGAAGATCTACCTAAAATAATGGCCAAAAAAAAGTTCTCTAAACAGAAAGGAAATTACTAAAGAAGAAAGGAATCTTGAAATAACAAGAAAGAGGAAATACCATAATAGGTAACATTATGTGTAAATAAAACAGACTTTCCTTCCTGAGTTTTCTAAAATGTGTTTGATGATTAATGCAAACATTACGACATTATCTTATGTGGCAATGAAAGTATGTAGGGAAAATATTTCAGATAATTGTATTATATAGTGGGAGATGACAAAGTGACATAAAGGAAGGCAAAGTTTCTATACTTCACTCAAACTGGTGATGTAATCCACAAAGCAACCACAATCGCTATGCTAAGTGCATTCAAAACCACAACAGATAAACCAAACAACATTGTAAGGGACGCGCAAGTGACCCGCTGGAAGCTGTAAAAAACGTAAACAGAAACTAAAAACAGAGGATACATGAAAAACTAAAAATGAAATGGCAGACTTAAGCCCAAATATAAAAATTATCCTATTAAATATAAATGGTCTACATAGACCAAATGTAAGACAGAGATTAGCAAAGTAGATTTTAAAACATGATTCGACTACATGCTGTCTACAAGAAACTCACTTCATATATACCAAGATAGGAAGAATGAAAGTAAAACAATGAAAAAAGAGGTATCATGCAAACATTAATCAAAGAAAAGCAGGGGTGGCTACATTAACATCAGCTAAAGTAAACTTCAGAGAAAAAAAAAAGACCAGAGGCAGACATAGACATTATATAATCCCACTATTACATAATTGATAAGAGGGTCAGTCCACCAAGACAAATTATAATCCCAACTGTGTATGCAACAAACAAAAGAGCTGCCAATATGTGACACGAAAACATGACAACTGAAAGGAGAAACAGATCCACGATTCTACTTGGGAGACTTTAATACCCCTCTCTCAATAATAATAAAAGGAGACAGAAAATCTACAAGAATTGAGATGAAATCAACACCATCAGCCAATAAGATCTGATCAGCATTTACAGAACATTCCACCCAAAAAGCAGAATATACATTTTTTTCCAAGTGTCCACAGTATGCCAAAACAGATAATATTCTGGGTCTTCAAACAAATCTTAACAAATTTGTAAGGACTTAAATCATATAGAATGTGTTTTCTGATCACAATAGAATCAAAAGAAGTTAATAATGAAATATAACAATAAAATCTCAAAACACTTGGAAATTAAACAACAAAATTTGAAATAATAATGAGTCAAAAAATATGCTGAAATAAGTGAAAATGAAAACACAGCCTATTAAAATTTGTGGGATGCAACTAAAGCAGCACTGAGCGGGAAATTTATAGTGTTAGGTGCATAAATTTTTCTAATCAATATCTCACCTCAAGAACCCAGAAAAAGAAGAGCAAAATAAATCTAAAGCAAACAGAGGGAAGGAATTAATAAAGTTCCAGCCAGTACAGTAAGTCAAGGAAAAGAAAGAAAAGATATACAGATCAGAAAGGAAGAAATATGTAAATATATTTTGTTTCATAGAATATTTGCCTATTTCTTCCTTTCTGATCCGTATATCTTTCATAATATAATTACCTACATAGAAAATCTCAAGGAATTTCAAAAACAAAGACCAAAAAATGGAAAGTCCTCCTAGAACTAATAAGTAAACTCAGCAAAATTGCAGCTACAAGACATACACAGAAAAATGAACTGTATTTCTATACACTAGCAATAAACACATATACACTGTTATGGACTGAATTGTGAACCCATCCCCTGATTCACATGTTGAAGCCCTAACCCACAATGTCACTGCATTTGAAGGTAGGGCCTTTAAAAAGGTAATTAAGGTTAAATGAGGTCAGAAGGATGGAGTCTTACTCCAACCTGACTGCGTGTGCTTATAAGAAGACAGAGATACTAGGGAGGAACATACACAGAAAAAAATTGCCATGAAGCTTCATAACCAAGACAGTGTAACACTGGTACAAGAGTAAACACACGGTTCAATGGAACAGCATTAAAAACAAACATAAACAGACTCACATACATATGCTCAACTTTTGACAAAGGTGCAAAAGCAATTCAATGGAGAGAGCTAAGTCTTTTCAACAAATGGTGCTGGAATAAATGGATACACACAGGCCAAAAAAAAGTGACCTCAACCTAAACTTCACACCTCATACAAAAATTAACTCAAAGCAGATCAAAGACTTAAATGAAAAGACGCGAAACTTTAAAAAAGAAGTCTGGGGAAAATCTTCTGAATTTAGGGCCAGGCAAAGAGTTTCCATTCAAATCAGACCTCATGGGAGTTAAAAAACACTTGTTCTGTAAAAGACCAAGTTAAGTCGATGAAACCACAAGCAAGAGTTGGGGAAAAAATTGCAAACTGTACATATCCAACAAAGGACCAATATCTGGAATAAACAATGCTTAAAACTCAAGATTGTTCATAAAAACAAACAATCCAATGAGAAAATGGGCAGAAGACATGGAGAAACATGCAAATGGAAAATAAGGACATCATTATCCACCAGGGAAATGCAAATTAAAACCACAAGGAACTATCACTACATCGACCCCAACGGCTAAAATAAAAAATAGTGGCAACTTGAAACCCTGAAGCTGTTGTGACTGGATCTCTCAAAGACTGCTGGTGGCAGGTGGTAGCATAAATCCATGCAACTGCCTTGGAGAGTGGGCAGCTTCTTAAGAAACAGGCAACTACCTTGTGACCCAACACCTGCACTTCTGGGCACGTATCCCAGAGAAATGAAAATCTAGATTCACACAAAAACCTACAAAAGAATGTCCGTAGCAGCTTTCTTGGCAATGCCCTAAAACTGGAAACAAGTCTTTCAATGGTGAATAGTTCAATCAAGTGTGGTACATCTGTACCCTGGAACACCACTCAGCAGCAAGAGGGAATCAGCCAGTGCCACAGTGGCCACCTGGATGAGTGCTCAGGGAACAACGCTGAGTGAAAAGCGCCAAGCCCTAGAGGACACACAGTGCACGACTGTGTTCATGCAACTCTCCTGAAACGACAAAGCTATACACGCAGGGATTAAAGATAAGGTGAGGCTGGGAACAAGGTGGGCGTGGCTACAAAGCAGCATGAGGGATCGCTGTGGGGATAGAATGTTCTGGATCCTGACTGTACGGCTGTGATGTGGATGCTGGCTGTGATGTGCTACAGAACCTCCAATCCATTATAAAAAAAAAAAAAAAAAGAAAATACCCAGATTTGAGCTATGATGTGGTAAAAATAAGACAAAGCAAAAAAAATAGCGGCTGGGCGCGGTGGCTCAGGCCTACGGTCAGCACTGTGGGAGGCTGAGGTGGGCAGATCACTTGAGCTTAAGACCAGCCTGGGCAACACGTGGAAACCTTGTCTCAACAACAAAAAAAAAGAAAATTAGTAGAGTGTGGTGGTCGTGTGCATGTTGTCCCAGCTACTTAGGAAGATGTAAAAAAAAAAATATATATATATATAGTTTGTGGCCAGGAGCCACGGCTCATGCTTGTAACCCCAGTACTTTGAGAGGCCAAGGCAGGTAGATTAAAAAAAAAAAAAAAACAGGTGAACCGAGGCGAGCTCCAGGCCTGGCTGCTCCCTGTGCTCCATCACGGCTCCCACCCATCTCCAGACTCTACCCCACCAAACCTGACCCCCGGCCCCACTGTTCTCCGTGTGCGGGTGGAAGCAGAGGACACCCAGCACCCAGGCATAGGCGGGGCAAGACGGGCTGGCACCACCCTCCTCTAGGCCAAACAGGGAGTCTAGCCAAGAGCAAAATGCCCCAGGCTAAAAATGAGTTACTTTTTAGCCTGGAAATCAAAGCAGCCGGAGAAAAGCCCGTGTGTTTTTTCCCATGTGACAAGAGGCCACCAGGAACCACAGGCCAGAACCTGCCTCTGCCTCCCCACGGCCTCCACGGCTGCACCACCATGTAGGAGGGGCCGGGACCAGGACCAGCTGAGGAAGGGGCTTCCTCGTGACTAGCCCTCTGGGGAAGAACGGCTCCACGCCCTGCACCCCGCCCCCATGGCCCTGCAAGCCCACTGCAAGGGGTCTCCTCCACAGGGCAGCTTCGGGGGTACAGCTTTAGCATCTGCCCCTCCAGCTACCAGAGCTGAACAAGAGGCTATCACAGAAAGATGGAGGTTGGGGGCACGGTAGTGGGGAGCAGGCAGCACCCAGAGGCAGTTCAAAAGCCAGGCCCAGCCCACCTGGGGCCACATAGGGCCCTTGGAGTCTCCCTGGGACAGGCCCTCCTTGCCCACACACGCTGGCGGCCACTGCTGTCTAGGGGCAGAGGTAACTCAGGGCTCCAAGAAAAAGGAGGGCCTCCTCCTGGATGCTGGGGCCCCTCCAGGGCCAGCTGGACTGCTGCCAGCACCCACACCCCAGGACCATGCAGCCAACAGAGACCTTCTGGGCCTCTCTCCTACAGACCTGAGAACAGCCCAGCCACCAGCCACCCAGGCTGGGTCCGCCAGGCTGGACCTGACCTGGACCTGTTCACCTTCTGGCCTCAGAGGCTCACCCGTCTTGAGTGTTCACACCAGGGTCGGGGTAGTGCCCCTGGAGGTAGAACAGGGCCACGAGGCCTGCCAGTGTGGACAGGCCCTAATGACACTGGGGCTGAAGGGTGCATTTCCACAAGCAACCAACAGCCATCTTCACCTAAAGGCATTTACAAGCCAAAGGGGCTGCCTGCTACTGCCTGGGCCTCACTTGAAGCTCTGGAGTCACTAAGGCTGAACAGACTGGGCACCCTTGGAGGATTAGGGCCAACCCTGACAGCCCTCCTGCCCAGCGAGACCTGGGCCCCAGGTGGACAAAGCCCTTGTCCCACCTGCCAAGGGCATCTGTCTAGCAGGAGACTGGGGGGCAGTCCCGAGGAGTCCGGAGGGCCTGTCCCACCACGCCCACCATGGCTGATTTCAGTTCACTCAGAGACCCTGCCTTGGCCAGGACCATCAGGAGTTAAAAGTGTGTTTTCCAGCTCTTCTCAGAAGCAGCAAAAGCCAGCCTGTGGTGGGAAGCGGGAGGGTGTCAAAGAGGCCTGTGCTCTAGCACTGCTGAGAGCCACCACGCAGCTCTCCTGAACAGAACAAAGCTCATGTGGCCTCTAGCCAGGGCTCAAGGACACCACGTTCCAGCAGCCACAGGCAGAGAGCAGAGACCGGGTCCGCCACAGCAAGCAGAGGCTCCGTCGCTCCCACCGAGGCCCAGAACCCGCAGACGCTCCCACCCACGACAGAGAGCAGAGCCCTGCTGGGGCCTCTCTCACTTCCTGCTCTCAGTGGCCAGGGTGTCCCCCTGGAAGCCCCAGGCCCGAACACTACTCCCCCAGCCCACAGGAGCCGCTACATCAGGTGGGCACCGGGAGTCCCTGGCAGCATCCCCACAAGTAGCTTCTGTCCCCGAGGACATGCCTGAAAATGGCTCACCTGCTGGCGGACGGGGAGGCCCAGGCCCCGGATGTCTGAGACGATGAAGGTGATGATGGTCTTGACAATGGTGGCAAAGAACGTGTTGACCCCGAAGACCAGGGCGCAGAGTTCTTTAGACAGAGAAGCCGCGATCTGAAAGCTGAACAAGAGCGACCATCAGGCACTGCCCGGAGAACAAGACGCAGCAACGGGAAAGCTCACAGCCCAGCTCCCCCTACCACGACCCACTGGGCAGCCACGGGGCCCCAGGGGATGCACAAGCCCCCCACCAGACCCCCAGCTTCCCCACACAAGCCCGAAGCCCAGCTCCCACCACCCACGACCCACTGGGCAGCCACGGGGCCCCAGGGGACGCACAAGCCCCCCACCATACCCCCATCTCCCCCACACATGCCCACCCCCACCAAGCAGAAGCCAGCACCCAGGCTGCGCACCCTCGAGGGGCCGCTCTGGGAGCTGCTGCATCCCCCTGGCTCAGTACAGGGGGAGGGTCCCTTACCCAAAATGCCTGGACTTTAAGTCTGGGATGTCGGAATGCCTACATATCCGCAATGAGATATCTTGCGGATGGGACCCAAGTCCAAACATGAAATTCATTGATGTCTCATACATACTGTATCCACACATCCTGAAGGTGATTTTACACAACATTCTGAATAATTTTGTACATGAAGAAACTTCTGTGTTCTGACTGAGACTTATGCATCAAGGTCAGGTGTGAGACTTTCCACTGGGCTGTCTTTTCAGTGCTCAAAAACGGTTAGATTTTGGAGTATTTCAAATTCTTTTTTTTTTTTTTTGAGACAGTCTCACTCTGTCGCCCAGGCTGGAGTGCAATGGCACAATCTCAGCTCTCTGCAACCTCTACCACCCGGATTCAAGCAATTCTCCTGTCTCAGCCTCCCTAATAGCTGGGATTACAGGCGTGCAAAACCATGCCCAGCTAAGTTTTGTATTTTTAGCAGAGACGGGGTTTCACCATGTTGGCCAGGCTGGTTTCGAACTCCTGGCCTCAAGTGATCTGCCTGCATCAGCCTCCCAAAGTGTTGGGATTACAGGCATGAGCCACTGCACGTGGCCGAATTCTGGATATTTTTTACTGGGGATGCTGAACCCGTACAATGGGTGCCACAAAACACAAACTCAAGAAGATGCCCAGAAGGGCTCCCTGAGCTCTGGGACAGACGAGGTTACAGCCATCGCAAAACGCTCAGAAAATCATCCTCAAGGGAACCTCAGGGCACAGACAGAAAAGTCTGGAACGGAAGTCTTTCATGATTAAATGTTTGATAAAGTAGGGGAAGAGCAGTGAAATCAGAGTCGGTGGGCGAGCAGCCGGGCAGGACGGGCCCTGGAGGTGAGTGGCACTTGGGTAGAGTGGGCTTTGGAGATGAGTGGCAACTGGGTAGGGCGGGCCCTGGAGGTGAGTGGCAGCCGGCTAGGGCGGGCCCTGAAGTGAGTGGCAGCTGGTTAGGGCAGGCCAACGAGGCAGGGCGGGCCCTGGAGGTGAGTGGCAGCTGGTTAGGGCAGGCCAACGAGGCAGGGCGGGCCCTGGAGGTGAGTGGCAGCTGGGTAGGGCGGGCCTTGGAGGTGAGTGGCAGCCGGCTAGGGCGGGCCCTGAAGTGAGTGGCAGCTGGTTAGGGCAGGCCAACGAGTCAGGGTGGGCCCTGGAGGTGAGTGGCAGCTGGGTAGGGCGGGCCCTGGAGGTGAGCGGTGGGGTGCACATGTCCAGGAATGAAGGCACCACATTCCTCACATGGAGAGGTGACATGCCAGGCTTCTGGTGCTCTGCAAACAAACTAGTCTTTGGATGCACCAATTAAAATCCACTAAGTGCTTAAAAAAAACTGGACAAAAAATGTCCCAAAGTTCACCTTAAGAAAAAATAAACAAAAATGCCCAGAAACCCTTCAGAGAAGGATGGAGGACCCTGTGCTGCTGGGCGGTGGAGGCAGCACGCCAGCGGAGACAGTAGAGGTGCGGGCGAGCGGTGGCAGGGAGAATGAGAAACACAGAGGCCCTGGGGAGCAGGTCAGCAGGACAAAGGGCACCGAAACACCAGAGAACCAGCACAAACATGAGCTTCTGGACGCTGCTGCTAGGCAGGGCAGAACCCGGGCCAGCCCCCAGCGTGCTTCCCAAGCTGCTCAGAAAACACCATGAGTGGATCAAAGGCAAACAAGTGTGGGGCGTGATGGGGGCACACGTGACTGAAAATACGGGATTCATACGAGGGCACTCCAGATCAGCAGGGAGGAAAGCGAGTCCCAGCAGTCAGGAGGCACAAGTGGCCACTCAGTCCACGGCAGGATAGTAGGCCTTGGTCTGGTTAAGGAAAGGCTGGGAGTCCAGCTTCCCGCCAGGGGCTCAGGGAGGGCAGGGAGGCAGCCCGCATGCAGGCCTGCAGGTACCTGCAACATTGACAGAAACCCTTCAAAAGCACATACTCTCCAACCTGGCCATTTCCCTTCCAGGAATCCACTTGAGGACCATTATTAGAATTTGCGAGGCTGAGGTGGGCAGATCACGAGGTCAGGAGCTTGAGACCTACCTGGCCAGCCTGGTGAAACCCCATCTCTACTAAAAAAATCCAAAAAATTAGCCAGGCATGGTGGCGCGCACCTGCAGTCCCAGCTACTTACTTGGGAGGCTGAAGCAGGATAATTGCTTGAACCCAGGAGGCAGAGGTTGCAGTGAGCTGAGACTGCACCACTGCACTCTAGCCTGGGAGACCGAGCAAGACTCCATCTCAAAAAAAAAAAAAGAATTTAGAAGGAAAAATGTAGGTGGAAGGACATCCATCTCAGTGTTTTTTCTATTGTAGGAAAAATGGAAATGGTGACTTTACCCATCCACTAGGGGTGGGTTGTGAGGCCTACCACTCATGACCAGCACTGACCACCTATGTCTGTGTCTGATAGCGACCCAACACGGATGAGCAAAAAATGCCGGATTCTCGGGAGCAAATGGCAGTTTTCCATTTTGTACACTGCTGCCCTGTGTCTGAGGTTCTGTGATGGGCACCAATGACTTTATAACTAAAATCTTTCGGGTGTGGTCCCCTGGACACAGCAATGGGACAACAGAGGCCCCGGCCCTTTCCACAGTGCTGGCAAATCAGGGAGGGACCTGAGCAAGATGGCCGTCACAGGCTGGGAGCAGCAAGAGCCCAGGGTGGGCCTTGGGGAGCATGAAGCAGGCGGCCACCCCGGAGCATGCAGAAGGGCCCCCAAGTGTGGCAGGGAAGGAGAGAAGGGTGAGCTGGGCTGCCCACGCCAGGAGCTTCCTGCGTGTGGGGAGGATGGGGAAGTGCAAGGCCAGGAATGTCCAGGCAGGACAGTGACGGGTCAGGCCACGGGCACAGAGGGCACAACGTAAAGGCCGGGAGGGCGCTCTCAGTTCAGACAGGCTCGAGGCAGCGTCAGCCCCAGGGGGACGGTCCATGGCCTGAAGGCCACTCCAGAGGTGAAACCCAGGGTCCTCCCAGGAGGCAAGACAGAGGGAACAGGCCAGGGAAGCAGGGGCTGGTGTGGCAATGTGTGTGGTCCGAGCATGTGGTGAGTGTGCCAATGTGTGGGTACGTCCATGTCCGTGTGAGCATGTGGTGTGTCCACGCCTGTGTGTTCATGAGTGTGGTATGTGTCCGAGTGTGTGGTGTGTGTTCATGTCTTAGTACGTCCATTTGTGAACATGTGTGTGTTTATGAGTGTGTGGTGTGTCCATGTGTGAGCGTCTGTGTGTCTGTGTTGTGTGAGTGCCTGGTGTGGGTGTGAGCTGAGCATGAACTCACACAGGAGCCCGCTCCCCCTCCTGCCTGGGTGGGATCTCAGCAGTCTGGGACCTGGAGGGCGGGGCTGGGAGCAGGGCAAGGCTGAGCCCGGCAGGCTTCAAAGAGAGGAGCGCAGGCGGAGGGCCTGGGGGAGGAGCAGGATGGCACAGGCAGGGTCCCAGGGAGACTTAGGGGGGACCCTGGTCAGTGCCGGGTGGCTGGTGGGGACCGCGGTGTCAGCCGCTGGGGCGCGGCAGGAGGTGGGAGCACCCAGGTGCGCCTGCTCACCCCGGCTCCCCAGACCCTTCTAGAACTCACGTGGCGATGGGCACGAGGAACTGGTAGGAGCCGCGGAAGAGCACGAAGGCCGCGTAGCACAGCCAGATGTGGCGGGTGTAAGACAGAAGGAAGACCAACCCCGCCTGCGTGGCCGTGACGCCCGCGACGAGCAGCTTGGACCATCGTGCCCAGCGGATCTTCACGAAGCCAGCGGCGAAGGAGGTGATGGCACCTGGAGGGTAAGGGGTGGGGCGTCATGGCGGTCCTGGGGGACATGGGGCAGGGAAAGGTGGGGGGAGCCTCGGGGAAGGATAGGTGGGGCGGAGGCGGGGAGAGCTCAGGGGAAGAATCCACGGGGCGAGGGAGATGGGGGGAGCCTCGGGGAAGGATCCATGGGGTGGGGGAGGTGGGGGGAGCCTCGGGGAAGGATCCGCGGGGTGGGGACAGCTCAGGGGAAGAATCCACAGGGCGAGGGAGATGGGGGCAGCCTCGGGGAAGGATCCATGGGGCGGGGGAGGTGGGGGGAGCCTCAGGAAGGAGCTGTGGTGGGGGGCGAGGGGTGCCGGGACCCGGGCGCACGTACCCAGCAGCGTGGAGGCGGCGTCGGCCCCGCCGTTGTAGACCCGCACGCTGTTGGTGGTGGGTTCCACCTCGTTCCACAGGATGTGCACGTAGTAGACCACCAGGTAGTACCCGGCGGAGTTGAAGACCCACCAGAGGGACCAGAGGCGCAGCTGCGGCCGCCGCAGGCTGTTCCCCAGCTCCCGCAGCATGCGCGCCAGCACGGAGTCCCCGCAGACCGCCCGCAGCGCGCGCCCCAGCTTCCCGCCCGCTCCCGGGTTCATGCGCTCCAGCTCCGAGGCGGAGGCCGAGGGTTCCCGCCCTGCGGCGCCGCGGTTGAAGAAGAGGCTGCGCTTGGGGCGCTTGAGGAAGAGGGCGAGGACCACGCTGAAGGTGAGGAAGGCCAGCGAGATGTAGTTGAGCGTGGAGAAGGAGACCCCAGCAGCGGTGACCAGCAGCTGGCCCAGCACTGAGCTGGTGAAGACGCCCAGCAGCACCGCCGCACGAGAGTAGCTGGCCACGCGCTGGTAGCGCGCGGGCTGCACCAGCGAGAAGATGTAGGAGGAGTAGGCGATGCGCGCGGCCATGGTGATGCTGTAGAAGAGCTCCATGAGCTGCATGTGCGCCACGGTGCGGCCCAGCAGCAGCAGCAGCCACACGGCCACGTAGCTCAGGCCCTGCAGCAGCAGCACGGGCGTGTAGCGCAGGTAGTCAGTGAGCAGGAACGCGGGCACCAGCACGGCCAAGTAGGAGTAGGAGAGCACCGGGGTGATCTCGTTGGTGACCTGTGGATGGGCGAGCGTGCGCCCCACCAGGCGTCAGTGACTGTGCGGCTTTGGGGGACAGGGCCCTCCCGAGGCCAGTGCTGACGGCTTCACTGCCTGATGTGACCCCACCCCCGCGACACTCCTCGGTCCCTCCCTTCCTGATCAGTCTCGGCAGCCTGGGAGCATTTGCCTGCAGAAAGCGGGCAGTGGCCACGGAAGCCATCGTTATTAACAACACTGTTGATCTAAGCTTCTCTATTCTTTTTTTCCTGAGAGGAAGTCTCGCTCCATAGCCCAGGCTGGAGTGCAATGGCTTGATCTCATCTCACTACAACCTCCGCCTCCCGGGTTCAAGCAATTCTCTCCTGCCTCAGCCTCCCAAGTAGCTGAGCTTATAGGCATGCGCCACCACACCAGGCTAATTTTTGTATTTTTAGTAGAGATGGGGTGTCACCATGTTGGCCAGGCTGGTCTTGAACTCCTGACCTCAAGTGATCCACCCACATTAGCATCCCTGAGTGCTGGGATTACAGGTGAGAGCCACCATGCCGGGCCAGCTTCTCTATTTTTAATAGAATAAAAAAATGTTTTCGTTTCATCTTAAACAGTATGGAAACCAGAGCTGTAACCCATACACATTCACACCACACAAGCCCCTTCCATCATCACTGTAGAGCCTTTAAGACATGGAGAGGAAGGGCAGGACCAGGAAGAGCAGGTTCATGGGAGGGACTGTGGGGAACCCAGTAGAGGGAGAAAGACAGGAGTGAAGGGCAAAGAGGGAACGGGCGTGGGGAAGGGCCGAGGGCCCTGGGGTGCACACTCCCATCTCACACTTGTCCCCAGAGCAAGGTCTTCAAGGCCAGGCTCTAACCCAGGGGCAGGGAGGGGGTCAAGTGCCCCTGGAGCCACCCTGCACCCACCTCGGAGACACAGCACAGCCTGTCAGCCCGCCCAGCCCCGCCTCTCCCATCACATGCAATGTGGGAACCCAGCTCCACAGCCTTGGCCGCTGAGCTCCCGGTGGGCACTCCAGGCCTGGCTTCCATGTCTGTGGCCTCAACACACAACCACCTTCCCTGGGAACTTGGGGCCGGGCATGGGGCAGGGGGTGCTGTCTCCTGCAGCTCAGTGGGCACTGCCCCAGACTCCTCCAGGCAGACAGCAAATGCCCTCAGCTGGCTTGGCAGGGGCTGCGGCTGCTGTGGGCACACCTGGGCACAGTCCAGAGGAAGAGGCCCCAGTCCTGTGAGGCCCAAGCCACTGGCCCTGCCCTTCCCTGGGGACTGCCCTTCCCAGGGGCCCCATCACACCCCACCTCCGATCTGCTGGGGGTTGGCACCGGGTGAGCCAGCAGGGCCTCCCTGGACTCTGGGCCTCCCACAGGCCCCACCCAACTCAGGCCTGACCACCAGCAACCCCACAGCCCTGTTCCTGCTGCCCCAGGTGACCTCCGCCCCTGCCAGCCACACTTGATAGGACCGAACCCTGGGTCAACACTGGGGGCTGCCCAAGCCACGCCACCCCCCAACCCAGGGCCTCTCAGCCTTGTGTGGCACACCCAAATGCGTGGCCTGTGCTCAGGGCCTGGCCACCGCTAACTGTGAACAGCTGAGGAACAGGACCCTGCAGCCAGGCTTGTCAGTCAGGGCCAGCATGCTGAGAAGCTTCCAAGGGGTTTGGTCTCTGGGGGAAGGCTCCCCAGAGACCCCACCTGAGGCCACCCTGAGGTCACAGCCCGGACCCTGCACCCTCATGCAGGCCAGGCTGCCCTGAAGGCTGTGGTCGCAGTCGCACCGAGCACCCAAGGTCCCTCCCGTGCTCCGTCCTACCCAGGACATGCCGGGACACACTCAATGCAGGTCAGGTGCCGGGAGGCTGAGTGACCAGGCCAGGTCACGGGGAGCCTCAGGGCCGGCCACCAGCTTCTACACTGTGTTTACAGCAAAGGCCTGGGGACATCAAACAGCCCCTCTGTGGGCAGCTCTCCTGGCCGACTGCCTGCTCGACTGGGAAGGCTTCTCATCAGGGCCAGCCTGGAGAACTCCTGCAGAGTCTGAAAGAAGAGGCTTGGAGGCAGGGGCCCTCCTAGCATCTGAGGGGCCCCGACCCCCAGACACAGGAGGCTGCGAGGGGCCATGGGAGCCCCAGCCCCCAGCCAGGGCACAGGTCCTGCCCACAGCCCAGAGTCAAAATGGTAGACTGCCAGCAGAGGCTCCCCTAGAGCCATGGCTCTCTGGAAAAGGGCGGCCAGGAGTCCTGGGAGCCTCTCCCACCTCTGAACGAATGGAGCAACACCTCATTTCTCTTCCACCAGGAGCCGGCTCTGCAGGCCGGGGCCTCCCCAGGCACATCCTCGTCTTAGTTGAGGCTCCCAGTGTAGATCACGGGGTCAAGATGGAGCCTGCACACCCCCAGCACCCACCAGGGCCCTCCCGCTCTTCTCCCTGCACTGCCTCAGTGGCCCCTACTTCCCCTTTCTCAGACTTGGCAAGTGGACAGCAGGGAGGCTCTGCCCAGAGCTATGACCTGCGTCCCACTTACAAGGCTGCTGACGGAGGGCCACCCACAAAGGTCCCAGCAGGGAGGTGGCATGTGTCAGGCGGCCACGGCTCCCACACGAGTCCAGGCTCCTGCTGCCTGAGCCCAGCGTCCGCTCTGCTCTCCCGAGCTCTCGGGTCAGGTCCAGGCTGACGGGCAGAGTGCAGGGAGCTGCGCCCAGATCGGCACCCAGTCAGTCGGCTTCAGGGCAGCTTCTCTGAACAGGGAGGCGGCAAGGTGGGCAAGGGCCGGAGGCAGGCAGGACGTGAGGGCAGGGCCGGGTGTGGGGCAGCAGAAGGACCGGTTGCCACAGAAGGGCACCCAACAGGGCCTGGCTGAGGTCGAGGCACTGGCCGTGGGTCGAGAAGGCCTGCTGCGCACAGGGCCCTGGGCCGGGGTCTCCCTGGAGGAGGGTGGGGGCTGCAGCTCCCACCACACAGCGCAGTTCCTCGGTCCAGGCAACCTCAACCCGCCCAGGGGCACCTCCCAGAGCCGGCTGGGGAAGGCGCTCTCAGCTGACACTCAAAGCAGAAAGCCTGGAGGGAAATCTGGCCAGATTCAAAGTGGCCCTAGAGAAACACCGCATGTAACACACAGCCAGTCCAATCCCAAGGGCACTGGGTCCCCAGGAGGCAAGAAGGGGAACCAGTCTCAAGAAGGACAGCAGCCGTGGGGCTGCCTTGAAACGCCGGCCCGCAGCGGGGGAAACTAAGGCCAAGCAAACGCCAGCAAAGGAAACCACGCTCCTCACAGCGGCCAGACGGCTGGCGCTCTGCAGGCACCTGAGCTGGTGAGGGCAACACGGGCGGGCTGTGGAGGAAGCAGCCGCCCAGGAGTGAGCTGGCAACGCCAGCCCAGGCCAGCTGGGTCCAGGCCCACCGCCCGAGGCTGCCGGCTCGTGCTCTACCTGCAGCGTTCCACAAAGTAGGAGAAGCCGGAATCCCCCATCACCCCCAGCAAAATGCCAGAGAAGCACCTTGTAGTTCAACCCCCAGACGCAGCTAAGAACAGCCTTGAACCTACATGGAACGTCCCTCAGGTCAGACTGGGAATGGGGGCAGCTTGCGAAAGCTGCGTCACAAGATAGCACTTAGCGTGAACTTTCTAAACACAAGCCCAAAACAACAGGGGCTGCAAGTCCTGACAGGCCGGAGGGGCCGAGATGGGGGCCGGCCCAGTGGCCAGGTGCAGAGCTCCTGTGACAGGCCGGAGGGGCCGAGATCGGGGCCGGCCCAGTGGCTGGGTGCAGAGCTCCTGTGACAGGCCAGAGGGGCCGAGATCGGGGCCGGCCCAGTGGCCGGGTGCAGAGCTCTTGTACCTGTCGTCCTTCAGTGACATCCCAGGCCTGGAGGAATGGCTTACTTTCTGGAATCTACTTTTCAATCAGTTACTGTGCAACGTGAGGGGACAGCAGATGGATTTAAACATTTTCGCTATCGAGACTTTCCTTATTTCAGGGGAACTCCACATATATGCTCAACCTTATAAATAACCTTGAACAATGGCCCTCCTTAAGAGCAGAGATGCCATCTGGTCCATCAGTGGGTGGCGAGGGGAGGGGCAGACTGGCCAGGAGCAGAGGGCACTTCATGAGGGGTGAAGGAGGTGGCTCCACCCTGTCTAGCACCAGCCCTGCCACAATAGCTAGAGACCCTGGCCTCACCAGGAAAGTGACCTGGTGACCCAGCCCTGGTGGTCAGCAGTGCTGGCCATGGGAGCAGACAATCACACTCGCACAGTGCTCTGAGCTGGGCACCGAGAGGGCAGCACCTTCACTTTTCCAAGAGTATCCTCCTCATCTTCACATCAGTTTCACAATTCTTAGGGTCTGCAAGGGGTGGGGCCCGGCTTCTGGCCAAGAGACGTAGGAACAAGGGGCACACGGAGTGCCAGCAATGTGGGTGCAGAGGCCAGGTGGGCACACTGCCGAGGACGGGGACAGTGGCTGGGACGAGCAGGTGAGCAAGTCCAGGACAGGTTCACGGGCAGCACGTGGGCCCTGAGATGGGTGCAGGGGTGCCCAGCTGGGCCGGCAGCCTGTGAGAACGCTTCTCCCACAAAGGCTTTCCAGGCTCCTGTATAGACATGCCTACGAACAATATGGTCAGCTCCTGCCTCCACCCTTCACGTGGCCTGAGAGACCCGTGATTGGGCATAAGTTTATTACAACATTTTCAATAAGAGCCTTTGTCCTCATGGCTGAGTAAAATGAGCAGAAGGAAAATTCCTTCAGTAATCTCTTTAGGTAAATAGCCACTAACCCTCTGCAGGAGGAGGTGCCCAGCAGGGCTGGATTATGGCTTCCTCATGTGCCCAGCCTGGCAGGCCGGGTGGGGCAGGCTCCCTCTCTGCAGGACACAGCATCATCTTTTATGTAGCCTGGTTACTAAGCCCCTCTACCTGACGGTGCCCGCTGTGGGGAGTGAGACCCCAGCCAGGTTCCCTCTGGGACCACTATCAGCTGACACAGCCACTCACCCACTCCAGCTTCGGAGCTCACGCCTCCAAAAGGAAAAGCACCGTAGCCCCCAAAGCTGCTCCCTGCCCACCCACCACTGGCCGCCCCCGCGCCCCGGCGCCCACGTGCCCGCCCACCACTGGCCGCCCTCACGCCCCGGCGCCCACGTGCCTGCTTCCGAGTGAAGTTCTTGTCCAGCCCCAGGAGGTAGGGTGTGATGAAGCTCTCTCCTGGCCGGATCTGCGCCATGAAGCCATAGAAGCAGAGGTAGCACACCAGGCACCGCCAGGACCGGAGCTCGAGGTCTGGCCCAGGCTCCACGGGCACCTGCTTCTCCACTGCTGGGCTGGAGGGCACCATCCCACTTGGGCCACGTGCAGCCCCGGAGGGGTAGAAGGTGATGCTCTGTGTGGAAGGAGGGTGGAGTCAGGGCAGGTCGAGAAAATGGCCTGCAGGCCTCCCACCCCGCAGAACGAGGCCCAGTGCAGGCCTGCTCCTCTCCACTCAGGACCAAACACCACCCCGGAGGTGAACGCACGCCCCAGATCAGTCCGCACGCTGCAGCACCAACTTGGGAGCTACCCCAGCCTGAGCTGCTCCAGAATGCCCAGGCCACCTCTAGGGTCACCACCTCTAGGGTCTCCAAGGCTGATCGAAGTCTCCAGCCACAAGGGGCAATTTAAATGCCAATCAAAACCAAGTTAATTAACTGATGACTTACTGTATTAACTAACAAAATTTAAATTTCAGGGCTTGGGGCCACCACAGACGCATGGCACTGCTGGGCAGCATGTGTGGCTGTGGCGGGTGGGCACACCTCACCCCACAGGCCTGAGGGCAGCCCACGTACCTGCTGCTCTAATGGCACCCAGGTGGCCCGGGGAGGGCATAGGCAGGGACAGATGCTGCTAGAGGCCAGGCACACACCTGGTCACATCCTGGGTGGGTGGCAATAGGTACAAGCCTCAGGTCCCCTTCAGCCTGGGTTCCGATCCTGCACATGAGCGTGGGGAACACGGCCTCCCACGCCCCAGAGGAGGACGTGCAGGCAAAGCCCACAGTAAGCAAAGGGCAAAGGGAGAAGCAGGTGTCCTCAAGGGGGCTGAGGGCACCCAGGGGTGAAATACCCATGGGAGGGACGAGGCCCAGCCCGAGCCCAGGGACCCCAGCATTCCTGGAGGCAGGTCACCCTAGACAGAAGCAGCTGGCGGGGGAGCCATGAGTGGACCCGACACGTTCCAGATGGAGCATCCAGACCATGGGCCTTCATCCAGGAGGCAACATCAGGGCCCTCCAGCCAACACTCCGCCCACACGGCCAGGGCACACATCAGAGCAGCCACAAGAGGGCATGTCTCCTTCAGTCCTGGTTCTGCCCAGGAGATCGGCCCCCCAGTGCGGGAAAGAGCACCTCTCACCACCACAATCCTCCCTTCTGGCTGCGGGGCAGGAGCCTGTCCACTTATCAGCATTGTGTCTCCAGTGCTGCTGCATTTCCACGTAAAGTCTCGGCGTTAAGTTTTCTTTCAAGTCAATCAAAACTGAGCCACCATAAACAAGGGCGTCCGGTGCTCACACCAAGCCAACCCAGTGAGGACAGCACCCAGCCCTTGTCCCCCACGGGTGCAACTCACGTCTGCATCAGCAGAGTTGCTTGTGGAAAGGCCACCTGCTGCTCAGGCGGGTGGGGACACAGCCTGTGCAGAGGGCAGCTGAGCAGCTGCGTGGGGCAGGGTTGCTGTCCCGTCTGCACTGGGCTGACACAGCTAGACAGTTGCCCCTCGCCATAGGGCCTGCCTGGGAGGGGGTCTGCAGAGGGTCTGGATTCGGGGAGAGTCTCCTCCAACCCTCCAGCAGGGGAACAGCGCATCCTCGATGCGGGGCTGGTTTCTGGGGGTTCGGGGACCTCAAGGAAAAGCTGCCCCAGGTTCTCAGCACTCAGTCTCTGGTTAGAAAACACTCGGGTTGGCAGTTCCTGATGGAGCATCCAGACCGCCCATCTGACACAAAGGCTTAGGAAAGTCGTGGAGACGGGGAGGAAGAACCTCCCAGGCCATGCCAGGCAAAGCCATCAGCATCATCCCAGGCCCTGTCCTCAGGCCTCTAGGCACTCACGTCTGTGACGAAGGAACATGGGAAGTGGTGGCAGGGAAGCCTTAAGAGGCAGGGACTGGCGGGCTGGCCCTGGGAGCCACAGGGAGGTGGGGGAAGGGTTGGGGAACTCTAGGCTTTCGGAGCACCCTGGGAGGACACAGCTGGGAGGATGATGGGACCAGCACCCTCCATTGGAGGCAGCTTGGATCCCAGACATTCTCAAAGAGTCAGAATGAAAACAACCAGCCAGGCAGGAGAAAGCACAAAAAGGGGCCACCTCGAGGCCGAGGCAGATCTCACGGTCACCTTCCACACCTCCCCAGGGCCTGTGGCAACAGCTGGGAAGATCAGCACACAAAGGTTCAGCTCCGTCACCAGGAACCCTGATGCCCAGAGGGGGCACAGGTGGAGCTGGACTCACCTGGAACCATACCTACTCCTCCCCAACCCTCCCCACCTGGAGACCCATCTGGCCCCGGGGCCTCCCCATCAAGTTCACTCCCCACGACCCGTCAGCAGGTTTAAACAGGTGCACTGATCCCAGGACACCCAGAGCACACACATCATCGAAGCCAACAGGGACTCATCAGGAGCTGAACTGAGTCCAGGGTCTGTGCCCAGAGTCCATGGCCCCAGGAGTCAGGATTCTACCCACAGGACCCCCAGGAGCGCCGGGGAACTTGGGTCCCCTGTTCTGAAAGATGCCACCTCCAGAGGTGACTGGAACATTCCTTCCTTGGTGTCGGGAATTGGCGAGATGGCAGAGCAAGCACTTCCACATCCTGGACTCCTGATTCCCCGGACACCAGCGCAGGGCGAGCATTTCCACATCCTGGACTTCTGATTCCCCAGACAGCAGCTCAGGGTGAGCATTTCCACATCCTGGACTCCTGATTCCCCGGACACCAGTGCAGGGCGAGCACTTCCACATCCTGGACTCCTGATTCCCCGGACACCAGCGCAGGGCGACACTTCCACATCCTGGACTCCTGATTCCCCGGACACCAGCGCAGGACGAGCATTTCCACATCCTGGACTCCTGATTCCCCGGACACCAGCGCAGGGTGAGCATTTCCACATCCTGGACTCCTGATTCCCCGGACACCAGCGCAGGGCGAGCATTTCCACATTCTGGACTCCTGATTCCCCGGACACCAGCGCAGGACGAGCATTTCCACATCCTGGACTCCTGATTCCCCGGACAGCAGCGCAGGGAGAGCATTTCCACATCCTGGACTCCCCAGTTCCTGGACAGCACCTCAGGGTGAGCACTTCCACATCCTGGACTCCTGATTCCCCGGACACCAGCTCAGGGCGAGCATTTCCACATTCTGGACTCCTGATTCCCCGGACACCAGCGCAGGGCGAGCATTTCCACATCCTGGACTCCTGATTCCACGGACACCAGCGCAGGGTGAGCATTTCCACATCCTGGACTCCTGATTCCCCGGACACCAGTGCAGGGCGAGCACTTCCACATCCTGGACTCCCCAGTTCCTGGACAGCACCTCAGGGTGAGCATTTCCACATCCTGGACTCCCCAGTTCCTGGACAGCACCTCAGGGTGAGCATTTCCACATCCTGGACTCCCCAGTTCCTGGACAGCACCTCAGGGTGAGCATTTCCACATCCTGGACTCCCCAGTTCCTGGACAGCACCTCAGGGCGAGCATTTCCACATCCTGGACTCCCGAAGCTTCTGCAACCCGAAGGCAGCACTTCCTAACCAGGGCTGAGAGTGCACCAGGCCCTGCATCCCAGCGCCCAGCTGCAATTACACGCCGCGGCCCAGGACTTTACCTTTCAACAAATCCCACAGGTGAGCCGGGGACTCGCCACACCTGCAGAGACTGCTCTCAGGATTCCCGGTGTTGTGAGAAGTTCTGTGTGAAATCCACTGTGACCAGTCATAGCTCGGCGGCCCACCCCAACCCATAGTCAGAGGGGACTGTGCTCTCCCCAGCACCTCCCTGTGCCAGCTGGAAGAGGCCAGGGAGGTGGGCAGCCCGGAGCTCTCCAGGACAACGACACACAGCTGGAGCTTCACTTTCCAGAAATCAAATGCCAGGCCCCACCCCAAGTGAGGGCCAGGGACCCGTGACACACACAGCTGGCCTGGGGAGCACAGGGACAAGGGCTGGCTGCAGGGCTGGGTCAGGCCTGTTTGGTGGCATCCTCAAAGCTGCCTCCTGAGAGAGCTCCTATGAGCCCCACTCCTGCCATGTGGGGACGCTGTGCAGTGTCTGGAAGCCCAGTGGCAGGTGGCAGGCCAGCCAGGGCCCTGGGCCACCCTGTTCTTGAACAACATGATTGCTAAGGACTAAGGGACCAGATGTGTCTCCAAAAGCTCACTCAGCCCTGGGCTCCACTTAGGGACTCCAGAGGGTAGTGCCTCCCACCTGAGTCCCCACAGGCACCTGCTTGACAAAGCCAGCAGACCCGAGTCCTGGCTGAGGTCTCCATGGGAATGCTGGGCAGGTCCCCCAGCAGGGTGGCCACGGGCACAGAGGAGCACCAGGGCCATGCAAGGCGGAACTCCCTGCTCCTCCACCCGGGGCCAAGGGGCACCCATCCTGGACAAAGGCTGCCAGCCTGTCCCAAGAGAACCCTTACTCCTACATCCCACAGGGCTGGTCCCGTGACCCACTCACACCAGGAGGCAGAAACACCAGGGAGAGCAGGTGTCAGACAGTGCCAGACGCCCCAGGCTCCCCAACCCCACCACCACCTTCACTTCCACTTGAGACCCAGGGTTCTAAAACCCTGTCCCTCCCATCAGCACAAGGCCCTCTCCAGTGCCCTCAGGGTGGGACACAGTCCTGGAACCCCCTCCAGGAGCCCCTCCTGCTGAGAGTTCCGCCTGCAGGGGCACCCAGGGTGAAGCAGGGGGCAGGCAGCCTCTGGCTGTGGTGAGGGCTGTGGCAGGATAACCATGCAGGGCAGACGGTGCCTGCTTCTATCTGAACCAAGGGACCCGGGGATGCCAGGCTCGCTCCACTCTGGCACAGGCGTCCTTCCTGTGCCTTGCCCACACTTCCACAGAACTGATGGAGACTCCCACAAACCTTGAAGTCAGGCCTGGGGCTGCCCACTGAAGCACCAACAGGCCGGTGACGGCACAGCGGTGAGGTGGGCCAGAGCAGGTGCCCGGGCTCTTTCCAGGAGCTCCGGCTGCCATGCAGGAACAGGGGCCAGAAGTCCCGGGTCTTATTTGAAATCCATTTTTAATGGTGGCCACTAACAGAAAAAATGCTGAATACTCCAGACCCAAAGAAACTCATTAAAAGCACACAGCAGGTTGCAACCCCAGGGCAGGGGTGGCCTCAAGCCCTGTTTATTCTGCAGCCTGTAGGAGAACAGGCCAGGGCAGTCCCTCTGCAGCCACAGCCCGGGCTGTGGCCTGAGGATCAGACAGCCAGAGTTTCAGCCAGCAAGGAGGAGCTGCTGGACTTAACAGCCAGCCTCTGCTGCCAGCATACTGGCCTCACGTGCAGTGAACATAGCCCGCCGACAGGCACTCAGCCAGCAAGGCCAAGACTCGGGCCATCATAGAAATCCAGCCCCAAGCCAGGTGACGCCTAGACACCAAGTATCCAGCCCCATCCCATACCACTTGAGGCAACTGAAGGAGGTCCCCAGCCAGACAGGAGGGTCACGGGGAAGCAGGGAGAATCCCTGCCTTCAGGAGAAGTTTCTAACAGCCCTGCTGTCCCCAGTGACCACCCTGCCCAGGCTCTGTCCTTCCAAGCATGTGAGAAGGCTGGAGATGGTAAAAGCCACCTATCATTCTGTTTAAACCAGCTCCGACTCTGGAAGGCTACCCAGCAATGTCTGTTACGTTTTTAGAATGCCCGCTAGTTAAATAAAGAAGAAGAAAGCATTGTACACCCTCCCCACCCCGCTGAGGTGACCAAGCTCAAGTAATTAGCCCTCGCTGTCACTGCTCAGGCCCAAACACCCCATAAGCACAGCGTCTCATCTTTGTCCAGCACAGATAACTGGAATATCTGCAACTATAAAAATCCACCAAAGCCCCTTCAGAAGGAAAGCGGTTCGCAAGTGCAACAAGCAGGGCACAGGCGGCACCCGGGTGAAGGCGGCCAGTGAGACGCAGCCTGGCTCCCAGCCTGGAGAAGGCAGGCAAGCAGGTGCACTCGGCCAGAGGGGCCCGTGCTCTGCTGACTGAATCTGTGCTGGATCCTCAGGTCTCCTTAGGGAGAGGCCACCTTTGACAGGGTGGCCAGTAGGTGCCTTCCAGGGCTCTGGATGCTTCTGCATTAAGCTGCATTGCCCGCTTAAATTTCAGCCTGTGTCTTGAGGCCAGGCAGGCCAGACAGACTCCCCAGGACAAGCGTTTCGGATGGACGACCCTCGGGGAAGGGTTTCCTGCTGTAGAGGTGCTGTCCAGGCGCTGAGAGCCTCGGGTTCGCTCCACTCCGCTGGATCCGCGCCCACAGGTGCTTCAAGGGACAGATGCCCCCACGACGCTTCTGGCACAGCAGACAATGGGCCTGGAGGGGTGCCAGGGGCCCGCCCCGCTGTAGTCCCGGAGTCCCCCCGCGCGTGGCTGGCAGGGTTCGCCCGCCGGCTGGCCCGTCCCGAAGGAGCACGTGCCTGGGCTCCAACGCCGGATCCACGCGCTCCTCCAGACCCGGGGGTGGGACTCGGCGCCCCCGGATGACGCTGAGGGCAGGCTGGGGGCGGGACTCAACACCCCATTAGCGGACTGGGGCGGAAAGTTAGCGGCGCGAGACCTGCTGCACGATGGCACGCAGCCCGCGGACACCCCGGCCCGAGCCCCGCACCCTCCGGAGGAACCCCCGGCCCCAGACTGCAGACCCCGGCCCGAGCCCCCGCACCCTCCCCGGAGCCCCGCGGAGCCCAGCCCGCAGCTCGCTCCCAACGCAGGGCCCGCCCGGGCACCCCGCAGCCCCGGGCCCCAGCCCCCGGCACTCACCTCCCGGCCCTGCAGACCCCGGCCCGCGCCCGCACTCACCCCGAGACACCCGCAGCCCCCGACACGCGGCCCGGCGGCCCCGCTCCCCACGAGTAGCTGCGGCTGGGCGGGCGGCTGCCTGGGGCTCCGGGGACCCCGCGCAGGCGGACTCCGGGACTACAGCGCCCACAGGGCGGCGCGCGGCGGCGGGAGGGCGGGGCCCCGCTGAACGCGCCCCGGGGGCGGGGCCTGGCGCGGCGGGAACGGACCCACGGCGCGGGCACGCGCGCCCCCGAGCCAGCATCCCCGCACTTCCCACGCCCCGGTCCCGGCTCGCGCCGGAGTCTGCCGCCCGCTCCCCGCCCGGGCCACGCGGCCCCTCGTGCGGCCCCCCCCGCGCCGCCCCCTGACCCCGCTCGGGCCCACCCGCGTCGGCACCAGCATCCCGGGGCGCCACGCGCGGAGGTGTCTGTCCCGCCGCGGGCGCTCCGCCTGCGCTCTCCGGTCCCCAGCCCCTCCCCACCCCCACTCCCGACCCACCTCCCGGAGGAGGCCTGGCGCGTTTTCCTTTTGGCGCCCTTAGGCACCTGCATTCCTGGCGGGCCGCATGCGGGATCCTGGACTCGGGCCTTGCCCACGCGCCCTCAGGGGTGGCCCCGGGCATCCTTCGTGGGGCTCCAGCAGGGACAAGCACAGCCCCGAACCCGGCGCCCCCAGGACCCCTGCTGCCCGCCCTCCTGCCTGACCGTGACCCTAACTGGCTGGTACCACGGAGCAAGCAGGATCCAGGACACGGCCCGGGGCCACCTGCAGGGAGAGCCGTGGGAGACCCGCGCAGGCCTCGCAGGTGGGGACGGCGGCGCAGTGGTACTCAGGAAGCGGGGCGTGGGCCACGCTCCTCGGAAGCTGTGGGGCCTCCCCAGGCCTGTGCGGGACACGGTGGGGGGTGGGGCACAGGGTCACTCTGCCCTGGACGTTATCCAGGGCCTAGCTATGGGGAGGGAGGCAAAGCCAAGGGCTGTGGGGGGCCCCACGGCCAAGAAGGTACTTGGAAGTCAGCCGCACAGAACAGAAGCGGGTGGTCACCATGGGATCCATAGCCCACGGCTTCGGGTACCTGGTGAGCGGTGGGCCTCCGTATCCACCCCTTCCCGAGTGTAGACAGCACAGATATACACAGTCCGAGACCTGTATCTCCTGCCCACCAGCCCCTGCACAGCCCCCCCGGAAGCCGGCACAGGACTAAATGGCCCCCTGCCCAAAGCCCCAGCCTGGCCCGATTTGGGGAGTCCTGTATGTGGCCAGCCACACGAACAAATTTCTAAGGAACTTAAAAAGGATTTGTTGGCTCACAAGCGGGGATTTGGAGTAGCTTGCAGAATTTAAGGGAGCACTGCAGGACGGGTCGTCTTGCCTGGAGGGACCCGTGCTTCGTGGGATCCCCCCAGCTCTCTCTCCAGTACTGCCCTTTTCTACGGGTGGGCAGAGCCTGGCCCTGCTGGAAGACAGGAGGGGCATCGCCAAGGAGGAGGGGCCCTTCCTTCCCTCCAGGCAGAGAAGAGCCGGCTCCACGCATAGGACAGGCCAGGAAGCTGAGAAGCAGGGATGAACAGCAGTGGGGCTCCCAGTCCACTTCCCACAGGAGGATGGCTCCCACCCGCTTCCTACCTGGAGACAGGAAGGCAGGGAGCCACAGCCCCAAGGGGGCTTCCGGCAGGACCCGCAGAGACCAGTCCCTCACCTGTCTCTCCAGCCAGGTGAAGCCCAGCGAATCCGCCCCTGCCTTCGAGAGGGGCCTGCACAAGCTGCCCTCTGGTCCCCTGCGATGCAGGAGTCCCGGGAGTTCCCAGCCACATGAGGCCCCGGTTTCCTGCAGGAGCTGGTGCGGGTGGGGACGTGAGGCCTGGCCACCGGTAGCACCTGGCAGTTGTCATCTGGAGGCAGCAGATCAGAGGGAAGAACCAGGAGGCTCCCGACGACCTTACAGAAACCTCCATCAAGGCCATGGATGGAGGCACGGGCCACCAGGCATGGGCTTCGGGAGGGCTCCACCCAAAACACACTTACAAAGCAGGTGGCTTGGGGTGACCCTGGCATCTGGGAAGGGACCTGGTGGTTGGGGCCTCATGAGCCTCCCACAGTCCCAGTTCTGTGTTCCATCATCTGTCAAATAGTTATGTGCCTGAGCGTCAGGGGTGGGGAGAGCTGGTCGGTGGGTGAAGCCCTGGACTGGAGGGGTCAGCAGGGGCCCAGCAGCGTGGATCCAGCCCTCCAGCCTGTAGGCTCCGGCCATATATGCCCACAGAGACCCCTTCCCCTCCTGGAGGGCCTCAGGTGTGCTCTGCAGCCCACCCCACAGCAGTGCCCCAGCCCCAGCTCCTGGGTCCACACCCACCAGCAGAGCCTGAGCACCCACAGATGAATCTTGACCAGAGGACGAGGACCTTACCCACCCACTGCCACCTGAGACCAGCCTGCCAGTGTCCTCTGCCTTGGCTAGAGAAACACAGTGCTGTCCCTGTGGTTAAGGTCCCCTGTCAGCATCAGGAAGGCAGTGGCATTCACGCAGCCTCTTCCCTCAGCTGGTGCTATGTGGTTGCTGTGGCTCTAGAAGCAAGGCTTGGACCAAATGCTAACGCATGGTTACACATGCACACAGACACAGGTCCTCGCAGATGCACACAGATGTGCACACAGACACATAGGTCCACATACATGCATCCAGATACAGATGCACGCACACAGGTCCACGCAGATGCACACAGACACACAGGTCCTCGCAGATACACACAGACACAGGTCCACGCAGATGCACACAGACACACAGGTCCTCGCAGATGCACACAGACACACAGGTCCTCGCAGATGCACACAGACACACAGGTCCTTGCAGATACACACAGACACAGGTCCACGCAGATGCACACAGACACACAGGTCCTCGCAGATGCACACAGACACAGGTCCTCACAGATGCACACAGACACACAGGTCCTCGCAGATGCACACAGACACAGGTCCACACAGATGTGCACACAGACACATAGGTCCACATACATGCATCCAGATACAGATGCACGCACACAGGTCCACGCAGATGCACACAGACACACAGGTCC